GAGAAAACGTGGAGATCAAGAAATCGACCAAGAACGTGATGCTTATCGGAGACGGTGGCATCTATATATATTCTACCATCGTCACCGGTAACAGGAACATTTAAGATGTCATGCCCACGTTTAGCTCCGCATCTTTCATGTTAACCCCAATAAGAGAAAGTTTGTGATTTTCCTTTTGTAATATATGTTGCTAACCGCTGATTTGCGTTATAATTTTTTCTTTTTCTAGCGTTCTTACAAACCAACATACTTCTAGCGTTCTTATATGTTGCTAACCGCTGAATTTGAGCTTCTTTCAGATTGGTCAAGAACAGAGGATATGGTATAAGTTCTAAGCTCAAGGTAAAGTAACCGTGGTTATTATAAAAGAAGCTAGATTCCACCACCTTATATAATAAAAAGAGTAATTTAATCTATCTACCCCTAATTCAATTCAAATTTTAAATATAGTCAACTTATGATCATATTGTAACTTTCGATCTAAAAGCTAAAAGTAGCTTTTAGCTTATACAGTTTTGTACCTTTAAGGATGTCTGATTTGTTTAAACACTCTTAAACGATTTATTGTATAACTAAAGGACAAATAAATATAAGAAATACTACTATCTATATATAGACTGATCATTATTAATTATTTCCACACACTTATTTCGTTACGTTAATTTCGAGAAACGAAAATAGCGTTAACAACTACATAGCATTACGATCTCATTACAGCCAGTAACAAAGCAGACTTGTCTTATTATATCTCTATTCTCTACCTTTGAGTTAGCTTGTTATAATGTTGATGATGATGAAGAAGAGGGTTGGGAATGGACGGTCAGGATTGAAAGGAGAAGTGTGGCTACGACGAAGAAGAAGACGAGAAGTGCTTGATGAAGAGAAGTTTTCATGGTTTCTTTCTGTTCTGTGTTTTTTTTTTTTTTTTTTTTTGGTTGTGACCTCAAGTTTCCATTTGTATAGAGAAAGTAATATTATAACTAGCTCTCTTTTTGTGCCGTCAAGCGGAGTAACAATTTCACGTCAGTACCCTCCGACCCATCGGGGGAATTAATGCATATACAAATAAACAATTTTGATGGTGGAGATATGGAACAGCTTGTAGCAGAATTTGAAGCTGAATTTGAGCTTCTTCGGATTGGTAAAGACCAGATGATATGATATGGTATAAGTTCTAAGCTCAAGGTAAGTATTAAAAGAAGCTAAATTTCACCTTATATATAATTAAGAGTATTTTATCTACCCCCTAATTCAAAATTTATAACTTTCGATCAAAAAAGCTAAAATTAGCTCATACAATTTTTTACCTTAAGGATCGGATGACTAATTTTTTAAAAACATTCTTCTACGATAGTGTGTAAAGGAAACATATTAATAAGAAATAATATATAGACTAATCATTGTAATTCTTTACGTCAATTACGAAAACCGAAAAGCGTTAACAACTACATAAACATTACAGCCAATAATAACAAAACAGACTCGTCTTATTATATCTCTATCAGGCACATGAGAACTATCATGAATATATTACTTCATGCGTATGATAGTCAAATATACAAAAGGCTTAGGTTAGCATAAACAACAAAACAAAAATTCAAATAAAGAAAGAATAAGTTTTTTTTTTTTTTTTTTTTTTTTTTTTTGGTAAAAGGTTAAGTTTAGCATATTATAGAGTTAACATAAGACTATATTGGATTTCAATTCATGCATGCATGTTAAAAGAAATCAACAATCCGATTTGGCGTTTATAGTTGTGTAATTAAAACATAATGATCGTCAGCAATATAATGAATACTTGATGACTAATGATAGAATGATCATCAATGTATCGCCTTATCAACACACCGATTAACTAGAGCCAACTCATTACTACTGAGCCACGTCTGCACGTTACTCATATTACTTTGTAAATTTGTATATGCGCTTTTTATTTGGGGGGTGGGAGTCAAACTCATTTATATATATTATAGAAAACAAAAATCCCAGCTCTAGCTCTAGCTCCACATCCGCATCCAAAATAGTCAAAAATATCTTACTTGGTACTTGTCAAATTCCCAAATGAATCACAAACTCTTTACGTGGTTATATATGCTAAAGTTTTTACATGAATTATATATTGTAATGAATATAGTTAAAAGTTCGCTAATTGTTATACTATCTAAATCACCTCTTCAGCTTTTCTTTACGTGGTTTCTTCCTTTCCTTATGATATGTTATCTTACGTGGTTTCAGACTTTGTGACATGTGGCACTACGGGAAAGGTATATATCTCTCAAACTTCTTACAAATGTGGCAGGCCATTAGCCAAATCACATTTTAGTATCTATACTCATTTGATTCTTGAGTTCCTTTCGTAAGTAGTTGTTTTAATTCACATAAAGCTCTTATGTTATGTTCAATGTTTATGCCATTAGTTCGAACGAATGGTCATTGCTAACTTGGATTCTATAATATATTTTCTTCTTAATTAATTTTAATTTTCATGTGTTAACATCAAACATAAATCAGACGCTCTGACGTGGCTGCATACGTGTATACATTCATTTATGAGACTGAAATTAAAGAGAGTATCCATACATTTATATGTAACTCTACTTCCCTAAAGGAAATAATATATATCCCACATCTCTACTCATCCACATTAGTCAAAAAAATCTTACTTGGTACTTGTCAAATTCCCTAATTGATCACAAACTCCTACTAAATATCTCCTAAATGATGTTTATACACATGATATATATCATGACCATCAATATTTACGTCGTATCAGTCTCTCGTCTTAATCAATGCCCATATCAAAACTTCATGCATACCAAATATAGCTAGCGTCTCCCCCCACCGCATGCATGTCCGAACTACCTCTCAAATTAAGTCAAATCTTTAGACGATCAAAACCGATGGTCATGGCCTTGTGGTCAGCTCCGCCATGCATGGACCAAGCCGTTCACCTTTCAACTACAACGCCTCATCTCTACCGTGAAACGTTCACGGCGTCGTCCTCGCCACAAACACGCCAGGCCAGCTTTGACCTCTACGAAGACATCATATACCAACTCAACCACTCTCGGTAGTTTAGACGTCGTATTACGTATTCAAGAATTGTTTTTCATTTTGCAGATCAGAAATGTAATTTCGAATGTTTCCCTGATTGGGGCAGCCGGAAAATGAATAAAGATATATGTATATTGAAAAAAAAAATTGAACACCGAAGATAAGAAAGATCACAATTTTAATTTCTTTTGATCTCTAGTCTTAAAAGATTATGGTTCCAGATCCGATTTTACTAAAAGTACTGACCTATAGACGGATAACTAATTATATGAATATTCTGTCCAACTTGTTTCTATAAAATTAAATCTGAACTTTTGTTATAATCATGGCATGCAAAGAGTATAATTTAAAGCATGCATGCGTTTTATATTTTCATGAAAGGAAACATCATTTCTTAAGAATATAACTACAATATTGAGCAAATCTCTATGGATTATTTGGCTTTTTTTTTAGTCATTTTGGATTTACATTAAAGAAAAAAAGGAATAAAAATCCAAAATATTTGTTTGACGCATTGAGCAGGAAAGATTAGATGCGTCAGCCTTCGGATTTGTTTAAGTTGTAACATCCCTGGCCTTATAAGTCAACCTCGTACGTAATCCTCACAAACATATCTTAGTGTTAAGCAGTGGCGGCGGACGTTATCAAGTATATTTTACTATAGTGTATGTTAGCATAAAGTGTTTAGTCATATAAATACTAAACTATATATGTAAACATTTGTTGGATAATGAGAAAATTAGCAATCTTTAATCTCAATTTTTTGCTTTCTTCTTCTTCTTTGTCTTCATAAGTTTGTTACGATAGAAAATTTTGATATGGTATCAGAGACTCACCGATTGTGAGCGCTTCTTCTTCGATTCATATTTTCTCATTCTTTTTTTTGTTGATTTCCATTACAATTCTTCGGTTCATGTTCGGCGTAGGTATATGAGAGGTAGGGCACGTGTTCCATAACTTTTTGTAATATATCTATTAAAATTAACAAATTTTCTCAAACTTATTAAGATTATGTCCCATAGAAACATAATTTGTGAAATTTTATTTGGTAAGAGAGTTTAATATTTGTTCGGGTTTTATAATTTTTTCGTTCGGATAAGTGTCGGATTAGGAACAGTTTTTGGGAAAAAAAAACTTAAAAGTTGTTCAATTTTAATAAAATTTTGCAAAAAATTGTATAAATTTAACAAATACAAGTAGTGATTTTTCGTATATGTTTTTTTGTTATTTTTGTTATAAAATTATAACTAATATTTAGTAATATATAGGATTCTCAGGTATATTGTTCACTTTTTGGTTCGGATTAGATAATTCGGATAAAAACATTTAAAATCCGTTAAGGTTTTATGAATAATTGGTTTGGTTTTAGAATCAAATTATATTTTGGATCGGTTTTGGATTTCGATTTTTATGTCTGAGCCAGGTGAAAATAACTTATGGATGAGCCACTGTTGTTAATTGTGTTTGTACATCAAATATTTTATAAACCTATGTTTATAATAAAAATTCATTTGTCCCAATATTATTAATTGAGATAAGAATAATAATATTTGGGGTAATTGGGTCTAATTAACTATAAAATATTCGAATGTCAACTTTTTGTGGTTTTGTTTGAACATATGAATTTTAATAAATATTTAAACATATATTTTGTTTTAAGAGATAGAATAATTTGAGCTAAGACTTGTACTAAGAATAATTGAGTACTAAGTATATAATGAGCGTGAGATTAAAAAAAAAAAAGAAAAAGGAAAAAAAATTGGATTGGTACAATCGTGTAATTCGAAAGAGCTAATAAACTCGTGAGTCACACAATCCGGTTGAGGATAAAAAATCGAACCGGAGAAAACCAACATTGGCACAATTAAAATAACCAAAAATACAAAAAAGGTTGAAACTTGAAAGTCATAAAACGAAATCGAAATCGGAAGAGGCTCGCTCGGCCCCCAGAAACCCTAAGAAAATTTCTCCCCATTTTGATTTGCAATGTCGGATGAGCAATTCCTTGATTTCACAAAAACGAAACCAAACCTCAACCTCCCAGTTGCTTTTGAGGAGCTAAACCATGAAGCGTTTAGTAAGTTTTCTCTAATGTTTCGGTGTGATAAATGCGTTTGATTTCCTTCATTTTTTGTTGTGATAGAAACTTAAAAACTGGAGAGAAATGCGTTTGATTTCCCAATTTTTCGGTGCGATAGTAACTTAAAATCTATCTGCGTTTGATTTCCCAATTTTTCGGTGTGATAGTAACTTAAAAACTGGCGATAGATGCGTTTGATTTCCCTAATTTTTTCTGTGTGATAGAATCTTTAAATCTGGAGATATATAGATGCGTTTGATTTCTCTACTTTTTCTGTGTGATAGAAACTTAAAAACTAGAGATTGATGCGTGAGTTAGCTCTCCCTTCCATGAATCGATTCAAGGTGGTCGTACTTACTTAGCTTTACAGACTGTGTGATCTAAAGTTTTCTATTGATCAGTGTGTGAGATAGATGAATGTGGCTTTAGCCTTTAGTTAGCTCTCGTCTATTTGTTAACTGGTTACTGTTACTGTTTCATATCTAATTGTTTTCAAGGTGTTCTTACTTCTTATCGGTTTTTACATACAGTAGAAAGTCATTTTGGTGTATGATTTTCTTATTAATCTGGATTTGAATCAAAGTTTGTTCTTGCTAGTCAAAAGTCATTTCTCAACTTGTTGTTAACTGGTTTTATTTCTTTGAAGGGTCTCTACACCCAGATCAATTCAGTGGTTTACGTGTAAACTATTCTGCTGCCATTTATGATCAGAAGGTTTTCATCAGTTCCACGAACTCAGAAGCGAATAATGAATGTGGTGGATACTTCTTTCACCCTAAGGTAATGCACAAGCAAATCAAATGAAAGTTTTTGTATTGCATTTCTTTTTTCTTTTACTGATATCTCTCATTTTTGTGTAGCTGGTACTTGTTGGAAAAGCATCTACAGACGGTACTCTCAATGCGAGAGTGAAAGCTTCTGTAACTGAACAAATTCTCCTCAAGGCCAGTGCAACGTCGTCGACTGCTCTTGTCACCCTCGAGTACACGGGGCTAAGCAACCGATCACAACTGCAGCTCGGGAGCAACGGCTTGATGGGAGCTACATACATACAGGTTGTTTCTTCACGCCTTTAACAATTCTCTTACATACTTCATTCTTAATTTCTGTATTCTGTGCTGCAGCGAGTCTCACCCCGCCTTCACTAGGAAGTGAGTTTGTTTGGGCGGGTGTTTCTCAAAAGTCTGCAGTTGGATTTGGCGTAAGATGTGAAGATGATAAAATGGTAATATTCTCTTCTTAGAACACTGTAGTTTATCAGTGTGTGTTAATACAAAAAGCTGGAGATAGATGAATGTGGCTCGAGTTAGCTCTCTTCTATTGGTATTGGGCAATGTGTAGTTACTGAGATTTTCTTATCAACAGGTTGCCACTGCTCAAGGCTTTGACACGGGTAACATCCTTATGACATATGTGCATAAGGTCTCTAAAAAGGTAATGCTCCTTTCTTGTTTATCTTTAAACTCAGTGTAAGAGATCATAATCATGACATATATTTTTTGCTCATAATCAGGTTTCTCTAGCCACAGAGTTTGTCTTCAACTACCTCGCAAATGATGCAAAAGCCAGCTTTGGTTGTGACTACGTTTTCGATCAGGTAGCATCGCCATTTTTCGATTTTAATGGAATTGAAGTGTCTTTCTAAATCTGTTTAATTCTAATATTATAGCACCTTCTGTTTCAGTGTCGTCTCCGAGGCAATGCTGATTCTGAGGGTGCGGTTTGTGCTCTTATCGAGGGTGGATTGGGTACTGGAAAGATTAGTCTTTCGGCCAAACTGGCGGATTTGAAGAAAGGAGATGTTGTTTTCGGATTAGGCATAGCCTTAGGTTAGTGAAAAAAAAAATGTTGATTAGCCTTCAGTTATTTTGTTAGCTTTTGGCCAAACTTTCACCGAATGTGGATACTTGTGATTCACAGGTTGACATAGCTATGAAGATGTCCAAGATGGAGGAGTTCACTACCCGATCAGCTCCAACCTTGATAACATAAGAAGAATGGTCAAGTTTAACGACTCAAATCATAAACTTTTGTCTGCACCTATGTGATACTTTCTTCTTATACTATCCAAGTTACGTTATTCAAATTTTTAGTCTTTGGGAGAATTTGTATTTGTTATTGGAATTCTGAACAACCCTGATAATTATTAGTCTTTCTGGAGTTGTCGCGAGTATTTTTTTACTTCTACCGATTTTGCTTTCTCAGTTTTGTTTCCGTCTTTTGCATATATGTTTAATACTACCATTGAACAAATCTCAAAGTTTTGTTACACGATTTCTAGGTGCTTTTGTAACAGGAATAAACCGGTAACCGGTTTAGTTTTCTAATTTCTGGTTCACTAATCTTCTTTGGTCATTTGTTTAGACCACCAAACCATCGTGATTCTTCTATATGTAAAGGGTTTTAGCCATTTTCTGGGAATCAATCAAAAACACAAATTATCTTCTTCAATCTCCTTTATATCTTTCGATCATCATCGTCTTCCATTTACACCAAATCTTAGATCTTCGAGGTGATCCTTCACCTTCTGGGTTTTGATTTGCCAATCTCCGGATTCTCGGTGGATCTCTGGATTGGATTTATCTTACCTTAGAGTGCTGATTCGGGATTTATCATACCGTTACATTGGTATCAGAGCATTTCCTTCTCCGGACCCAGAATCATGAAATTGAACACACACAAGCTCTGTCCTCTGAAGTATTCATGTGAGGAGGTGTATGAGAGAATGGACAATGGCTTGTGTATATTTTGTGAAGAACAAGATTCTCCTGCTCACCAACAGTTGAAGCACAAGAGATTACGGATTGTCATGACGGAACGTGAAGATAATCTAGCTTCTGATGTTAAAGAGAAGGCTCATCAAATTCTGGAAACTGTGACTAATCCAGAGCCGTCCTTAGAAACTACTAAGGATTCAGATTCGTTCACCAAACCGTTGGTAGCAGAGCGTGAGTTGGGTTCAGATCGTGATGTGTTGCTTGTTCATAAGGTGGTTTCACATGTCAAAGAAGAGGAAGAATTACTTCAACAATCAACAAGTGTAATGCCAAAACCGATGCACACCAAGTGTTTGATAAAATTCCTCTAAGGGTACCAAGTAAGGAGAAACAGAGGAAGTATCTTAAGGCATGGAAATTTAAGTTCAAAACCATTTCAAAGAGAAGCAAATCGAGAGATGATCGATTAAAGCTAGTAGATGAGAATGGATCAAGGCTGGAAATGTTGAATCAGATAGAAACATTTCTTTACCATCAGAAATCGAGAAGTTTAATAATATGTGATTATCTCCATAAATTATCTCGAGCTAATCGTGTGTGGAAGCCAGGTGGATTGTTTGTGTCTACAAGATCATAATGCTGGTAGCGTTCTGAAGATAACACAGCAGTTTCATGGATTGCGTTTGAAAGGAATCATTTATATGGATATGAAATTTCAAGAAGTGTTTAGTAGCTGATGTGTTGAGTGTAATGGTCTGCTTGAGTGTTCATAGCAGGAAGTTTGAAGCAGACTTGGATATCTATATCTCATACCATTGCCCGAAAAATTCAGAGATGGTCATTCCACGGGTAAAAGAAACTCAAGATTGGGTAGTGAAAGCATGGTTTCTGTTCAGGTATTTTCTGATTTTGATATCGCATCATGGATTGAAGAAAATATATGGCTGCATTTAAAGATTGAATTGATGCTCATTTATGGATCTCTTCAAGACCGCCAGAATCTAACGGTGTACATGTGTGGATCTTAAACTTAATATCTAGAATTGTTGGTGGTGGAACATTATTCTATGTTGGTAATGTTGTGGTATGGAGAACGTTGAAAGGAAACTTTGTCCCTAGACTGGAGGAAATTTGCTAGAAAGCATCAAACAGGATCTGGAGTTTGCCATTGATAGAAGAGTAGAGTTTGGACTACTAATACTTTCACACTCAAAATTCGGGTTTGAGGCTGTCGTCAAGAAGGTAACCAAGGAGTCTATTCCCGTATAAGCTATGCATGGATAAATCTAATGAATGAAGCTGCATATTCTCATGACGAGAAGATCTTTTATGCTTTGACTTCTGGATTATGTCAACCTAAAAGATATCATGAAGTGATTAGAGTGTTGGAGAAACTGAAACAGTCAAGGTTCTCTTCTGATTTATGGACTACAGGATACTTGCTGGTTTGTTTTGCGAATCAAAGCTAGAGATAGGAGTCACAGTGTTGCTGGAGGAAAATAGCGACATCAAAAAGAATGTCTTCTTTGGTAGAAATGTGGTTAAATGGAAGTACTGGTTGTGTTTTCACAAATGCTTCAAGCTATCAAGAATACTGATACGTGACTAAGAACACTTCATTTCTAGAAGACAATAAAAGTTCATATCTTCATGGAGAACTCAAGCTAAGGATTTCTCTTGGTCATCTGATGAAGAAATACCGCAGCTTGTTAGAACAGTTGTGTTACATGCGTAGTGAAAGAAAGAGAGCTGCTCATGTTGACCGTTTGGTTAAGGAGTTTAGTGTACTTTTAAGCTATGCTAAAGATTGGAGGAAGCTACAGCAGTGGTCGTACCACAAGACCTGGAATTCAAGTACATACTTAAACTTCTGTCTAGAGCTCCGCTACAGAATGAACAACATAACTCAGGGCAGGAAGGAACATTAAGTGTAAAATGAGAATTGAGGTAGATATAGAGGCTCATAGGGTCTTATGGGTGAAAGAACAAAAGGTTGCAGGTGGTTTGATTACATATCTAGAATGGCAGGCTATGTATGAGTTGTCTCTGTTGTTGGGAGTGTTACAAGTTGTCAAGAATCGCAAGAATATTGCTTGTTTGATTAATACCGCTGCTCTACATATCAAAGGAGAATCTGATCTACATGGAAGAATCAAAGAAGAGAAGTCTATGGGTTCTTTCATAAAGAAACAATGCAGCCTGCGGGGTCACCGTTGATGACAAGTACTACAATCCTTTACTTAAGGACTTACTAGATGAGATCACTACCAAGGAAGTTTTGCTTATCTTCTTCAAAGAATTTAGGCACTCTATCTCTCATGCAGGCCAAGCTAAGGAACCTAAAGCGTACTTTTATAAGTGGATGGCTAAACATCAGTTACATCACAATATCTCTGTCCTTAAAGCCCTTGTTCTATGGAAATGGTACCCTCCGGAACACGCTACTGTGAAGTTTTCTCAAGCTTTCATTGGCAGTTTTGCAATCTTTCTTCTCGACAGGGGAGTAGCGTAACAGGATAAACCGGTAACCGGTTTAGTTTTCTAATTTCTGGTTCACTAATCTTCTTTGGTCATTTGTTTAGACCACCGAACCATCGTGATTCTTCTATATGTAAAGGGTTTTAGCCATTTTCTGGGAATCAATCAAAAACACAAATTATCTCTTCAATCTCCTTTATTTCTTTCGATCATCATCGTCCTCCATTTACACCAAATCTTAGATCTTCGAGGTGATCCTTCACCTTTTGGGTTTTGATTTGCCCTTATCTCGTGCTCTCGGTGAGTGCTGATCGGGATTTATCATACCGTTACAGCTTTTGGACAAATCATCAAAACTCTCCCTCTTGCTAAGCCTTTTTCCGAGAGAACTCATTGTACACAATCCTTTTGCTAACTCTTCTCATGCTAATACATTCGACCACTAAATTGTATTGATAGTTGAATCCGATCTTACACAATAATTTTTTCTATAGACACAACTAATTTTGTATTAAGTTAACTAGTTAAAGATAAAGCAGCCATTAACTATTTTAATGGTTCCTTAACGTCTCCAACTTCGTTAGGTCTTCAATCAAGCGAAACAAAAGGGATTATCTTCTACTCTTAAGTATTTATCTTCTTCTTCTTTTATTTAATTAAAGTCATACTTAAAAATCCGTAAGAAAAAATTTAAAATATAAAATTTGAAAGTTAAATTATCTATAGTTTACTTAACAATGGAAAAGCTTAAGAAAAATTACAGTTTTTTACTTATTTTGATTCTCTTATTTCTTTATATTAGTTTAGTCTGCAATTAGTTTTTTGTTATATGTTCGCAAATATTTTAGTTTATAAATGTTAAATCTTATCGATTCACATTTGAATTAGATTTCACATTTAAATTCAAATAGTATGTCGATGAACGAAACACTTTAACGAATTAGATTTCATATTTATATTAGAATAAGATTAATTTTAAATCACATTTGAATTTTCTTATTTTTTCCGATTCTGCATAAAATAAATTTATTTATTTTTTTAAATTTTTACTATTATTTTATAATATTTGTTTATTCTTTAAAAAATGATTAGTGTAACTGACTCATATGAAACTTTGAAGAATTCGTTTCATATTCTTGTTTGAATAAGATTTTATTAAACAAAAAATTATATTTGACAAAATAGTAAAAGTTAAAATAATAAAATAAGAATAATATGTACTATGGCTGTGCCATTTTGTATTTGCAATATAAATTTATTTATTTTTACTGGTGGAATACGATTTTCCACTTTTTTTTTGTTTTAATTAATTTCATGTGTTGTAAAGTATTATATACTCATATAATATTTAATTTGTTATATCCTATTGAATTAATTTTCTTTTCTTATTATTTTGCTACTTAACTATATTTTTCTTTAAACCTTGAAAAAATTGATTCTCATAAACTTATTTAATTCAGTTTTACCTTTTGAATCATATTCGGCTTGTATTTTTCTGAAGCGATATCAAAAAATCAATTTGTCAAAATTACATGCTTTAAAATATGATTGATTAATTGACATGTGTCGCGATTATGTTAATTACTAATTTTAGAACATCAAACTTTGTATAATAAAATTATATACTTTAATCACTTTTTTGTTGTATAATTTCTTTTTTAATATATGTGGTTAAAAATTAGTAATTTTAATCATTTTCTTATTAGGATTTGTAATTTACTCTATTAAAAAACATGAATAATGCTTTTAATTGTTTTCATATTAGGGTTAGTAATTTTTAAAAAAAGGATTAATGATGTTAACTGTTTTATTGCTAGAGATTATCTTCTTCTTTTTTTCATAGTTTTTGTAAATCTTCCTTATCTCTCCGCACTTTTGTTCTATATTTACTCTTTTCTCAATATATTTCCGTTTTTCAAATCCTTTGTATATTATCCTTTCAATATTATATTTCCATATATCTATATATACGTGCCTGTGTGAAAAAGAAGAAAGGACCTAAGAAAGCTTTCTGACTAAAACCCCAAACGTTGAATAATAGCATGGGAATCATGTCATCTACGGATATGAAACAGGAATCCAAATCTGAAAATAACCAAGTCCCGTCCAAGGAAGTGAGAGATCGATTACAAGTGTTCATGAAAAAAGGTGGTTGCGAAAATTCATATACAGCTTGTTAGGTTGTGATTCGCGGGAAGAAGAGTGTACGGAAAGCCTATTCCAATGTTTGGAAAAGTGTATGAAAGCTCGCTTTGATTACTTTGAGCCGTATCTCGCGCTGAAGAACCGCTAGTGCTGAAGTGATGGCGAGGGAGATCGAAGTCTTCCTCCATGCGAAACCAAATGACAGAGGCGAGCTGTTAGGCAAATTCATGACAAGAGGTGATTGCAAAGAAGCTTTTATGGCTTGGATGGATAGTTACGAAGAAGCCAAGAAGAACAAGGGAAGTCTTTATACACCTGCCTCAAACACCTTGTCGAAGTGTATAGAGGCTCACTCTGATTACTATCAGCCGCTTCTCACAGTGCTCAAAAATTATAAAGAACATTATAGTAAGGAGCGTATCGCCTTCTTGGATGCGTGGGAGCAAGCTCAAGCTGAGGCTGAGGGATGATTTGAATATGATTTACATAATATTTTAATGCTTTTTTCTTTGTTTACGTTTCCTTTTGCATGAATACTCTGCTTCTTCTTTTTTTAATATGATTCTGAAGGTCATTACTTTGTTGTTTCACTCATCGTCTTTATTATTGCCGTTTTTATAGTGATGCAAAACAACATGGCATTTAACTAAAAACTACACAAAATCCCTATCTATACACAACGGATTTTAAGATTTTAGGTTAACATCTTCAATTCGGATCAATGTATTCATCATATTTCCCTATATATACAACAACATATTCACGGAAATCTCACTATATAAGTCTCTAAGCAAATCTTTGGTGGTTCTCTAATTAAGGCTGCCGCTGGGGCGGTGGTTTCCGAGAAATATCTAGCGGTGTGGTTCGCTAAATTCAGCAAGCAAGAAAGTAGTGGTGGAGGAGGTTGCCGCCGAAGATTATTCATGTTTTCCTACGAGAACGAGAAGTTCCCTTCTTGGATTCCTCTTCCGACGGTAAACTTCTGGAAGAATCGGAGTCTATTGTGTTGGCTAAAGACTGTTCGGGTCATTATGCAAGCATTCAACAAGCAGTAAATGCAGCTGCCAAACCTCCTCCAAGAAACAAGAGAGAGAGTTGTAATATAAGTAAAAGGACCGTGATGGTTATAGGCAACGGTGTAGATTCTACTATCTCACCGGTATAGGAACGTTAAAAGATGGCACGACCGAACCTTCATTCAACTATATTACTCCACACTTAAACAACACTATTCTTTATTTTGTGTATCTCTTTCTTATGCTCCATTTCTTTCTCTTTTAAGTTTTAGTATCAAATATTTGTAAAATTGAGCTATCAGTATATTTCAGATCCAAAATAGGACATATTGAGTTTTGTTAAGTATCAATACCATGTGAATAATTGAGTGGTCGTATATATCATATTCATATATATGAGCGTGAGAAAAAAGAATTGGACTGTATAATCTTGTAATATATATATATATATATTATATTATATATATATATATATATATATATATATTTTTTCCGAAAAAGCTATGCATATGAAAAAGCTTGCTAGTGAGAGAGTTAGCATGTTTTGTTGATATGTCCAAAAACACCAAACTCATCTTAACGAACTACCACTACCACTACCCGCTAAAGATATTGGAGGAACCGGAGATCGACCGAGATCGACGGTCGAGATGATCGCCCAAGATTATGGAAATCATGAAGATCGAGAAGGATCTAGAAGTTATCATATCTTAAGTTTAGGAAGTTTAACATTATCTCTAAATATATTATTTACATTTATATTTATCTTATATTAGGAAATCATTTGCTATTTTTCGTTATAAAATTATAACTAATATTTGTTTAAATATAATTTTAATTCAGATTCTCAGGTATAGTGTTCACTTTTTTGTTCTGTTTGGATAATTCGAATAAAAAACATTTAGAATCCATTAAAGTTTTATGAGTATTTGGTTCGGTTTTAAAAACCGGATTTTTCGGATCGGTTTTGGATTTTGATTTTTATGTCCATGCCTAATTGTGCTCCAGGTGAAAATAAGTTATGGATGAGCCACTGTTGTTAATTATGTTTGTACATCAAATTGACAAACGTTTCATTTCTTATATCCTATGTTTATAATAAAAATCCATTTGTCCTAATATTATTATTACTTGAGATAAGAATAATAATATTTGGGATAACTGGGTGTAGTTAACTATAAAATATTCGAATGTTCGGTTTTGTTTGAACATATATATGAGTTTTAATAAATATTTAAACATAGTTTTTGTTTTAAAAGATAGAATAATTTGAGCTAAGACTTGTACTATGAATAATTGAGTGGTCGTATATAATGAGCGTGAGAGAAAAAAAAGGAAAAAAATTGGATTGGTACAATCGTGTAATTCGAAAAGAGCTAATAAACTCGTGAGTCACACAATCCGGTTGAGGATTAAAAATCAAACCGGAGAAAACCAATATTGGCACAATTAAAAAAAAACAAAAATACAAAAAAGGTTGAAAGTCATAAAACGAAATCGAAATCGGAAGGCTCGCTCGGCCCCCCAGAAAATTTCTCCCTCCCAGTTGCTTTTGAGGAGTTAAACCATGAAACGTTTAGTAACCAGTGAGATTCTTTCTCTTCTACGACGGCTCTCGATTTGTAGAGTAGAGCCATGGGTTGTTGCTTCCGTGCTAGAGAAGACCAATCTACGAGTGATTCAGTCTCTCAAGCCAATTCCAACGTAATTCTCATCCTTCCTTCTCTATTCCAGATCTTTTAATTTGCAATTCTATGTTCAATTTAGCTGTTAGAATTGGTGGAGATAAATATTTCAGAGAAATCGATTCTTCTGCCTTTCAAAGTATCATTTTCTTGTAACGTAATTGTTTCAATTGAAGAATCGTTATGGATTCATTGTTTCTTTGATTGTTGTGTGATTTTACAAAATTTTGCTTCAGTTTTTGTTCTGGATTTGGTTTCTATGAGCAATTTTGTTTGATTTGAGTAATTATACTATAGATTCATTGTTTCTTAGATTGTATCTCTGAATTTGCTTATTGAATTTCATTGTTTTTGGTTTCGATTTTTGTATAGGAACATTTTTCGAACAAGGCTTTGAAATTGAAGTTAGCACCAACACAGCATGTTTTCGTAAATGCCGGTTTCTCGAGCAATGTTTTACCTCTGCAACAAAGTGTTAAGCCAAGCGTAGTTCCTTACAAAGTTGCTTTATCACCTAGCAAATCTGATGATGGGTCAGTTTCATTGGACGAGACAATGTCTTCAACTGATTCCTACAAGATTCCTCAAGTGGAGTATATCGACAATTACAAAGTTTCAGCTGTTGTTCGATTGAAAGGAAAGCATTGAGTAATCTGTACATAAGATGGTCCAGTGGGCAGTGGCATCCTACTATGGATGTTTTGTTCTCTTGAAGTTATGATAACACTATCAAGGTAAAGAGAAGAATGTTTCAAATTTGATTTGACGAATTGAACATTTGAGCTTTTAAAAGTTCTGTCATATCCGTAAGAATGTGAGATTGAACAAGTCACATTCTTTTCTTATAATTGTCTGCCAATATAAGCATTTAACTACAATTCTTGTGTTTCTGTTAACAGGTTTGGTGGTCTACGGATGAATATGGTGATTATAATTGTGTCCAAAACTTGGGTGAATCTAACAAGTATATCCTCTATTTGCCTCTTCTTTATTCTCACACGTTCAAAATTTTCCTACTTTGATGCTATAGTTTTCTAAACCTTCTTATATGCTTATAATTATACATATTGCCTTTAATCTTCACTTAGTGGTCATTCTTCTACCGTCTGGGTTATCTCCTTTAATGATGATGGGAACGAGATGATCACTTGTTTCTGATCGGAGATTTCATCTCTGTTACCTGGTCTGACAATACTAAGATTGTTTGAACTTGTAATGATGATCTAACAGTGAAAATATGATGGACATATTGCAGGGATGCAATCTGGTGAAGGATATGTACCCCGGTGAGGATATGTAATCAATTATCACTTCATAGAGTTTAGCATATAAATTTTCATCTTTTGAAGATTTATTCTTTGTTTTCGTATGGTCTTTAAGTTTGACATAAGATGCATACGGTCAGATATTCTTCATTCGCTAGGGATTTCATATTCCAAGTTGTAGCTAATACAACATTTACCTGTTTGATTTTTTTAGGACCCATCTTCTTTGTACACTCTCTGGTTTTCATGATCGTACCATATATTCAGTTCATTGGTCAAGGTATAGACTTCTCACTTTGGTGTCTTTTGATTTTGAGGTATTTGAATGAAACATTGGTAAAGTTTTTATCAAAAAGGAAAAAAACATTGGTAAAGTCCTACTAAATTCCTTGGGCAACCAAGAAGACGATTTCTTACACCTGTTCTTCAGGTTCAATTTCATTTATACAATTTCATTTCGTTTCTGTGAATCTGGTTTTTGTTTTGTTTTGTAGGTTTTTCTTTTGTTTTGTAACTGTAAGATTGGGAGGAACGTTATAAGAAACAGAGGAGGCTTTTTCGTTTGAGACGAATAAGGCGAAAGTTGTGGTGATGAACGCAGAGATTCGAAGAACCAAAGCTCGATTGCTTGAAGGAATTCCAAAACTTCAAAGGCTTCAAAGGCTGACCGATTCCCAAAAAGACAGGAGTACATTGAAACAAAGGGACTTCGAGCTGAGAAGAATAGCTTTGGCGTCTGAGAATCTGCTGACTTTAAGCTGAGAAGAATAGTTTTGTGGTCTGAAAATCTACGGACTCTAACCGGAGATTTGTGGTCTGAAATTCTGGTGACTCCGGAGATAAAGTTAAAGAATCTGGTGAGAGACGAAGATGAGAGACGACAACGACGATGAGAGACGAATTTCATTTTGGGTATTACATTACGTGTTTGGATTTAAATTATAGTTTAGATGTTTTGATGTTCATTAAGATTTATGCTCACAAAGAATTAGTTTTATGGAATTTTGTTTTAACTGTAAGAATCCATAATTTTACCAAATCTAAAAAAAGAAGAGGCAAAGCATAATTTGAAGAATGATTTAATATAAAAAATTATGGTATCGAATAAATTATTAAATTATCATTTTAACTAATTAATGTGAACTAATGGTGAAAATATAATCTTAGAAAATGAAAGACAATGGTAAATATTTTCAATGCTATTCATAGTCTCCACTCTCCAGCATAAATATTAACGAAAAATGCTACTCAAAACAGCTTCGTATAAACCCCATAATAGAGCAACTAATCATCTTGCTTCTCTTTAAAGAAGAATAAGTAATAGATTATGACTCTAGACTAAATAAGATTAGTTTCTTAATTGTTAGAGATTCAATTGTGTTTGATTCAGAAAAATACACCTAGTAGAAACTAAAAAACTGGAGATAAATGCGTTTGATTTCCCTAATTTTTTTGGTGTGATAGAAACTTAAAAACTGGAGATATAGAGATGCGTTTGATTTCCCTAATTTTTCATGTATTATGCGTTTGATTTTCCTAATTTTGCGGTGTGATAGAAACTTAGAACACCTCCATTGAAGGTTTTTATTGTACACAATCCTTTTTGCTAACGATCTTCTCATGCTAAAACTGTATTGATAGTTGATACAACTCATTGATCCGAGCTCACACAATAATTTTATCTATAGATACAACTAAATTTTTGTATTAAGTTAACTAGTTAAGGATAAGGTAGTCATTAACTATTTTAATGGTTCCTTAACGTCTCCAATTTCGTTAGGTCTTCAAGCGAAACAAAAGGGATTATCTTCTAATCTTTAGTATTTATCTTCTTCTTTTATTTTAAATATAAATAGAGATTATCTTCTTCTTCTTCTTTTTTTGGGGTAAATCTTCCTTATATCTCATGTTTTACTTTGCCAAATATTAAATGTTTAGTATTTAATTTTCGCTCCCATATTAAATGGTCGCTTATGTTATCTTTGCCAAATGCCATCTCGTGCTTTTTTCTCTTTCCGTATTAACTTCTTGAAATCGATTTTGTTTTCATGGTGGCTGAATGTTTAGCATTGACATCATCAAACTTAGAAATTCTTCACGACTCTTTTCTGGTCGCTTGGTTAGTCCGAATTAATTTTCTGTTTAGTTAACTTCGCTAGATTTTAAGCGAAACAAAAGGGATTCTCTTCTACTAAGTATTTATTTATCTTCTTCTTTTATTTTTTAAATATAAAAAGAGATAATCTTCTATTTTTTTGGTCAATCTTCCTTATCTCTCCGCACTTTTTTTTACTTTTTTTTCTCAATATATTTCCTCTTATTTATTATATATATATGCCTTGTGAATAAAGAATAAGGGACCTAAGAAGAAGCTTTCTGACTAAACCCAAACGTTGAATAATAGCATGGGTATTATGTCATCCACGGATCAAGTCTCGTCGAAGTCGAAGGCAGTGAAAGGTCCATTACATGTGTTCATGAAAAAAGGTGGTTGCGAAGAATCATATACAGCTTGTGTAGGTTGTGATGCGCAGAAAGATGAGTGTAGGGAAGCCTTTTCAATGCTTGAAAAGTGTATGAAAGCTCGCTCTGATTACTTTGAGCCATATCTCGCGTTGGAGAACGCTAGGGCTGAAGTGATGCTGAGAGAAATCGATGCCTTCCTCCATGCGAAACCAAAGGACAGAGACGAGATGTTTACCAAGTTCATGATAAGAGGTGATTGCAAAGAAGCTTTTATGGCTTGGAATGACTTCTGCAAAGAAGCTAAGAAGAATAATAAAAGTTGTCTTCATACACCAACCATGGACACCTTGTTCAAGTGTATGAAGGCTCATTCTGATTACTATCACCCGCTTCTAACGGTATTCAAAAATGCTGAAGAACATTTTAAAAAAGAGATCAAAGCCTTGGATACGAGGGAGGGAGCTGAACCTGATGCTGATGCTAATCGATGATTAACAAAAGGATTTATTTACGTAATATTTTTATGCTTTCTTTTTTTTTTTTCCCTTCTTAATGAATACTCTTCTTCTGTTTTAATATGATTCTAAAAGGCCACGCATTACTTTGTTGAATGTTTCAGTCATCGTCTTTATAATTTTTTTTTATAACGGTTTTAAAGATTTTAGGTTAACCTCTTCTATTCGTATTCAACAAATTTACTTACACATTCACCGGAATCTCACTAAGTCACTATATATAAGTCTCTAAGCAAATCTTTGACGGTTCGCTTAGGCTGTGGATGATTCTAAAGGTCATTGTTTGTGATGCAAAACAGCATTTACTTAAAAACGACATGAAATCTGTTTGTTCCTTCCTCCATCTCTGCCGTGGCTATATTGTCGCTTCAGCTTCATAATTATTTGACAGATAAATGTGTCCTTTATTGATGGTTTAGAGCAACTCCAATGGTAGGTTTCTTTATTAGATCTTACCAATTTTTTAATCTTAAAATTTAGAGATTTAAAAGTTAAGACAAGATGAGAAGGTCTTAACAAATTCTTTGTCCAATGGTAAGAAATCCATGAAGAGGTCTTAATTTTTTTTGTTTTTAAAAATAAAGTTTGGTTTGGTTTTTGAAAGTAGAGAGATTCATGTGTTACCATATGTTATCATGTATTTTATTATGTGTTAAATGGGACAAAGAGAGATTCATGTGTTATCACATAATTTGATTTGTTAAATGCAAAAGGGAGATACATTTGTTATCACATATTTTGATGTGATTCAAAATGTTTTCAAATGCAAAACATAGATTCAAATGCAATCTTCATCTTCAAGATATTGAAATCTCCAAAACAGATATTCAGACATAAATCAGATTTTCAGAACAGAGTTTCAAAGACCATCCTCTTCATGTATATTACATAAAACTAAACAATCCGATTTGAAGTAATTAGAATTAGACACATTGGTTCAAATACATGAATAGCCAAGGACTTCAATTTCATTATCACCAAAAAGTTTATGAAATTTGCTATAATACTGAGACAAGGAAAAAAAGTTGCTATAAAATCAAACAATAATTTTACTCTATTATTAGTTTACTTGTCATGGATACGACGGCCGTAGGGAAATAATCTTTACGTAACTCCTAAAAAGCCTGAATTATTGGGATACCAAAATCTAAAAATCACACGTCAATCAAGCGTATTTACTCCAACATGGAACTTAATCCAATACATGAATTCCACGTGGCGATTTTCCATTGGTCGATGTTTCTTTTTCTTTCAAGTATAAAAACATATCCCACCACGCTCCTCAATACAAACAAAAACAGAGCCAAAGTGAGAAATATAAAATGGCGGGAAACTCCCTAATCGCTCCGGCGATTATGCTCGCGATGCTTCTCCTTATTTCACTGGAGACTCACGCCGGTCACGACTACCGCGACGCTCTCCGCAAGAGCATCCTTTTCTTCGAAGGTCAACGCTCCGGGAAACTTCCACCAGATCAACGTCTTAAATGGCGCCGTGACTCCGCCTTACGCGACGGTTCCTCCGCCGGCGTGGATTTAACGGGAGGCTACTATGACGCTGGAGATAACGTAAAATTCGGATTTCTGATGGCGTTCACGACGACAATGATGTCATGGAGCGTCATAGATTTCGGTAAAACAATGGGACCGGAGCTTGAAAACGCCGTGAAAGCTATCAAATGGGGAACAGATTATCTCATGAAAGCGACTCAGATTCCCGACGTCGTCTTTGTCCAAGTCGGAGACGCTTACTCCGACCACAATTGTTGGGAACGTCCCGAGGACATGGACACGCTTCGAACGGTTTATAAAATCGATAAAGACCATCCTGGTTCCGAAGTCGCCGGAGAAACCGCAGCCGCACTAGCGGCCGCGTCGATAGTGTTTGAAAAACGCGATCCAATATACTCCAAAATGCTCCTCGACCGAGCAACAAGGGTACTTTACTACTTTCTTTACTTTAACCCTTTTTTTAATTCGTCTTTTTTTGTTATGATAGGGAAAAATAATCGTGATTTGTCAAAAAGTGTTAGCAATTGGTTATATACTTTACTTGTGTGATAAATATTCTCTTTATTTGTTTCTTATAATGTTTGTTTCCGTACATTTTTGACCCACAATGAAGTATGAAGTACTTTGTTTTTGTTAGAAACGTATGAACCATTTCACATTACTTGATTTGAAGAACTTTTGACATCTACGAAAATAAACTAGTTTTGTGGAAAATGTGAATGGGCACAGGTGTTTGCCTTCGCCCAAAAGTACCGAGGAGCGTACAGTGATAGTCTTTACCAAGTAGTGTGTCCTTTTTACTGCGATTTCAACGGTTATGAGGTAACTAAAGATTTTACCACAATTTGATATTTCTTTCACAAACGTTTGTTGATGAAATTGTTGCGTCTAGGATGAGTTGCTTTGGGGAGCGGCTTGGCTACACAAAGCGTCGAAGAAACGAGTGTATAGAGAGTTCATCGTGAAGAACCAAGTTATTCTAAGAGCTGGAGATACGATCCACGAGTTTGGTTGGGATAATAAACATGCTGGGATTAATGTCTTAATCTCCAAAATGGTACTAATGGGAAAAGCAGATTATTTTCAGAGTTTTAAGCAAAACGCTGATGAGTTTATCTGTTCTTTATTGCCTGGAATTTCTCACCCTCAAGTCCAATACTCACAAGGAGGATTATTAGTGAAGAGTGGAGGAAGTAATATGCAGCATGTAACATCTTTGTCGTTTTTGTTACTAACATACTCTAATTACCTAAGTCACGCTAATAAGGTGGTGTCATGTGGCGAATTCATAGCTTCTCCTTCTCTTCTCCGTCAGGTCGCCAAGCGACAGGTAACTAAACTAAAAACCAACATTCCTCTGTTTTTAGTATCGTGACATTAAGTAACGTAAGTGTTAATGTTGTTTGGTGACGTACGTTAAACATAGGTGGACTACTTACTAGGAGATAATCCGATGAAAATGTCGTACATGGTTGGGTATGGTTCGAGGTTTCCGCAGATGATTCACCACCGTGGTAGCTCAGTTCCTTCAGTCGTGGACCATCCTGGTCGTATAGGGTGCAAAGACGGTTCTCGTTACTTCCTCAGCAATAATCCAAATCCTAATTTGCTAATTGGCGCCGTCGTTGGTGGGCCTAATATCACTGACGATTTTCCTGATTCGAGACCTTACTTTCAGCTGACTGAGCCCACTACTTATATCAACGCACCTTTATTGGGCCTTCTTGGTTACTTCTCGGCCCATTCGTGATTTCACACCTCGAACTCGATGCATGAAGTGTATTTTTGTTGTGATTTGTGATTGTTACCGAAAAATCAATTTCCTAATGGATTAGTAGGTTCTCAAAATCAATCGAGTATTAATAACAATCATCAATTTTTAATCATATGGGACTTAGGGAAAACAAGAGTAATAATGGGAGAAAGAAGGAGACAAGAGTAATTAATATTTTTATGACCAAAAAAAATAATCAAAATTAGGAATTTGTCTTAAGGACTTTGGTCGGCTGCTTTCCGCTTAACACAAGAACAAGAACGCTATTTTGTCCCCTCCACGCAATTACCTCTTCTTCTCTCAGACATTTTGTCAAACAGATGGTGCTCGTTCTGAAACAGCTTACGAACTAAGTAGGAAAAGACTAAGCTTGGCTTTCTCCGATTAGAAGGGGGGAAAAGAGAAAACGAGGGCTTAGACGAGTGATGTGATAGAGATGGAAGGAGTTGAGCTAGAATTAGAGAGAAGAAGCAAGTTCTTGAACAGTTTGATACAGAAGAAGAAGGCTAAAGAACAGCAAGATCAGAAAGATGAGTTCAATGTTCGAGTTAGGGCTTCAGATATGTCTTTGGTTCAACAGAACAGAGCCTTTAGTTTGTCGCGTGAGATTTTGAATGCTACTCCTGGGAAAGCTGATAACAAAAGACTCGCTCTTGCCCTAAAAAAGGTTAGATCTTTTGTGTCTCTCTGATGATTTATCTGTCTCTGGGTTGAAATGGAGTCGTTGAAGTTTAGTACTATGGAGTGAGTTTTTAATTTTGACACAGAATCTAAGTATTGAGCTGGTTTTGGGTTCTAGGGCTACGTCTCAAAGTCGCTTGCTTTATGTAGAATGTGGTTATTGTTTTCTTGTTCTTGATTGGTTTGAAGATGTGTGTAGTTATGTGTGAATCTTAAATTTGGATTTTCATTTTGTGTACTTGCATTTTGTTGAGATTCATAGATGGTCCCATATTTGCTATGGCTTTCATTTGGTTGCATTTGACTTTGTTGTTTGTTCCATTGTTGTTGTCTTTTCTATTTATAGCTTCAGTTACTCTACTTCACTAGGTCATTTTTGTATTGAGAGGATAACTTTAGTATGAGTCTCTTTGTGAAATGTCTTGAAACTGAATGTTCTTGTTGCTTATTGAGATGAAATTGGGGCTATGTCTTATTAGACCTAGCATGCACCATCTGCTAAGCTTCTGTATCTGTGCTGTTAGAGTTAGATGCTACCTAATGATAACTCTGAAGCATGTTTGCAGTAGGAGGAGAGCCTTACCCAAATATATAAAGGACTCCGTTGTCTTATGATAAAACCGGTTTGGCATTACTACTACCCCATATCTAGAGTTGTCCATTTATGCAGTTTTTGCTGTGTACTGTGTATATGGCTATGTGTTTGATGAATAACACATTAACACTTTTAAAATGTGAGGATGGTGTTCCTTCTTAGAGGGTTTTGATGATTAGCTTTTTAATTTTCACATGTGGAGCGAAATGGAGCACTTTTTGGTTTGTGAATCCCTCAATTTCTCATATTCGAATAGGTAGAGGCATTGATTGATTCATACGCTGGTTTTATGAAGTGGTTGAGTAAAACAATATAGTGTTTCACTTATCTGTGTGCAGCTTACTTTTTGTCTCAGTGTTCATCAATCTCTTAATAATGGCTACCTCTTTTATGATTGATATGAGTCAGTTTCTGCTGTTTTGCCTTGTTTTATCTCGGAATAGACCTTCATATGTTTCTTATACTGAAGTGAATCTCACTGTCCCATTTGTCTAACGGCATGTTGCAGCTGATTTAAAACTCTATTCACTAAACAGTTTTCCATCTGTCTTACATTTTAGGACTTTGATTCAGCCTACGGCCCGGCATGGCACTGCATCGTCGGGACAAGCTTTGGTTCATACGTGACTCATTCCATTGGAGGATTCATATACTTTCAGATCGACAAAGTTTACGTTCTTCTCTTCAAGACCGCAGTGGAGCCGTTAGATCAAAAATGAGAAAAAAGTTGTTGATCCATAAAAAAAAAATGCATCTTCAATTAATCCATCCTTTCAATTTCTCTATCTTGTATTCAAACTCTGTGTAATTCTTGAGTTAATCTCTGCCTAGACGAAATCCTTGTGGCTCCTCCTATTGTGTAATTAGAATTGATCTTCTACTGTGAATTGTTTCATCTTCACAATGCAAAATATTGTTCTTCTCTTTCTCAAAATCTTTACTTTTTTTTTGTTGGTGTGTTATGAAAATTAGGTAATTCGAGTTCTTTCTTTCTGTTGAGTGTTGTTGTTGACATTTTCTTCTTCCTCAAAAGAGCTTTAAACCCAAAACCTCTATTACCAATTTTGCTCCTCCGGTTTATTAGAATCAAGAAAACACACAAAAAACAAAAAAAAAAAGAATCAGTGAAGAAAAAAAATGGATCAATCGCAGAGAACACTCGCTGCTGCAACGCCTTCGTCTTCTCGATCATACCAATTCCACCCTGCTCGTGCTGCAATTATCGATCTTTTCAATCTCTACTTAGGGGTTATTGTCTTCTCCAATCTCCCAATTTTTCTTCGATTTTTGTTCCATTTCTCTCTGCTGATTTTGCCTTCTCTTTTTACACACAGAGAGGAAGCCGTCAAAAACCCGATGAGTCCCTCAGAGATCCTCCGTATGTTTCTATTGATTCTGAAATAACTCTTGTTTCTCTCCCTGTGTTTGATTTTGTCCATGTTGATTGTTTTCATCAGGAACAAATCACAGAAGCGTGTTCATGCTCCTAACAGAGACTTACCACCAAGAAACGAGCAATTCATTTTGGATTTTGAGCAGCTTCAGAGCCAATTCAATGTAAAGTTTCGATTTTTATCATCTTTTATCTCTCTCTTTGTGATTTTGTAAGATAAAGTTTTGTTTTTTTCGAACTCTTTATTAGGATCCAGAGCAATTGAGGACGATTACGGAGTCAGTTTTGATATCTTTGGTGGTGCAATGTAGCAATCATGCGCCTCGTGCTGAGTTTCTTCTCTTTGCTTTGCGTACATTGTGTAGGATTAGTTATATCAATTGGGATACTTTTTTACCATCCCTTCTCTCTTCGGTTTCTGCTGCTGAGGCTTCGTTAAGCCAAGGTGTTCAAGCTGCGGCAACGGCTGCTTCTTCTGCTACTTCTTCACAGTCTTTAGTTCCTGTGTCTGCCAATCCTGTCTCTAGCTCGTCGAACTATCATTCTACCAATCCAACGTCATTGTTGCCTTCAGCTCATGGTATTGGTTCTCCATCAGCTTCAGGGAATGAGCCGGGTTCTTTAACTACTTTTGCACAGGTTAAATCTTTGGAGAATGGACAGCAGATTGCAAGAGCAGGCCAGACTGTAAGAGAGAATGCTATGAGAAATAGTCAACGGATTAGAGCTGCTGCTATAAACAGTCTGCGCCAGCTCAGTTGCAAGATTATCTTGATTGGCGTTGAATTTAGTCTCAAACCCGTTACTCATGCAGAGATTTTCCAGTACATGATGAATTGGCTTGTTAACTGGGACAGGAGAGATCTGGGAACTGAGGACTCTGCAGGTACGTCGTGGAGATCTGAGAAGACTTTAGCTGAATGGTTGCGGAGTTGTTTGGATGTGATCTGGCTGTTGGTAGAAGAGGGTGAATCTCGAATTCCGTTTTATGAGTTATTGCGCAGTGGTCTACAGTTTATAGAGAACATACCTGATGATGAAGCCTTGTTCACTCTTATCATGGAGATACACCGGAGGCGAGATGCGATGGCCATGCACATGCTCATGTTGGACCAACATCTTCACTGTCCAACATTTGGTACCCATCGTATAGTGTCCCAAGTAACTGCCAATGTTTCAGCCGAAGCTGTGCAACACTTACGACATTCACCAATTACATATCCAAGTGTGCTTGGGGAACCTTTGTATGGAGAGGTGATTCCCTTGAAATCGTGGAGATTAGTTTCATAGCTTAGTTGGCTCTAGGTGTTATTGTGTAATGTATATGCTTTGCATTAGGCAGACAATTTGTGAACTTCAATCCTCTCTTCTTCTTTTTCGACACTGGCAGGATCTGGCGATGTCTATTCCAAAAGGAAGCCTTGATTGGGAGAGAGCAGTGCGTTGCATTAGACATGCTATCCGCACTACGCCGTCACCGGACTGGTGGAAGCGTGTTCTTGTTGTGGCCCCTTGTTATAGACCATCTACACAACCAGGGCCTATCCCTGGTGCTGTATTCACTTCTGACATGATTTGTGAGGCAATCATTGACAGGATTGTTGAGCTTCTTAAGCTGACCAACTCAGGCAATGTTTGTCTTTCCCTATTTCTCATGTCTTTGATCTGTCACTTCCTTTTAAATCTGTGGAAATGATTTTGAAATAGCAAGTGGTTTTGCTAGTCGTCACAATCTGTAAAGAACCTACATTATTTACGTTTTATTCTAGTTCAGATTAAGTGTGGAAGTTAGGTTTAGATAGAAATGATAAAAGTAAGAGTTGAGATACGATTGCTTTGGTATTGATTTGGTATATGTTACTTTTTCCCCTCTCTATGCAGATGCAAATTGTTGGCAAGAGTGGCTGGTTTTCTCGGATATCTTCTTCTTTCTAATTAAAAGTGGGTGTACTGATTTTGTTGATTTCATTGACAAGTTGGTTTCACGCCTTAACGGTGTTGATAACCATATTCTTCGGACGAATCATGTGACGTGGCTGCTTGCACAAATAATACGCGTGGAGCTTGTGATGACTGCTTTGAACTCAGATGCTAAAAAGGTCGTTACTCAATTACAATGATATAATTGCAGCTGCAATGCAATTACTTGTACTTCTTTTTCGTCGAACTTAACATCCCAATTTGTGCTCTATTTGGGTTTTCTCTCAGGTGGAGACTACTAGGAAGATCTTATCATTTCACAGGGAAGACAGAAATTCTGATCCCAATAATCCTCAGAGTGTGTTGCTTGACTTCGTAAGCAGTTGTCAGAATCTACGGATTTGGTCACTAAGCACAACAACTAGGGCATACCTAAACAATGAACAGCTGTTGAAGGGAAAACAGATCGATGAGTGGTGGAGAAGCAAAGGTACATAAGGTTTCAATGGCAGGGCTTGAACTAGGAAGCAGAGAATTCCCGATTATAAAAACCATCCTCTCATTCTGTTTCTTGTTTGGGGTTTGTCAGGAGAGCGGATGATGGATTATATGAATATGGATGATAGGTCGATTGGCATGTTTTGGGTTGTTTCCTACACCATGGCACAACCAGCGTGTGAAACAGTTATAAATTGGCTATCTTCAGCTGGCATGGCTGAGTTACCGGGATTACAGCCAAACGACCGAGTAATGATGACGCAGGAAGTGACCCCGTTACCTATGTCATTGCTATCTGGCTTTTCAATGAATTTGTGCTTGAAATTGGCCCTTCAGATGGAAGAAGCTTTGTTTGTTAGCCAGGTTTGTTTCCTTTGTCCCACAAATATATTATATATGTTAAGTGATACACTGATCTATGAAGAACATCTTCTTTGGCCAGTTTTACTTAGTGACCTGTTTTCTCCACGGTTTAGTAAACAACTTTAGCGTTTTCTTGTTTAAAAATGTTAATAGTAGAGTTTTAAAATCCTGAGAAAAGTAAATTTAGTGTCGTAGTAAAACATCTGAGTGCAGGTTGTTCCTAGCATTGCAATGGTTGAGACATACACAAGATTGCTTCTGATTTCCCCTCATTCGATGTTCCGTTCGCATTTCAGTGTAAGCTATTTGGTTCCTTCTGTTACCTTTTGACTTTCATTATCTTATGTTTTATTTCTGTTTTTAATTGATCATAAGCGATTCATAAGATTAGCTAACTTTCTGTAGCAATTGGCCCAGCGAAATGCTTCTCTGCTAAGCAAGCCTGGAGTGACTTTGCTTGTTCTTGAGATTCTGAACTATCGGTTGCTTCCGCTCTACAGGTAAAACGAGCGAAAATTTCTCAAGTTGGAGTCGATCCTTCTTTATGTTTTAACTGGGACATTCTTTTAGTTAGATGACAATTGTTTCGGGCTTTCGCCATATTGGCTGTTTGACCCGACTAAACAAAATTACTGATCTTATTGATGCACCTTTTGCAGATACCAAGGAAAGAGTAAAACTTTAATGTATGATGTTACTAAAATAATATCTGCATTGAAAGGAAAACGTGGTGACCACCGTATATTCAGACTAGCTGAAAACTTATGCATGAATCTCATTTTATCACTCAGAGACTTTTTTTCTGTGAAACGGGAGGGAAAAGTAAGTGTTTTTTTCGAATTACGCTCTCTGTCCCCTTCTTATTTTGTGCCAGGATCTCAGGTGTAAATAATTGTTCTTATGTGATTATCACCAGGGGCCAACTGAATTCACTGAGACATTAAACCGCATAACCATCATGACTCTTGCTATCACTGTCAAAACACGTGGTATCGCAGACCCTGATCACTTGGTTTATCTGCAAACCATGTTGGAACAAATACTCGCGACGAGTCAGCATACATGGTCAGAGAAGACGATGCGGCATTTCCCATCCCTTCTCCGTGAAACTTTGAATGGACGGGTAGACAAGAGGGGCCTATCAATTCAGGCATGGCAACAGGCTGAAACAACTGTGATAAACCAGTGCACTCAGCTTCTCTCACCATCTGCTGAACCCGCTTACGTTTCAACATATCTCAGTCACAGTTTTCCTCAACACCGTCAGTATCTATGTGCTGGTGCTTGTCTGCTGATGCAAGGCCACGCTGAAAACATCAACAGCACAAATCTGGTTTGCCTTGCTTAGTCTCTTCATAATTGTGAACTGATTGTTAGTTGATAGTGGTATGATTTTCTCTTCCAAACGATTATCAGGCACGGGTTCTGAGAGAAGTTTCTCCTGAAGAAGTCACTGCTAACATATACACTTTGGTCGATGTTTTGCTTCACCACGTTCATGTAGACCTTCAGCAAGGACAATCTTTAGAGGTTTCTGTCTGCCAGAAGAGATTGACCTCATTTTTCGTTGCTTGATCCATCTTCTTACATTGCATCCTAATATTTTTTAGGCAGTTCTAGACAAGGCAGGCGCAAATCTTGCATTTTTCTTCTGGACACATGAAATGCTTCCTCTCGACATTTTTCTTCTGGCGCTCATTGACCGTGATGATGATCCGCACGCCTTGATAATTGCAGTATGTTCATGCTTTTACGTGAAAGAAGCTTAACATCATAGAAATTTTACAATGTTGTTTTCAATTTTTTTACAGATGAGCCTACTTAAAACGCCAGACCTTCTGCTAAGGATTAAAAACTACTGCCAAAACCGTGGGTCTCCTGAGCACTGGCTTGTTACACAGGTGTTCAAACGCAATGAACTCCAGAAGGCCCTTGGTAACCATCTTTCTTGGAAGGACAGGTAATATATCTAGCCCATTTCAACGTCAATGTAACTGATTTCTAACAAAAAATCACTTAATTACATGGCTTTGATTGTTTGACTGGTTTTGTTGGCATCCAACCATGAATGTGTGATGGAACCTTCCATGTAAACTTGTGTATGACCAGGAGATGGGTGGTTTTTTTTAATCTGTTTTGGCAATTTTGTGTTGCGTTCTGCTAAAATTGGGAAAATGTTTTCCCTTTTTATTATGTTAAACGCAGGTATCCAACGTTCTTTGATGATATTGCAGCGCGTTTGCTTCCAGTTATCCCTCTAGTGGTTTACAGGCTCATCGAGAACAATGCGATGGACCAAGCTGATAATCTTTTGCTTGCACACTCGCATTTTCTAGCTTATCATCCTCTCAGATTCACGTTTGTCCGTGATATACTCGCCTATTTCTATGGTCATCTTCCTGGGAAACTTGTTCTGCGCATGCTCAAAGTACTTGATCTCAGCAAGGTAATCGAAAAAAAATCCCAATTTTACTTTGATTCTGAAATTTACCTCAACTTGATGCCGCTTCTGGATTTCAGTTTAAAGATTTTTAGAGGAAATACTCGCCTATTTCCTCTTTGTTTCTCACCACTTTATCTAGATACCTTTGTCCGTAACTGTTTCCACATTCGATTAAAATAGAATGTAACAACTCTTTTGACATTTCCGCAGATTCCATTCTCTGAATCATTCCCGCAGTACATTAGCCCTGCCGGTGCTGCTGTATGCCCACCTCTAGATTACTTTGCCTCTCTTCTGCTTAATCTTGTAAACAACGTTATACCTCCACTTAGCAGCAGCAGCAACTGCAGCTCGAGGTCTGGCTCAATGGCAGACATCTTAAACAGCTCAGCGAGACCTCCTCATGGACAAACTCCAGGAACATCTCAGCCTGGACCAGCAAACGCCTCTGAGGGCCAGAAAGCATTCTACCAGATCCAGGACCCAGGAACTTATACTCAATTGGTTCTTGAGACAGCCGTGATCGAGATCCTCTCGCTTCCCGTCTCCGCTGCTCAGATTGTCTCTTCGCTTGTCCAGATAATTGTCAACATACAATCGACTCTGATTCAATCTGGAAACGGGTTCCACGGAGCTGCGAACGGGGTGGGGCAAGGGTCGGTACTGCCAACGTCTCCCTCAGGAGGGAGCACGGACTCCATGAGCGCTAGCCGGTCCACTTGTCTGATTCCTGGTATCAACACGGCGAGCTTTGTCTCTAGAAGTGGTTATACATGTCAGCAACTGTCGTGTCTTTTGATTCAAGCTTGTGGGCTTCTGCTGGCCCAGCTCCCTCCAGATTTTCACATGCAGCTTTACTTGGAGGCAACACGTGTGACAAGGGAAACATGGTGGCTTAAGGACGGGAAGAGATCACAAGGTGAATTAGACTCGGCTGTTGGATACGCTTTGATGGATCCGACATGGGCTGCTCAGGACAACACCTCGACCGCAATAGGTACGCTATAGCTTCTGGATCTATATGTGAATGGTTGTTTAGATTTTGTTTTTACATGTGTATCGTTGTGTCTTCTTCCAGGAAATATAGTCGCCTTGCTTCATGCTTTCTTCAGCAATCTCCCACAAGAATGGCTTGATGGCACGAATGCCATCATCAAGAACCTCCGGCCTGTGACATCTGTCGCAATGCTCAGAGTTGTATTCCGTATTATGGGGCCACTGCTTCCGAGGCTTGCCAGCACACATACTCTCTTTAACAAGGTACTCTTATGGCTTGTACCCATATGAAGTGGTCAGTCTTTTCAAGTAGATGCTTGTGAGAGTTACTATGTAACATTCTGTTTATGTCAAATGTTATATCTATGGCTAAATTCGACTAAAGGTTTCTTGTAATTTGACTTTGGTGTTCATTTTTTGTTTCTCAACAGACGTTAACCCTTCTCTTATCCGCGCTGGTCGATGTTTTCGGAAAGAACGCACAGACAACAGCCCCTGTTGAAGCATCCCAGATTACAGATCTTATTGATTTCCTGTAAGCTTCTAAATAACCATACCAGATCATGGATTCTATTGTCTTTATTGATTAACAATCATATAACTGTTGTTGCAGACACCATATTATTCACTACGAGGGACAAGGAGGAGCTGTCCAAACTAGCAGCAAGCCGAGACCCGACATCTTGGCGTTAATCGGAAGAGCAGCAGATTCTCTCCGACCAGATGTACAACACCTTCTCGCTCACCTCAAAACCAACCCGAATTCTTCGATATACGCAGCTGCTCATCAGCAGAATACCGCAAAGACCAACACCTCTTAGTAAACTCGTAGAGCAATGGAAGCACAAAAGATTTGTTGCAGTTCATGGTTACAACTTTGTTTTGTTTATATTGTTGTGTATATATGTCAATGATAACGTTTTGTATCTCTTATTTATGAAATTTAGAATCTAAATTATCGTTAGATGATAAAGCAGGCTTATTCAACCAGGCATTTCAAATGAAGTATATTTTGTTAAGTGTTTTAATGATTTTTTCTGTCAGTCTCATTACAAAACTATACAATAATATAAGAAGATTCACATAAACATTATAATGAATTGGGCTTGTAAGACTTTAAGCTAGTTTTTGTTTCTTGCCACGAGAAGAAGATGATGATCTTTGTTTCTCCAATTGAAGGAAAGGCTACCATCGTAGACGCCTCTTACTGTTTCTTTCGCCAACAAACCATTTTTGTCTTTGGCTAAGTCATGTAATAATTCCATTCTAAGAAAGCTGAAAACCTGTGCAATATATCCAAAATGCATGCTAACGTTGTAGTGACTATAATTTGATTTGTTAGAAATAGTTTAGTAAGATAGAATAAACAACGAACCATCCTATGTAATCGTTAGCTTCTCTGTTAGTCTTAAGCAATTGTTTAATTTCCTTGGAAGTAAGAGCATTTTTATGTTTGTGAGCATGCTTCTTGAATATCTCCTCGAATTTCGATTCCACAAATCTGTAAAGTTTAGGAGAAAAGTAATTACACTTTTGAAAGTTGTTTAAATCTATATAACATATCTAAGGTTTTAACAAAAGATGTCAAGGAAGAAATGAAAGAACCTTCCATCTTTGTCGTAGACGTCGGTGTCACTACCATGAATGCCAAAACGACTATTCTTCACTTCTATCGGAAACAACGGTGAGAATCGCTTTCCCTACTTAACATTCACACAATGGCTTCAAAAACAATAGTACCACTAACACATATATATATATATCTGAATAGTTTAACATAGATTGTTTGCCTAATCAAACCTAGAAACAAAACCAAATCCACCAACTAATCAAATGCTCATTCACATTCCCTTATGTTTTATAGTATGCTTGATCTCATTGCAAAACCAAGAGTAAAGAAGTAGTATTGAATGGTACCGGACGAGCTTTTGAGCTGAGTCCCATGTTGATGAAGATAGCAACAAAAACCGACACAAGACGCCCTGTCCCGAGCACTCTAAATCCTTTTTTTCATTATTATACATCAACAAATTAAATTTGTTTTGAAGTTAAACATAAGAATAAGCAACACATTTAAGTCTTGTTCATATTTTATTGCTTTATCAATATGTCATTGAGTCTTAGTTATATGTCAATGATAACATTTTGTTTCTCTTATTTATGAAATTTAGAATTTAAATTATCGTTAGATGATAAAGCGGGCTTATTCAACCGGGTATTTTTTCACTTAAATGAAGTATATTTGATAAATTTGTCAATATACACAATAATTCTATAAATAGTTCTTGATCTCCAAGTTATATAAATATTCATTACAAAGGTTATTTGATTTCCAAATTATACAATTATAAACCACGAAATTTATTTGATCTCCCCCATAATAATATAAGAAGATTCACGTAAACATTTAAGGTAGTTTTTGTTTCTTGCCACGAGAAGAAGATGAATTTTTTTTCTCCAGTTTTTCGAAAAGGCTACCATCGTAGATGTCCCTGACGCTATCTTTTGACAACAAACCATTTTTGTCTTTGGCTAAGTTATGTAATATTTTCCATTCTCCATAATCTGAAAGCCTGTGCAGATAATACTTAGGTATAAGCATCGTGCCATATGTATATTGTTTTTTTTATATGAAAATCGGAATGATACGTTACGTTGTGACTATAATTTAATTTGTTTGAAATAATTCAGAAACAACGAACCATCCTGTGATATCGAAAGGATCTCTGTTAGTCTTAAGCATTTTTTGAATTTCCTCTGCAGTGAGAGCACCTTTATGTGTGCGAGCATGCTTTTTGAATATCTCCTCGAATTTTGATTCCACAAATCTGTAAAATTTAGGAGAAAAGTAATAACACTTTGTAAACACACACATGGATAACTAGCTAATACATTAAGAAAAGAAGGATGTTAAGGAAGAGATGAAAAAACCTTCCGTCATCGTCGTAGACGTCGGTGTCACTACCGTGCATGCAAAGGTGACTATTCTTCACGTCTATTGGAAACAACGGCGAAAATCTCTTTCCCTAATTAACAATCACTAGCTATGGCTTCAGAAACAATGGTAAGATATATCCGAATTGTTTACGAATTAAGATATATAGATTGTTTGCATAATTAAACCTAGAAACAAAATCAAATCAACCAACTAATTAAATACTCATTCACATTTCTTTTTTTTTTAGCCGTTAACGTTTTTAACTTATGCTTGATCGCATTGCAAAACCAAGAGTGGAGAAATCAAATAAAAAAGAAAAAAGGAAAGAGAAATGGTATTAATGGGTACCGGACGAGTTTTTTGACTGAGTCCCATGTTGATGAAGATAGCAACAAATGCCGCCAAAAGACGCCCTGTCCCAAGCGCTCTAAATCCTTTTTTTTTTTATATACATCAACAAAAAAAATATGTTAAGCAACACATCAAAATCTTGTTTATATTTTATTACTCAAACATTATTTTTTTGGTCAAAAATTTCAACACTTAGCTAATTGTGTATGTTACCTTGGTAGGTTTCCCATGGATAAACGGTGCCGTCTTTGTTCCTGTCGAAGAAGGACACATGTTTCTCCAATGCAGTCATTTCTTTCTTATCTGATTTTCCTCCTACATAAACAATAAAACAACATAACCATATAGTTATGTTTCCATGCATAGACCCTTTCTTTCGACTTACAAAAACAAAAACAAAAACAAAACAACATTCCGAAAAATTAAGAAATTAAAAGAAACAATAAATAAGGACCTTTTCAACCTATATGTAAATCTTATGCATATTTTTATTATTATATGTATATATTATAACCTAGTTATATGCATATTTAAATTTTCTACATTAATATGAAAAATTGGAGCCATGTTCAAATGATACATTTGTGCATGCTAAAATGGGTCATGAACACTTTACCTTTGGATTTGGGAGAAACAGATAATAGCTCTACTGCCTGATGAGACATGAGAAATATATCAGAGATTGGAGATGACTCAGAACACTGAAATTATCACAACTTTCTTATTAGTTTAGGATTATTCTTTGGGGTTTATATAAACATAGGTGTTGTGTTAGTTATACTTGTACATAAACAAAAGATTCGATCCAAGATAAAGTGGATAGAGGTTTTTGTGTATGTCTCTGTATTTATGTGTCTTGGACATGTTTTGTCATGCGTAGACGCATTCCTCATTTTATACCAAAAGGATCAGAAAGTGTGAGTCTCTTACAGTTATTATTTCTTGTTGCTTTCCATTTTTAATTCACTATCATCCCTTTCTTCGCTTACACGGTACCATCTCTACTCAAATTCTCCTTGTTCATTCATCAATCTGACATTAAATGTTCTCTGTCTTCATCAGTGGCTCAATAACAGCAGCAAAAACACTACATCTTTTTTCACAGCAAATTGGGGCATCCAAAGAACAACTTCGAACTCATCTAAGAACTAAGAAGAGAAAGAAGAGATAAGGTTTATTAAGATAATCAACACCTGTTTTTGGCGGACATATATATATTCTCAAACAAGACTATAACATTAGGAAGTTGTAGGCAATTTTCAAAGCTTCAAATGATGTTTATATACACTGTCCTTTCTATTAATACAAATTGCCGATTCCCACCAACTTCTCTCTTCACATCACACAACATTTAGCTGGTCCCTTTGGATCTGCCCTAGCTTCCTCGTTACCTGAAGAAACAAGACTTTGATTAGAGCCTGGTGGTCTTAAGACTTGTCAAAACTAAACAATCTCAATCCAAGTAATCCAAGTTTGTCTATCATAGGGGTTCAAAACAGAAAGCGATATCTCATCCAGTCATCCTCATCAATCCGTAACAGTAAGTCAGTAACTGTAAACCGCATTTGGGGTTTGCAACTATAGAAATTACCTTCTGGGGGTTGAGCTAACTTCCGGTTATGTGAAGTCATCATTTCTTTTTTCAGCTTAACCAGTATGTCCTCCATTGTGTATTCTCGCCGCCAATTAGTGAGCATAGGGAAGAGACTCGGTTCAACCTGATTTCATATTTCAATACAACTTGTTAGAATAAGCATATATATTCATAGCCACACACACACATATACCAGCAATGATGTCAAAGGTTATTACCACTCCAGTTTCTGGGTTAACACAAGCCATGTTTATCCGGGTCTGGAACCTCACACTTGGTGGACTTTCAGGGTACTCCTTACCACAGAACAGCTTCAGCTGGAAGATTTTCCCTTCGTATGCAGTCTGATATTCGTTCATCACCAAAAACAACATTAATCTTCTCAAATTCCAAAAGCACAAACCAAAAATTTCCTTCGTTTTTGTCCACTCTAATCAATAGTAATCAAGAAATGTAACTACATACCATTTGGAGTAAAGGGTCATAGATAACACAGCTAACAGTTATATCAATTCGAGTAAAAGCCACACAACTACTACTTACTTCAGAAATACACAGAACTTTTACCCAAAACAGAGAGACAAAAAGTAGAAGAAGACTCCAAAGCATATCCAAAAAAATCTTTGAACACTAAAACACTATCCAACAATTCTCTCCCAGCCAAAAGTGTTAAAAATTGCATCTTTACTCTATCAAACACAGATAAATCTAAACCAAACCTCAGAGATAGAGAGAGACATACATTAGGAGGACCAAGAATGGTGCCAGTCCAAGATTGCATATAAATATCATCAGCATCATCCATTCCATAGCTTACAGTACCATCTCCAATACCTTTCTCACCTCTTTCAAGCTCTTCCAACAATCTAAAGTTCCTCGGAACTACATCACAAAATCAATCCATTAGATATCGCCCAAATCAATCATTTCCAGATCCGATACCTAATCGAGACCATCACATTCTGATTACAAAAGCTCGGAAACAAATCTAATAGTAGATCGAATCATTCCAACAAAAAAACCCTAGATCTCAAAATTCAATTGACGACAACGATTGATGAAATTGGAAGAGAAATCGACCGGGACTTACCAACGACCTTGGCTTCCTCCGAACTCATCGCCGATGAATCTCAGGAACAATAATGAATAATTAGGGTTAGGTGAAAAAGAGAGAGAATTCAGCAATAGCGAAGAAGCAATCTCAGAGATAGGTAGAGAGAGAGAATGTTCAAGTACTGTTTGAGAGCAGAAGAAGGCTTTCTATAGAAAATAATAATATAATTGGGATATAGAGAGACTTTTGGTTAATTTAGCTACAATAAACATTTATAAGGAAAAAAATATAACATAAATCTCTTACATATTTTGTCCAAAAATAAAATAAAATATCTCTTACATATATGTTAAAATCTGACACATCGGAAACATATCCATCGGAATGATGGTGGTCCGGTGGATATATAGAAATGAATCCGGAGAGCAAATGACTTGGCCGTTGAGGACTTTGTTCAATCGGAACGCTAATCACCATCCTCTTCAATGATACCAGTGATGGTTTACATACGGCGACTTGTTCGCCTCTGATTCTCTTGACAATAACCACCATCACTACGTGGTCTGTGTGAAAATAAGAGTCTTTCCTTTCTGGCCCGACGTAAATAGCCCCCTACACATGCAAAAAGTAACTTGAATATCAAGTGTCTCGGGTTCGATACAACGCACCGTTACCAGTTTCAAGTGTCTACGTGGAACTATCAGATGAAGAAGATGGAGGATAGCCAGGATACATGGAACTATCCGATGAAGAAGAGCCACAAGACTTGGACGATTTAGATGAAGAAGACATTGATTTTATTACGTTAGTGATTATATATATTAACTAATTGTTATCTGTTTTTGTAGCAATGTGTTAGGATTACGCTGCACTAGATACTGATATGGTAAGTTCGTGGCTTGCAATCAACAGAGTGGTTCCTTTTTAGTGATCGGTATCTTTCATTTCACATGAATGAAAAAAATAATGGTCATTTCTAATATTCAAGTGGATTGTGATTTTTTCAATGGTTTTGTTCAAAATTCTCTTCGTTCTTCCAGTTTGAATTTTGTGAATTGAATTAGAGGTCTCAAATTTTGAAAACTGATTCTCTATTGATTAATCTCATATGAATATAAACAGGGAATCGTTGATTCTAGAAAAAAAAAAATTACATGAGTTTTGAACTGTACAATTGAAGTACGTGAATATGCATGATCAAGTAGTTGATATTTTTATGTAACCTCTCAAAAGACTTTATCAAGATGAGAAGTTCACTTGTAGCAAAATCAAGTTTATGAGGAGTTAAACAATCTAGATTATGTGTAAGATATGTTAGATATTTTTTAAAAATTTTGGAGGCTATAAAATAGAAATACCTCATTTTGCTTTAGTTTGTAACCTCGTTAAGATCTAAAATTAAAGCCTTCCATTTTCAAGTTATTTATCCGCTAAACTTTAAACATTTTCTTTATCATTTCTCTAACCAACATGTGGACCGTATTCTGCAAGTAAGAGGAACCTTGAACAATGGTTAAAAGTCGGAATAAACCCTAAAATGGTAATATTGTCTTTAAATGTAATAAAAGTAGTCAAACCTTTTTTATAAGTTTCCAACTTCTAAATATGCATCAATTTTATTTTCATATCTTACAAATTATCAAAATATGACAACATAGGTCATTAATGATAAATTAGAATTTATTTATATCATTTGCACTAGTGAAATTTTTTGTACGCTTTGTTGTTTATAGTTCAAAAAGTTCTTTATTTATTTATAAAACTACGAAATTTATAGCATGCAAACCATTAGTTTTATTTTGATCAAATTATCTCAACTCATAATTTTAAAAAAAATTAAAATAAAAACTTAAATGATAAAATATGAATACCACTATAAATTAATAAACTTTCATAGTCCCGATATTATTAATTTATAGAGGTTTTACGGTTAAACAATATCTAACCAACGTTCCATGAAAATGTCAATCTAATGAAATTCTTAATTTTGTTAAGGTAAAAAAATCATGTTAACAACAAAGAAGTGGAAAATATCCATATTCCAAACATTTTATTTTATTTAGTTTGTTAATAATAAATAAAATAAAATCCCATTTAACTTAAATGTAATTGAACCATTCAGCCGAATTGAACACAAGAATTAATGCAAATTTTAAATCTTTGGAATACAATATCCAATAAATGTTTAGTTGTAACAACTAAAAAAGATATGCAACTAGTAATGGTCGTCAAAACAACATTCCTAGTTAATCAAATTTTGATTCAGACCTCAATCTTCTTAACCTTTTGACGGCTCCATTTGCTTTTCTTAGCACCTGCTCTGTTTCTTTGAATGACGCCTTGGCCTCCTTTTTCAAATCCTCTTCCCAATACACTTCTTTTTTGTTGTTAGGTGATGATTTGTTTGGAGTATGTCTTAAGCAACCCATGGCTTGTGCTGGAGATAACTTATTAAACCATGATGTTAAAAACTTCGAGTTTGATTTCGATTTCCTGTTCGATCTCTCTTTTAGGTTTTGATCAGATGATAGTGAAGCTACATCAATGGAAGTAGATGAAGGTGAGCTGATTCTTGATTTTTCTTTAGGTAAAAGCTTTAGGGTTTGTGTTGCAGTCGAGATCTTACCTTCTCGAGAAAATCTTGATGAACTCGAACCGATTCTCTCTGAGAAATCTCCAAGCCCACTTCGTGAATTCACACGTGGATTATGTTTGATTCCTGAGAAAATCTGTGTTTCCTCGACATATGAATCCAAAGGACAAGACTTTCCCGAGAAATCGGAGAGTTTAGAAACAGAGGACACGTTTCCACAAGAAAATCTCGATGAACTTGAACCGATTCTCCGAGAACCTGAAGATTCTCCAAGCCCACCTCGTGAACTCACACTCTGATTACATTTTGTTCTCGAGAAAATTTGTTCATCAACAGATGAATCTAAAGGACAAGACTTTCCAACTTGGTTGGAAAAAGAAGAAACAGAGGAAACGTTTCCATGGTTCTTCTTCTCAGGGTAACTTGCCATGGTCTTGGACTGAGTGAGAAGCTTCTTCTTCGAGGACGAAGAAACCGAGTCGGATCTAGAAACCGGAAGAGATTTGAGACGACGGAAACGGGTTTCGAGATTAGAGGGAAGAGCAGAGTCGTCGATGAAGCCAGAGCAGTTGATTTTGGCGACTTGTTCAAGAACGTAGTGATCTTTAGCTTGTGAAAGCAGATCCTCCACAGCTGAATCGTCTTTACCAGAGAAATATCTTGACATCTTAGTCGATTTGGTTTAGGGTTTTGGAGTTTTTTTTTTTCTTGTGGGAGAGAGAACGATGAAACTATATATGATTCTGCTAATTTATCCTTTTGACCATGCATTTATAATAATTCTTCTGGCTTTGAATTCTTTCTATTTTTGTCTTCTAAATTCCCTTTTTAATCCGTTAAAATTATGTTAAATTTCCATTTTCATAATTTGTAATTGAATACACTCAGTAATTTCCTTTGTTTTGCTATGTAGGGTCACTACAAAATTGACATGTATTTATGAATTTATCTTCAAAACGAGTTTCCTTATAAAAAAAAAGAATGTACATATAAAGCAGGGCATGATGTCATGAGAAAACCCTAATCGATTAAAAGCATCACAAGGAGAATGTATCATCGACAGAGTGAAGAGGAGTATAAGAAGCATGAGGAGGAGGAACGAGTTTATTGGGATGGAGTGTGGAAATCTATGTAATTCTTCCATCTTCTTAATCTTTTTTAGGTCGAATTGATTCACAAAACTATTTATGACACTGATCATGCATTTCCCTGAATATTATTATAAATGTGTTACGAGTTAAGATATTACTCGTCTTTAGAATTTTGAGCTACATGCTCCTAAAAATATATCGACTTAAATTTCCTAGTAGTCGATTAAGTATTGAATCAGACCTCGCCTTCTTTGACATTTTTTTGACGAGTATCTAACATTATTTTCATCTGCTTCGATTCTTCTTCGACTCTCTTCTTCGCCTTCTTGAATTCTTCTTCCCAAGAAAATTCTTCTACGCAACTCTCTTTTGTCTTTTTGTTTTTGTATGAAGACTTGCCTTGTAAGCAACCCATGGCTTGTGCTAGGGGTAACTTATCAAACCATGATCTTAAAAACCTCGATTTCGATTTGTTCATTCCTTCCCTTTGGTCCAGATAAGATGATGGGGAAGCTGAATCAATGGAGGTTAGTGAAGTTGAACTGGTTCTTGAGTTCTCTTTAGGACGAAGCTTCAGGGTTTGTGTTGTTGGAGTCAAAAACTTAGGGTTTAGCCGTTTTGATGAACTATAACCAATTCTCCCAGAATCTGAGAAATCTCCAAATCCACTTCGTGATTTCTTCTCAAACCTCGAATTGACACTCGTATCACGTTTGATTCCAACAGATGAATCTAAAGGACAAGAGTTTCCAGTTAGATTTCCTGAGAAACTTGAAAAAGAAGAAACAGAGGAACCGTTTCCACAACTCTTCTTCTTAGGGTAACTTGCCAATGTCTTGGACTGAGAGAGAAGCTTCTTCTTCGAGGACGAAGCAACCGAGTAGGATCTAGAAACCGGAAGAGATTTGAGACGACGTAAACGGGTACGGGTTTCGAGATTAGAGGGAAGAGCAGAGTCGTCGGTGAAGCCAGAGCAGTTGATTTTGGCGACTTGTTCAAGAACGTAGTGATCTTTTGCTTGTGAAAGCAGATTCGCCACAGCTAAATCGTCTTTACCAGTATAAAAAGTTGGCATCTTCGTCGATTTGGTTTAGGGTTTTGGAGTTTTTTCTTGGGAGAGAGAACGATGAAGCTATGATTCTTCTTCCACGCAAGAGTTAATTCATGCACTTATAATAATCATCGTCTATAGATTCTTTCTATTTTTGTCTTCTAAATGTCCTTTTTTTCTTCTCTGGTAAAAATATGTTAATTGTCCATTTTCGTAATTTGTAATTGATCGAGTATGTAGGATAATTGTAAAATTGACTTTTATTTATATATCTTCAAACGAAATTTCTTTTTTTCAATAATAAGTATATTCAAAAAGTAAATTTTAGAAAATACAGAAAATTGACAATAAATAATACTGATACAATGAAGCAATTATCCTAAAAATTCCAAAAATCTGCTAAAACGTACTCTAATTTTCACATGAGAGCTCTTTAATAATTTGCTTCCAACCTCTGATCTCTGACCAAATATTCATCATAGTTTCAATAATTGATACATCAATTCAAATTCAAACAAGGCCTCTTGTTATCCAGTTTTCAGTAACAATATCAAAAACTAAATTGAAACTTGAAAATAAAATGGTTTATAATATAAATGTAAGAACATATTAAGCTTTTACAAAATAAAAGTAGAAATTCTACAAAACCAAAGGCCTCTCAACTGAAGAAGTTTTATCTTTTTAACCAAAAAGTATCAAACACTTTCGCTATCTTTCTCAAAGTTTAAGGCTTTTCAGGGATCTCCTTGTGTCTCCATCTTCTTGCTCAACCTGAAAAAGACATACATATGTAAGAAAACATCGAAATCGTAGACACAACAACATCTGCTTGCAAATTATTTAAGCTATCTTGTGGAATCTCACCTCAACAACTACTCTTGATTTCTTCTTTGCTTTTCCGTTATCATCAGACTTCTTTAAAGCTCTTCTTTTATGAATCACAACTTGTTCTTCAGCATCATCGTTCTCCTCGTCATCCGAGTCTGTAGAGAGTTCACGATCGGGTTAATATAGTTTCTCGAAATGCATGGATTCAATTATTGAGTGAAAAATAGTGAAAAAAAGAAAGAAACAGGAGGTAGATGAATATTACCATGATCATCACCTTCAAGGTAAGACTCCTTAGATGGAAGACCAGAGAAGTCTTCCATGTCTTCTTCTTCCTCTGCTTCGAGTTCATCATCGCCTTCAACATATTCAACCACTCCTTCCTGAGATATAATTTAATGAAATGAAGATCAGTAGAAAGAGGTTACATCTAGGTTTGATGGACTACCAAAATTACACGGCTTATACAAAAGTACCTCCTCCTCTTCTTCCTCAACTTCTTGGTTGAGTTCGATTTCTTTATTAATAAGTTTGTCAAACGCACGCTGTGAGAAATTGTATATGTCAGTAGGGTAAATGCCTGTCTTCAAACGTTCCAACAACTCGTTTTCAATAGCCTGCAAAAAAAAGATTCAGCACTATCATGAGAACCTCAGAACTAAAGTGAAGCAAGTGAAATCAAAACCCAAAAAATAACAAATCGTGACCTTATCCAACACAGCTGCATTTAGAGCCTTTATCTCTCTTCTTGCCTCCCTCTTTATTTGCCTCCTAGGCATAGGGATTACTGCCTCCCTGTCATTCAAAAAATAAGCACCACATCATTAATCAGAACAAGAAAAGAACTAGACACTTGTAAATCAAACAAGATACCAAACTACCCAAACAAAAACCATAAGAGGACAAGACCTTGTTTTCAGAGCAAGTTTCCTCATACGAATACGCATCTGAGTCATTTTAGTCAGTCTTTGTTTAACCTTATGCTGCAACAACTTGGGCCAGTACAACTGACACACACACGAAGAAAAGAATTAAAACCCACCAAATCATAAGACATTGACATTGCTAATGAAGAAGAAGAGTAAAGAAATAAACTGTGGCAATAAATCTCAAGCTCACCAAGTGTTTGTCAATCATTTCAAGAGCCATCTCATAGTTAACAGGCAGCTTAACTCTCTCCCACAAGTTCTTTGGCATGTGAGCTCTCTCAATAGTCTTCATATATAAATAAAACACTCCTGAGTAAACAACAACAACACAAGAGAATCCATTTGTAAGAAACCACCACAACAACACTTAAACTCAAAAGAAACATCTTTCTAATTACCCTTTACTACATCAACTAAATCAGAACCCAATCATAACTATTCCAACACACAGAATCAGCTCAAAGATTGACTCTTTCTAGAAATTACCATCATGGTCACGGATAGTGGCGTATCGGCTATTGGCAAGAGGGCAAGAGCTTCGATTACAGATTCCGGTTACGTTATATTGATTTCTGCAGAAGATTCCAGTTTCGATTCTACAAAAGCAAAATAGAACAAAACAAACCCATCAACATATTGAGATACAGCTGAAAATTGAAAGATGAGAAGTGAGGATTAAAAGACATACTTGGCCATGTAACTGCAGTGCTTGTGCCTGATGACCTGCCATATAACCTCATCGTGTTGCATCTTTCACGGTGAAGCTTGAAATCTGGTAAAGGGTTTAGCTTTCGGGGGCGATTTTAGGGTTTATGAGAGAAGAAGAAGAAGAAGCTGTGAAGGACGGCGGCGAGCAACTGTCGTCGACAAACTCGAAGGGAAGTGGTTAACTAAACTTGATATTAGGGATTCATCTTTATGGGCCTCAATGCCCAATTTAACAAAGCCTAAATGATACTCTTACATAAATAATAAGACCCTCCTCTACAAACAAATTAGTTTTTTTTTTTTTTTTGTGTTGGGAAAATGGTGTATTTCAATCTAAACAAATTGCAAGATGCCTTTTATATGTCCACAAAAGTACAATATTTTCTTCAACCTCAACGCTAGAATAAATCAAATAAATTATTCAGACTATTAAATATAAACATAAAACTAAATTGACTTAAAAAAATACTCAACCATTGTTTTACTTACTTAGACGATATGACGGAGATGAATGATAACGTCGTTTTGATTATTTAAATCCATAAACTTAACACGATGACAACAAAGTATAATTTTACTGAAAATTACCTAGTTTGACTCAAATTTAGAGAAAAATAACTAGATTAACACCTCAATATTGTGGTTTACTAGAATAACACAAATTTTGTGTTAAAAGACCAAATACCCATTTTATTTTAAGTTCTATTAAAATAAAATAATTAAATTAAATAGAAAATTAAAAAATACAAAAAAAAATTATGAAACAAAAAAAAAACGAAAATTGAAAAAAAAGACGAAAAAAATACAAAATGAAAAAAATATATAAATAAAAAAATAAAAAAATAAAAAATAAAAAAAAAACAACTACCCATTTTATTTTCAATTCAATTAAAATAAAATAATTAACATATAATAACTAAATTAAATAAAAAATTAGAAAAAAAAATTACAAAACGACAAAAAAATATAAATGAAAAACAAAATACAGAACAAAAAAAAATAAAAACAACAAAAAATTTAAAACAAAAAATACAAAAAAATAAATTAAAAAACGAAAAAAATATCTTTATCATATATTAAAAACGAGACAGCCACACATGAGCCATCTATTATAAATCAGTCTGTCGTGATAAGAATATGTCTCTCATTACCTTATTGTGCAGATTAAAATTTTATTTTCAAAAAAGTCTGTCGTGTTTAAAAAGTATGTCATGTAGTCCATCATGAAAAGTCTGTCATCAAATATGTATAAAAAATCTGTCATAATATGAATAAAAATTAAAATCTGTCATTGCGTAAAACATATCTGCCATCACTATATGAAGTCATTCCAGCAATTTCTTTTTTCATCACTAAATTTGTCGTAATGTGACAGTTTTTTTTGAACTAATCCTAAATCTGTCGTAATGTAAATAAAATCTGTCATCACAGAAATATTTCATTTGCGATTGTATGTCAATCTAGCAATTTTTTTTTTTGTATGACAAATCTGCTATCACTCGACAGTTTTTTTGTTTAAAAAATAAAAACTGTCATAACATTAAAAAAATCTGTTATCACTACTAAGTCATTCTAGTAATTATTTTCCCAAAAACAAATCTGTCACTTGATGACAGATATTTTTATGAAAATTAAAAGTCTGAGGCCACTAGGAACATAAATCTGCCACTAATTTTAATAAATCTGTCAAAGTGATGAAAGTCTGTGGTGTCATCAAAAAATAAGTCTGTAGTGGGGTAAAAAACTACAACAAAATAAATATCTGTCACAACCTGTTAAATTAAGTCTGTCAGAGATAAAAAATCTGTCACATAAAATCTGTCGTTGATAAATAAGTCTGCCATTTAAAATAAATCTGTCATAACGAATGCAGCAGACTTTTAAAAAACCAAAAAAAAATCCTATATTTTTTGCCACGTTTTTCGAAAAAATTTTAAGGGCAAAATTGACTTTTTTTTTTTCCTAACAAAGAGAGCAAGGGTATTATCGTCATGAAAATAACCAGTCTAACCCCGATATTTTATGAGACATTCTAGTAATTAAAGTCATTATTTGGGTCAATCTAGTAACTTTCCCATAATTTTATCATTAGCAAAATTATTTTGTCTTAACAAAACATCGTCGTTTGTTGAGATTATGGACTCAAATGACAAAAATGAAGTCATTTGATTAAAATAAAATGATATTTCGTCGTCATCGTATCATTTAGTGAACGAATATAAATGATTGACAAATTTTGTTTAATTCAATGTAATTTTACCCTCAAATTTAATAATTTGAATAGTTTATTTAAATTATTTTAGTTCATATCTATAGTTCAAGATTTTTTCACATGATAAAATCATTTCATACAATAAGGTTACATAATGGAAGTAGATGAAGGTGAGCTGATTCTTGATTTCTCTTTAGGAAGAAGCTTTAGGGTTTGTGTTGTAGTCGAGATCTTACCTTCTCGAGAAAATCTTGATGAACTCGAACCGATTCTCTCTGAGAAATCTCCAAGCCCACCTCGTGAATTCACACGTGGATTATGTTTGATTCCTGAGAAAATCTGTGTCTCCTCGACATATGAATCCAAAGGACAAGACTTTCCCGAGAAATCGGAAAGTTTAGAAACAGAGGACACGTTTCCACAAGAAAATCTCGATGAACTTGAACCGATTCTCCGAGAACCTGAAGATTCTCCAAGCCCACCTCGTGAACTCACACTCTGATTACATTTGGTTCTCGAGAAAATCTGTTCCTCAACAAATGAATCTAAAGGACAAGACTTTCCAACTTGGTTCGAAAAAGAAGAAACAGAGGAAACGTTTCCATGGTTCTTCTTCTCAGGGTAACTTGCCATGGTCTTGGACTGAGTGAGAAGCTTCTTCTTCGAGGACGAAGAAACCGAGTCGGATCTAGAAACCGGAAGAGATTTGAGACGACGGAAACGGGTTTCGAGATTAGAGGGAAGAGCAGAGTCGTCGATGAAGCCAGAGCAGTTGATTTTGGCGACTTGTTCAAGAACGTAGTGATCTTTTGCTTGTGAAAGAAGATCCTCCACAGCTGAATCGTCTTTACCAGAGAAAAATCTCGACATCTTCGTCGATTTGGTTTAGGGTTTTGGAGTTTTTTTCTTGTGGGAGAGAGAACGATGAAACTATATATGATTCTGCTAATTTATGCTTTTGACCATGCATTTATAAGAATTCTTCTGGCTTTGAATTCTTTCTATTTTTGTCTTCTAAATTCCCTTTTTTATCCGTTAAAATTATGTTAAATTTCCATTTTCATAATTTGTAATTGAATACACTCAGTAATTTCCTTTGTTTTGCTATGTAGGGTCACTACAAAATTGACATGTATTTATGAATTTATCTTCAAAACGAGTTTCCTTATAAAAAAAAAGAATGTACATATAAAGCAGGGCATGATGTCATGAGAAAACCCTAATCGATTAAAAGCATCACAAGGAGAATGTATCATCGACAGAGTGAAGAGGAGTATAAGAACTTAAGAAGCATGAGGAGGAGGAACGAGTTTATTGGGATGGAGTGTGGAAATCTATGTAATTCTGCCTTCTTCTTTATCTTTTTTAGGTCGAATTGATTCACAAAACTATAACCCTAATTCTAATGGCATGTATTCTTTTTTGAGTGGTAACAAACCGAAACCGTAATGGATCCCTAATGTGTAATCAGGGGTTCGATGTTGATCACTTGAAGAGACTACGCTTTAATCCTGGAGTTGTGCCTATTGATTTTATAAATCATGATGTTGACCTCACAGTTTTCAACATCTATGCCAGGATTGGTATCCATAAGTACAATATGTGAGGTGTTTTATATGTTATTAGTATTATTGCCCTTGCTATCAATGTGCTAGCTAAATTGGGTGTTTGCTTCTGGTCCGATGCTAATAAGTTCATTGTTCTGTTTTACATGCTCTTATGGCACTGATCATGCATTTCCCTGAATATTATTAAATGTGTTACGAGTTAAGATATTATTCGTCTTTAGAATTTTGAGCTACATGGTCCTAAAAATCTATGGACTTGAAACCAATCATTTTTTTAAAATTCCTAGTAGTGATCAAGTATTGAATTAGACCTCACAATCTTTGACATTTTGACGAGTTTTTAACATTATTTTCATCTGCTTCGACTCTTCTTCGACTCTCTTCTTCGCCTTCTTGAATTCTTCTTCCCAAGAAAATTCTTCTGTGCAGCTCTCTTTTGTCTTTTTGCTTTTGGATGAAGACTTGCCTTGTAAGCAACCCATGGCTTGTGCTAGGGGTAACTTATCAAACCATGATCTTAAAAACCTCGATTTCGATTTCTCCTTTTGGTCCAGATAAGATGATGGGGAAGCTGAATCAATGGAGGTTAGTGTAGATGAACTGGTTCTTGAGTTCTCTTTAGGACGAAGCTTCAAGGTTTGTGTTGCTGGAGTCAAAAACTTAGGGTTCATCCGTTTTGATGAACTATAACCAATTCTCCCAGAATCTGAGAAATCTCCAAACTCACCTCGTGAATTCTTCTCAAACCTCGAATATACACTCGTATCACGTTTGATTCCGACAGATGAATCCAAAGGACAAGAGTTTCCAGTTCGATTTCCCGAGAAACTTGAAAAAGAAGAAACAGAGGAACCGTTTCCACAACTCTTCTTCTTAGGGTAACTTGCCAATGTCTTGGACAGAGAGAGAAGCTTCTTCTTCGAGGACGAAGCAACAGAGTCGGATCTAGAAACCGGAAGAGATTTGAGACGACGTAAACGGGAACGGGTTTCGAGATTAGAGGGAAGAGCAGAGTCGTCGGTGAAGCCAGAGCAGTTGATTTTGGCGACTTGTTCAAGAACGTAGTGATCTTTAGCTTGTGAAAGCAGATTCGCCACAGCTAAATCGTCTTTGCCAGTATAAAAAATTGGCATCTTCGTCGATTTGGTTTAGGGTTTTGGAGTTTTTTCTTGGGAGAGAGAACGATGAAGCTATGATTCTTCCTCCACGCAAGAGCTAATTCATGCACTTATAATAATTATCATCTATAGATTCTTTCTATTTTTGTCTGGTAAAAATATATTAATTGTCCATTTTCATAATTTGTAATTGATCGAGTATGTAGGATCATTGTAAAATTGACTTTTTTATATATCTTCAAACGAAATTCCTTTTTTTTTTTAATAATAAGTATATATTCAAAAAGTAAAAATTTTAGAAAATACAGAAAATTGACAATAAATAATACTGATACAATGAAGCAATTATCCTAAAAATTTCCAAAAATCTGCTAAAACGTACTCTAATTTTCACTTGAGAGCTTTTAAAAAAAAAATTCATCAAGATACATCAATTCATTCAAACAAGGCCTCTTGTTATCCAGTTTTCAGTAACAATATCAAAAACTAAATTGAAACTTGAAAATAAATGGTTTATTAATATAAATGTAAGAACAATATTAAGCTTTTACAAAATAAAAGTAGAAATTCTACAAAACCAAAGGCCTCTCAACTGAAGAAGTTTTACCTTTTTAACCAAAAAGTATGAAAAACTTTGGCTATCTTTCTCAAAGTTTAAGGCTTTTCAGGGATCTCCTTGTGTCTCCATCTTGCTCAACCTGAAAAAGACATGCATATGTAAGAAAACATCGAAATCGTAGACACAACAACATCTGCTTGCAAATTATTTAAGCTATCTTGTGGAATCTCACCTCAACAACTACTCTTGATTTCTTCTTTGCTTTTCCGTTATCATCAGACTTCTTTAAAGCTCTTCTTTTATGAATCACAACTTGTTCTTCAGCATTATCGTCATCCTCGTCATCTGAGTCTGTAGAGAGTTCACGATTGGGTTAATATAGTTTCTCAAAATGCATGGATTCAATTATTGAGTGAAAAAAGTAAGAAACAGGAGGGAGATGAATATTACCATGATCATCACCTTCAAGGTAAGACTCCTTAGATGGAAGACCAGAGAAGTCTTCCATGTCTTCTTCTTCCTCTGCTTCGAGTTCATCATCGCCTTCAACATATTCAACCACTCCTTCCTGAGATATAATTTAATGAATGAAGATCAGTAGAAAGAGGTTGCATCTAGGTTTGATGGACTACCAAAATTACACGGCTTATACAAAAGTACCTCCTCCTCTTCTTCCTCAACTTCTTGGTTGAGTACGATTTCTTTATTAAGAAGTTTGTCAAACGCACGTTGTGAGAAATTGTATATGTCAGTAGGGTAAATGCCTGTCTTCAAACGTTCCAACAACTCGTTTTCAATAGCCTGTAAAAAAAAGAATCAGCACTATCATGAGAACCTCAGAACTAAAGTGAAGCAAGTGAAATCAAAACCCAAAAAATAACAAATCGTGACCTTATCCAACACAGCTGCATTTAGAGCCTTTATCTCTCTTCTCGCCTCCCTCTTTATTTGCCTCCTAGGCATAGGGATTACTGCCTCCCTGTCATTCAAAAAAAAAAGCACCACATAATTAATCAGAACAAGAAAAGAACTAGACACTTGTAAATCAAACAAGATACCAAACTACACAAACAAAAACCATAAGAGGACAAGACCTTGTTTTCAGAGCAAGTTTCCTCATACGAATACGCATATGAGTCATTTTAGTCAGTCTATGTTTAAGACTATGCTGCAACAACTTGGGCCAGTACAACTGACACACGCAAGAAAAAAAGAATTAAAACCCACCAAATCATAAGACATTGACATTGCTAATGAAGAAAAAGAGTAAAGAAATAAACAATGGCAACAAAACTCAAGCTCACCAAGTGTTTGTCAATCATTTCAAGAGCCATCTCATAGTTAACAGGCAGCTTAACTCTCTCCCACAAGTTCTTTGGCATGTGAGCTCTCTCAATAGTCTTCATATATAAATAAAACACTCCTGAATAAACAACAACAACACAAGAGACTCCATTTGTAAGAAACCACCACAACAACACTAAACTCAAAAGAAACATCTTTCTAATTACCCTTTACTACATCAACTAAATCAGAACCCAATCATAACTATTCCAACACACAGAATCAGCTCAAAGATTGACTCTTTTTGGATTTTCAAAAATTACCATCATGGTCTCGGATAGTGGCGTATCGGCTATTGGCAAGAGGGCAAGAGCTTTCATTACAGATTCCGGTTACGTTATATTGGTTTCTGCAGAAGATTCCAGTTTCGATTCTACAAAGCAAAAGAGAACAAATTGAGATACAGATGAAATTGAAAGCTGAGAAGTGAGGATTAAAAAGACATACTTGGCCATGTAACTGCAGTGATTGCGCCTGATGACCTGCCATATAACCTCATCGTGTTGCATCTTTCACGGTGAAGCTTGAAATCTGGTAAAGGGTTTAGCTTTCGGGGGATATTTTAGGGTTTATGAGAGAAGAAGAAGAAGAAGCTGTGAAGGACGGCGGCGAGCAACTGTCGTCGATTAACTAAACTTGATTATTAGGGATTCATCTCTATGGGCCTCATAGCCCAAATCTTAAAGGCTGAAACTCTATAAGACCCAACTTATTAAAAAGCCCAAAAGATATAAAACCCTAGCTGTTTATTCCTCCTCTCTATATAAAAACCCTTATAGCTCATTTCTTTTCAAAACCCTAGATCTTAATCCCAAAAAATGGCGACGGCGTTGAAGAAGAACAGAAAGAAGAGAGGACACGTCAGCGCCGGTCATGGACGTATCGGAAAACATCGCAAGCATCCCGGAGGTCGTGGAAACGCAGGAGGTATGCATCACCACCGTATCCTCTTCGACAAGTACCATCCAGGTTACTTCGGCAAAGTTGGTATGAGGTATTTCCACAAGCTTCGTAACAAGTTCTTTTGCCCAATCGTTAACCTCGACAAGCTTTGGTCACTTGTTCCTGAAGACGTGAAGGCGAAATCGAGCAAGGATAATGTTCCGTTGATCGATGTGACGCAGCATGGTTTCTTCAAGGTTTTGGGGAAAGGTCATTTGCCTGAGAACAAACCTTTCGTTGTGAAGGCTAAGCTTATCTCTAAGACTGCTGAGAAGAAGATTAAGGAAGCTGGTGGTGCTGTTGTTCTCACTGCTTAGGTCTTTTTCATATTTAAGTCTCTTTTGAGTATTATTTTTATGTTTTTGAACTCATCTATGGTATTGGATTTTGGAATCAGAGATCTTTTAATCTATGGTATTGGATTATATAATTGCTATGTGTTCTTGGGAATTATTGGTTATTGCTTTAGATTTTCACTGGTTGATTTGATTCATATCTGCATTTGGGATAAGTGTTTAGATTCTTATAACAAAGGATCAATTTGGGAATCACTGTTTATTATGAATCTGCAATGACTTGTTCAATTATCATTGCCTTTGATTGTTTTCACCATTTGAATAGTATCGTCTTCTTCTTCACATTTGATCTCTTCAGTCTATTCTCCTATATCTGTTTGGCCTCTCCATTTCCTTATTCTAGCTTCTGCTATTGAAGCCTGAACATTTTATACAAACGTTAATACCAAAAAATTGATAATTGAATTGACAAGGATTGCTTCTTTACCTGTGTTCCAGTTGGTTCTGTAGATAATCAAAAGTAGAACACATGTCTGAACTACTGTTCCGGTTAGCATTCCTGTCCATATTCCCTGTATTTGTGTGTATTCAGATCAACTCAAAGCTTATCATATATGCAAGTTTTTTTTTATCGAGATTGGGTTTTGAGATTATACTTACCTTCACTCCAAGTTCCATCTTGAAGCCGAGTAGAAGACCAATAGGTATACCACATAGATAGTAGCACCCAACGTTTACAGAAGCAACGACCCCTTGCCATCCAGCTCCAACTGCGACACCTTTTGCACCAATATCAAAAACCAAAACACTTTCTAATTTGAACACAGTGGCCTTAAAATTGATGCAGTAAAGGGTTGAAATGTTGCATAAGAATCTCACCAGACAGAACAGGCTGAATGTTGTTGATGACGATTGTGAGAGCCAGCAACGGAGTCAGCTGTTTCACGAGTACTCTCACTTGTTCATCTTCAGAGAACATTGCTGGATACTTGTCTCGTAACATGATGAGAGTCATTGATATCATAGCTCCAATTGATACGGAAGTTATCATTGCCACTATCAATAAGAATTTCGCTCTTCTTGGATGTTCAGCTCCAAGCTCATTTGACACTCTTACACTGCACATATAACACATATGTGCTTTATCATCCCATCACTAACCTTATCTCTCATAGAGTATTTGCTTAAATTAATGTCTTGTATTGTACCTCACAGCCGCATTGAAGCCAAAGGCCACCATGATCGGCCATCCCAATATGTTCATGCTGTACCAAACTGTTAATTTTGTTCTAAAACTGAAACACAAGCTTCATATATAGGGACTAGAACTCACCAAATGGAAAGAGCAGCCACAGAGACTTGAGGGTTCTTGAGGTAACCCGCAAACAGAATCAACGCCATGAAGTACCAAACCTCTAGGCTGAAACCAACAAACATTAAGGTCACTAGGTGTACTCATCAATGAACCAATATGTATCGATCTGATTCCAAAAGGTTTCGATATCTCACCAAACCATGACTGCAGAGGCAAGAGACAATCTGGCAAAGCCTCTGAGATTCTTGAAAGCCTTCCAAGAGAGCCCTGGCCAAGCTCTGCCACAAGAACCACCACAAATATATACTATTTGAGCAACATCTATTAACCACCACGACAGATTCAATACAACAGCTCCTCCGGCCATTCCCCAATCGAGTTTTAGCATCAGCAACCAACTCAATAGAGTGTGCTGTAACAGCACGGTCACTGCTATAACCGCCATTGCAATCACCTTGCTTTGTGCCTATAATAATTAATCAATCTCATAACTAAACGAGTTGAATTTACCTTAAGTAAACTGATTTTGATGTTGTTACCTGCAAAAACTTGGCCGTGGCAAAGTTAACAGCGTAAGCAAAGAGCTGAGGAATCATCCTGAGGGAGAATTTCCCCGCGGCTTTAGAGAGCTCCTTGTTTCATATCCGAGGAGACTCAACAGTGGAGTGGCAAACACGTAAAAAAGACAAAGAAGAAGAGCACAAGAGTTAAGGATGATCCAAGACCTCTGAAGATATATTCCCATCATCTCTAGTTGCCCTGCTCCGTACGCTTGCCCACAAAGCGTCGCTAGTGCACTTCCCATCCCAAGCTTATATCAATTTTAGTGTTTAAAAAGAATCACCATGTGAACAATTCGTTTGTTAGGAAAAAAAAACAGCAAACCAACATATAATAAAAACAAAACTATCATGATATAAAATTATTAATTGAATTCATGCAATTACCATGCTTAGATATTTCCCAATGTATCAACTAAAAGTTTTATAACACCCTTAACTTTTAATTGAATCATGTCATTGGCATTAGAGTTATATATACGTAATGAAGCTTAAATTACCATAATGCCGACAGAGAAGCCGGCGATGACGGAGTTCTGTATGGAGACGGCAGCTAGAGCTAGTGTGTTGACGTGTCCGGCGAGGATCTGAGTGACGGCGCCAAGAGAGTACTATTGACAGAAGGAGGTGAATATCGCGGGACCCGCGAGCCACCATAGTTTCTTTGACTCAGCCGCAAACTGTTGGAGGAAGTGTCTACCGCCGGAGATCAGAGGCATGTCCGTGTCGGATTTGGTATTTGCTCGATGTTCTTGCTCTGAGGAGATAGTATCTTCATGATCAACGTTGAGAGTTTCCATATGTCTTACGAGCTAAAGATAGATAGTAATATCTTAGACATGCATGCATAATGCATATATTTGTACGTCTATAATAGCGTATAGAGTTTTATTTGTAAGCAATATATATATGTTAGGTTCTAGAAATTTTAGTTAAGGTTTGTCAAAATTCTAGTATTGTTCCATAATTCAGAGATGCAATGGAGTGTACGAGGATAAAGTGGTCTAACTATTCTTTATGTATTGTCCAGACTTTATCACCCAATTTTACTTTGATCTGAGATTAGCAGACTGACTCAAGTCATTTGGTATCTATCATTCAAGTATTCAACAATGAGCAATTGAGCATTATTATTAAAAAAATTAATATTTATTAATTGTCTAATAGCATCATGAACGGAAAATGCAAGCCGAAAATTTTAGTTAATTTGCTTATAATTGGTTTGTGCAAACTGCAAAGCGTTGCATTTGGCGCAAGACAGAAAATTTTCAACAATAAAAAATAATCTAAGAAAAAGAAACGACGTCGTTCTACAAATCTTTCTCAATTTTAATTTCAACCATTCATGAAATTAATGTAACTCATAATAATTCTATATAAATTATTAGATAATATTCTTTTCTCAAAAAAAAAAATGGTCATCTAATTTACCAAAAACTGAAAGATCAGACACATTCATTGCCATAAAATCAAAAGTTAAAAAATTTCATAACCAAAAACTCTACAAAATCTACATTCATTAATCAAGGGCTGCTGATTATAGTTGTAAGAAAAAAAAAATATCTAAATCCTTTAATGTTTGAATTATTTTTCACAACAAAAAATTTCATCCTTATTTGAAACTTGTTTGTGACGCACGACATAATTTTCTGTTCTTTCTCCGAAAAACGTCAATGCTAGAAAAATACCAACATATAATTTTCTTTATCGTTAACTTCAATTGCATGTAGTCATTAAGATATTGTTGATTCGTTCGTAGATTAACAATTAAAAAAAAAAAAGTAAGATATGTCCAAATTTATCAATACCTAAATCCATAAGCTTAACACAACAGTGGATGAGTTTGTCCTTGATACAACAGTTTAGACTTTGGAACATGTTGTTGTTTCTTCTTCTCTTAATCGCAGTTGAGGCCGAAACAACTCGTTCACATAAACGATATCCAAACATTAAAACACCAAAACGAGAAAAGAAATCAAACAAAATTATTATAAATCGATAAGTAGAGTATTGAGTAATCTTTGCCTCATCCCAAGTTGCTTGCATCAAAAACAAAAACAAAAATCACAAAGTTTGAAAACTAATTGTTGGCGCCACCAGAGAAGAATGATCTCCGCCTCTCCGGCGTTTAGGTTTGGGAGCCCGCGGACATTCTAGCGGCTGCGGAATCCTAAACTGTTCTGCTTTAGGCGTTGTGCACTCTTCCTCCTCTTCCTTCTCCGGCTTCTCAACCATCGTCACAGGACATTTAACCGGCGACAGAATCTTGATCAGTTGGCTTCTTCTCCAATTCTTCTCCTTCTCTGTTTTCTTCTTTACCCTTCTTATTACTCTGCACTTCTTTTCCCGCAAAATCCATAGCTTACCAAAATATAGAAAGAGAGAAGCAACAAAGTTTTCCTTTTTGTTTTGCTTCTTTAGTTTGTGGAAGCCTTTGTATGTAACTTTGGTGCTTCGTTGATCAGGGAAAAAAAATTAGTGAGGATTTTAAAGCAAGGATTAAAAAGAGATAAATATCACAGTTTGGATTTATCATATTAATTAATTAAAGAAAATATTAAGTCGACTTTTTTCTTCATAATCAATAACAAACTGGACATATATTATGTTTTTTTTTTCTTTAATATAATTGCATAATTACAAATTTCACATTACCAACAAAAAAAAAAGGCTATCGCCTAAACTTCATTTCATTGAGATAAAGATTTAATCCGTTTCCAATTGAAAATAGAAGTATAGAGCGAGAGAGAGAGTTTATAGAATAGGACAGAAAGAAAGAGTGTACTACAGAGATTTAGCTTTAGAGTGTAGCAGAGCATAATAGTTGTTTAGAAGAAGAAGAAGTAATCACATTCTCGAATAACCAACGTTATTATCATACTGACTCATGAACTCGTCGTTGAACTTCTTGAAGCTATCCATGATCTCCGGCATCTCTTCTTCTGCTGGCAGGATCGTTGTCCTCAGATGGAAGACACTGTCAAAATCCACAAGAGGAATGAGTTCATAAGAAGAGATCAAATGAGCAAGAACGGATTCGTATTTGGAGATTCTTTACCCTTCTTTCTGTCCAAATCCAGAGCCAGGTACTGTGGAGATTCCTGTGGCTTCTAAGAGCTTGAGACAGTAGAAAACGTCTGGCACTTTTCCGGCTTGTTTTGCAGCTTGGATAGCTCCCGGTGGTAACCGTATTTGAGGAAACGAATACATTGCACCTAACATTTACACAAGAAGGAATCAACTTCAACAACATAAACTTCCAAATATCTACACTGGACAGGTGCTTATTGCTTCATTATTGTTTTACCTTCTGTGAAATTGCACACAACGTTTTTGCAGCTGTTGAATCCATCAGTCATGATTCTTGCTCTTCTTCTCAAAGATTCAAGAATCCCCTTGCTAAAGAAATGTGCAAAAAGGGGATTTGTTATTCAATCCAGGGATGATGATCACGAGCGTGTAAGCTTATATATATACCTTTCACGGGCGAACTGGTCATATGAAATGTCTCCAGGCTTTGGAGGACTAACCATCAAACCCATCTGCACAGGTCATATCACTCTCAGAACATACTGATGATTTCTACAAAAGCAAATCCACATTACTTTAAAACCTTTGACTTACAAAGATCTGCGCAGAGACATTGGGGCTGAGGGCAATTGATGCAACCTTGTATATCTCCTCAACAACCTGCAAAATCAGAAATCTTATTATGATTATGTTATGTTTGACACATAACATAAAGTAACTAAACAAAGGTTAGAACAGAGAGTAAGACAAACCCTTGGAGGGAGGTTGGTCATCTCAAAGTATCCACCTCGCTGTCCACATTCGCCCCAATATCCTTTAGAGACTGTGTGAAAAGATACAAGCTGAACTCCATTGCTGAACGGCGAACCCATATCCATCAAAACCTTTTGATTTTTTTTTAAGAATGGTCGTGTCAAAAGAAAGATCACATATCAGGCACAAGGTTGAGACAAATGAAACCAAAGATAGAAGCTAACCTTCTTGGAGCTGATAAAGGGACGCTCATCCTGGTATATGTTCTGCTGATAAACCTCGTCTCCCAGAAGAACCAATTTCTCGTTATAACAGTACTTCAATATCTCTCTTAAGTTAGCTTCGCTTAGACACTGACCAGTTGGGTTCCCAGGGTTAATGATCACCATTGCCCTTACCTGTATGCACATTCAAGACAATTTGTAACTGGAGCAAGAAACACATAGGCCTCAACCTAACTGCATCATCGATTATTGCAAGAGAAGAAGGAAAAAGAGTGCTTACTGTAATCCCTTGAGAACGAGCCTGAGCAACGGATTGTCGAAGGTTATTAACATCAAGTCCCCAGTTTTCAGACTCATCAAGATAGTAAGGAACAAGAGTACCACCTAACAGTGATATGGTAGCTGAGTAGAGTGGATACTGTGGAACCGGAACTAGAATCTTCCAAACGGAAAAAAAAACTTATAAATGAAATGTCAGGGGTAAAACATAGCAGAAAAGATCTCCTGGGACAGAGGATTACCCCGTCTCCATCACCGCGTATAACACAATTCAAGATTTGCATCACACCTTTGCTAGCTCCATCAGTGAGAAAGATGAGTTCTGGGTCACTAAAAATAAAGAAGCAGAAAGCCTAAGCTGGGTTTGTTTCTACAACAAAATATATTTCATTGTGCAGAGAAAAAAATGTAAGCAATCACCTTGGATACCCATCACGCCGTTGAATGAACTCAGCAACTTCTTTCCTAACTCCTGGAAGGCCTCTTGAGTCACTGTAAGCACCTAATGAAACAGAAAAGGCAATATAACTAACTTTTTCTGATTGTCAACACTAATCTACAAATCATAGATGGCTAAGAAGGTCATACCTAAACCGCCTGAAGTCAAGGAAAGATAATGTTTAGCTCTTGCAATAGCATCAGCTGGAAACAGCATTCCAACATTTGGGTCATCTAGTAGAAACGGAGCTTGGCAAAGCGCAACCACCTGCAATTGGTTGTTTCGTTTTACTATTTAAGCTCAACCAGAGATTGAAGTCTGGCTGTCTAAGAATTGTATATACACATACCTGGCGAGGAAATGTCAACGGCTTCTGTCCTAAAGCATGAGGGTTTCCAACATTTGTGAAGATAATCTGTTATGTAATAATTTAGCAAAGTTAGCAATTGCCAGTAACTATGGACGAATCAAGTCGTAGATAATAACTGCAAATGCATATCAAGTCCAAAACCAACAAAGAACCACATGTCTATCTAAAGCACCTTGTTAAGTTTGCTCAACTTTTTATGTTTTCATAGTTGAAGTTGGATACAGAGGACACATACACCTTTTAAAGAGTAAAAACAAGATGAAAAAGCACAAGAGAACCCAAAGTGTTTACCTTTTTGCCTTCTTTCTGAAGCTCAGAAGCTCGGAGATAGAGTTCACCTCTTACGGCATACTGACACTTCTTGACGTTTTCATTCAGAGTATCATAGTCTAATGCCTTGATAGCCATTTATGTTCACTCTTAAGCAATCCTAGCTCACTTCTACCCTCCTCTACAATTGAAACAAAACAATTCATCAGCAATTGGAACCAAAAAAAGCCAGATAGGATAAATGAATCAAAATCAAAACTAAATTGACTCTAAGAGCACAAAAGACCCCTAATTTCTGGGTTTCTGTAGCTCATTTTCCAGAACAAATTCTTAATCTATACAGGAAAAGGAGACGCCTTTTCAAAAGGGTATTTCAAAATCATTCAAAAGAAGAAGAATTTGATCAATGATCGATCCAAAAGAAGAAATCACAAACCTTCAAACTCAATGTTGTGACCCCAAAAGTCTATCTGGAGAGTCACGTTTGGTTCAAGAGCAAAGGCAAGAAAAGAGTGGGTAGAGTTAAAATATTAGTGTGTGTGACTTTAAAAAATATTTGTGTAGCAGATTACAAATGTGTGTATGACATGAATTTGGATCATTCCTCAATCTAATCATGTGGCTTCACAACAAAGGAAGCAGCAGAGCCACTGAAATTGACGAAGACGATTTGTCAGACAAAAGTCAATTCACGATATCTATCCGTGTCTCGTTTTTATGCTACGAAGACCGTTCTTAAGGAAATAAAAATAGAAGCAGATAATTTGGAAGAGAATAAAATGTGGTGGAGATTCCAGACGAAGAGATTGTTAGTTTTGTCATGTTATGGACTGTTCTTCTGAGGAAATTATGCGTTTGGGAGACGACCAATAGGGTCGACCCACGTAGCCTTCGTTTTTGTTTCGTTCTCTTTTAGACGCAGCAGGTTTGTGTTTACTAGTGGATCGTCTTGGGCTTATTGGCTCCTCGTACTCTCAAAAGGCTTAAGTTATGGCCTTATGGGCAAGAGTTGTTTGAACACTTCAATTTTGAGAATTGATAAGTGAATGATTGAACTCAAGACTTCATAAGTGAATCAATATGAGCTGTTTAATTTTGTTTTTATACTTTTTCTATCAGTAATTTCTTTTGTATTATAAGAATCGATACGAAAAATCAGTTTGTTAAGTTTCATGTGTTTCAAATTATGCATACTCAATTGGTAATTAGTGGATCTAGTCATATCCTTGGTCATATTTTCTTGAAATGGTTAACTCATATCTCGAATTGGATTTTATTTCAGAAATGTTATTTTTAGGCAGTTGGCATCTTTAGAGGAGGATTGGATTATCAATGGTTGGCCGCGGGCATCTTCGATATGTACTAGTAACGGATCTCTTGGCTACAGGATTTCTTGTTTGGTATATGATTCCATTTTGTCGAGATTTTCTGTTCTCATCTAGCTTTGTTGTAGGGTTCTTCTTTTATCATTGTATTCTTTTAGCCTTGTAGTATCAGTCGTTTGTTTTCTTTTCATAGGGCTTTAGATTCCAGAGAAATTTTATCATTCAGCCAGCTTAATTTGTATTTCAACAAGTATTCCTTTTTAGTATTTTCAATAAAATTAAGATGACAAAACAAAAAAAATTATTTCAGGACTAAAAGTACAACCTACCTAGGCTTATATTGCCACATCTATTACTACATTTTGATGTATGTGCAAATTGAATAATTGTAAACCACCATAATATACATATAAGTTAGTTTCTTTTAAATATTAATTTGTAACGAATATTATCTATCTAAAAATATGAAAGACTATCTATGCAAACTTGTATTCCCTATTTGGTTAAAGTCAAAGAAATTTTGATGTCATCTAAAATATGCATATAGACATATAATAACGTGGTATAGTGTGGGATCTCATATTTAGAAGAAAAAAAAATCTAAGAAGTCAAACCAAATTAAATTAACTGTCAGCTGAATATATGGCACCTACCATAGATGCTGATAACATAGCGTTTATGAAAACGCTAATAAACACGTATAATAGCACTTATCGTGAACTAAGAATGTTGATTTTTCTTGTTGCACGGTTTATAATTTATTTTATGTGGAAAACTTATTTAGTTAAAAAAAAGTTGAATTCTTAGAAGCTGAGATACTACAGTTTGTGTTATAAAAGTCCCCTTGAAAAAACCATCCATTGATTTTAGCTCTTAATTTTGTACTCTACGGCTCTAAGGTTCATTTCCAAAAATGCATGCTACTAACACACTCGCTCCTTAAGATGAGATGAAAAGTTTTCTCATCTGAAAATCTTATAGTTAAGGTTGTTATTCAGTTCTAAGTCATTGGAAAATCCTTTGACATTGCCAATATTCATTTTCATTAGCACCTTCTTGGAAAAAAATTCTTGTGGTTGTTCCAATACAAACTCAAGTACTTTGTTGTATAGTTAACGATTAGAACCAACATTAAAGTTCTTTTATGATAAATTATTATGTAGCATTACTTTTAAAACATTACCAAAATGTTAAATAAAACACTCAAGGCTGGTTGCATTTGAGATCCTTGATGGTGGCGAGTCTCTGGATAAAGACGTCAAAGTCGTCGTCCCGGCTAAGCATGCTAACACGGACGTACTTCTTATCACAACCACATCGGTCCCCTCCTCTCGTCAAAACCTTCTTCTCCTTCAAGAGACTTCCAAGATCTCTTTCCTCTTTATACCCCAACCACGCAAACGCTGCAACAACACAAACCGTTAACGACCCAACCGTTAACAAAATCAACCCAAATTAAAAATGGGTTTGTGGTTTCTAGTACGTACCAGGAGAAGTGGAGATGGTTTTGCCAAAGAAGTTGCAGAAGGCTTGAGGGTAATTAGGGAGAGTGAATGCGTCACCGGATTCAACGACCTCTAGTAGCCTCTCCCACCGTGACTTCATCTTCTCGTAGCCATACTCGAAGAAGCTCTCCGATTGTGTCCTACAGGTTTTGGTCAGTTCGTTAAGAATTGTGGTGGCTCGAGTTTGTGACTCCTTCGAAACACCAATGGAGTTTATTGTTAAGTACTGCACCATCTTCTTAGCCACCTCTACGTCCTTCACTAACGCCCACCTTCACCCACAAAACGAAACATATTCATCAATATATAATTCTACAACAATATGTAAAAAGAAAACTTACACAAATAAGTTGATTTAGAGACAACTAAATTTTAATTTAGTGATATGTCGCTTAAAACTATATCACCGTGTTTAAACACACATGATCAAGTGATTAGTTAGTCTCACCCAATGCGTGACCCAGCGTGGCCAGTGATCTTGGAGAAGGTGAAGAGCATAAGGTCATGGTCTTGACGGCGAGTGATGGAAGTGTAGTGTGGCCAGTAATACGCGAAGTCGTGGATCACTTTCCCATCCTCCCTACGGTTCACCACCGGCTCTCTCATGGTCCCATCAGGGTTGTTCGGTGACGTCACCAACTCTATATACGGTCCATTTTTGTCAAACGTCCTTGCGTCTCCTTCCCATTTGTATAGCGACGATTGAACATACGATGCCTCCTCCACGTATGTCTATAACAAAACATAAAAACAAAAACATTGAGCGTACTTTAGGTTTTTGGTAGCAAAAAAAATTGGGACATGAGCATTAATTAAACTAAGGTCAGTTTATTTTTCTTTGTGGTCAAGAAACATGTCTTACTTACACAACCCTAAAATAAGAACGCTAGTGAATATCTAATATATATACACGAAACCATCTTGATGCTTACGGAGATGCAAGGAGAGATTCAGTGGGTGCATGAGGGCTTACGGAGTAATAAGGAACCGCTGCGACGATGCTGACAGGTTTGACCTCAGAGAGCGACGAAAGAGCAAACAAAGCGGCCTGACAAAGCTGTGACGAGCCAGTCCCCACCACGATGTAGCGTTCCTCGGTAGCTGCATTGCCGATTGCACCATGCAACGCCTTGATCGCCTTCTCAAGCTCTGGCTCTAGGAACCAACACACGTTCGTTGTATCGCTGAAGTAACTCATCAGATCCCATCCTGGTATCACTACCGTACACTTGTCTTTCTTCTTCATCCAATACTCTTGAAACGCCGTCGGATCTCCTCTGCAAAAATTGTTTACAAGCAAATCAATCTCTTTTTTCAGAATCCATCATGAATCTCTACGTCAAGACGGTTTGCTTTGACAAAACGAAATTAACAAAATTGATTTTTAGAGGATTATTATGCAACAAAAGTGAGTTTTTAGTAGAAATAGAACACATACTGATCAAGATTGATGACGTCATCCGACAAGCACTTCTCCTTGTTCGAATCACTGTCTGATTTCTTCGAGTTTTCACACCCAACCATCTTCTTCGTGCCCTTGTTTACTCTCTTGCTGGCTATTTTAACAATGTGTAAGAAGAATGATAGTGATTGGGAAAATCGTATGGAGTCTATTTATAAGGGGAGTCATGAAAACAAATAACTTATATGGAGTCTATTAATTAAAAGGTAAATCCAATTTTTACCAAAAAAAAAGGTAAATCCAACTCCAAAAGGGTAAAAGATTTGTGTTGTGTATTGTCAGCTGTAGAAACATATATATGCTCCATTTTTGTGGTCAATATTTACTTATTCAACAATTTTGGGTCAATATGTATCTCATAGTTATGATCATTCTCCTAACTACGCCAAATGTCATAACGAATCTATCATACTTTTGTAGAAAGCTTATTTAAGGGATGTGGTCAAGAGATTATTATCTAGATAATTTCTTTTATTTAATTACTATTTAATAGAATTCTAAGTCAGATACATTTCACTTAGATAAGAACACAGGTTTTACTTTAGCATTATGTCCCCACGTGTTGTGTTATCGTTCTATTTTCATTTCCATTTTATTTGTTCTTACAGTGAATTTGGGATAAATTATAAAGAGATTTTGTGATATGTTCAAGATATATAGCATTTATGTAATCGAATTAACCGTACAAGAAATATTTTTAGATATAAACTTGATAAAATTGTGGACTCTATTGAGAATCCGTAAATGTGGATCGATATAAATTTTCAAAATTTAATATTTCGGGTTTAGGATTTAGCTCTAGTATTTCTAAATTTTAAAATCGCTCGTAGAGTTTAGGAGTATATATTATCATATTCGATAAAACTACTGTAACTTAAAACATTAATCTTTTGTATTCAGATAGATTTATATCTACCATGTAACATGTTGAGTTTCTATGCAGTTTAGTTTCGCTACTATGAATTGCTACCAAAAAAATCAATTATCACTCAATGATTTAAATTATAAATGATGTAACAAAACAATAATGACTCCATTTTAAATATATAAACCATATAAAATGTACGTATTAGCGTCATCATTGTCTCGCGAAATTTATATACTAAACCATAGTTAAAATGTAGCGCCGTCATTTTTTGTCAGCACCGATATTGTTCACATTAATTTTTTGTATTAAACCATGTTAAAATGTAGCGCTGTCATTTTTTTTGTTAACACCGTCATCGTGTCACATAAATTCCTATATTAAACCATGTTAAAAATATAACGCCGTCTTTTTTTTTTGTTAGCGCCGTCATTGTGTCACATAAAAATTTAAATAATATAGTGGAAATAAGTTGTTGACAAAGAAACCATAGCATTAAATTAGATATTTTAAATTAAAGATTATTAATTCAAGTATATTTAAATTACCAATATAAATCTCATGCTATTTAAAATATAATTGATAGTATCATATCATCAAAATTGCAACTATTACTATGAAGCCAAATTATCAATTTGGACCAAAAAAAAGAAGCAAATCATCAAAGCTAGTTTTAGGATCATAATACCACTGCTTTTACAATGTTTTTAATGATATAAAGTAACACTTAAAAAAAAACAATAAATAATGAATCTATGGATACTTAATAAACTTAAAACAAAGAGATATCAGTTTAACCACATGGTGGTGGGCTAGTGGTTCTCGTTTGGTTGGAAGGATCGCCCTGTTGGTATAGGCCAGGGATCGATCCTCCCCAGACGCAGTTTCGCTCTCTCACTCCTGTGGCCACCTGGGAATTTACCTGCGGACTTGCTCAGGCGCCCCAGACCACCAGTTTATCAGGGGCCCTTAAGTGGAGGCTTAAAAATCCCTGTGACGCGGGTTTAGGCCCAGTGGGCTAGTCAGATCACTGTGTGGTCTGGATACTGGGTTATCAAAAAAAAGAGATATCAGTTTAATTTGAAAAATAATTATTTGAAGTTTAAAACGTCACTCACTTTACATGCACATCCTTTATTGCGTGTCAAACGAGTGGTTCAACGTCAAAAAGACTCAAAACTAGCCTTACACGCAAGATGCGACGATCTAACAAAAAAGACACTCGGACTCTAATCACTATCACTTGGCAATAGCTAGATGAATTCATATCTTTTATACTCTAGTTTAGTCTCATGTTATACTAGACTTGAGATTTCTAACAGAATTCAAGGCAACATGGAAACGTTATCTTCGAATAGGATATTATCATACACATAGTGAACACTGTCAATTACAAATCCTAATCCCGTAATCTTAAGACGCTGGTCAGAGTTAAGAGACACCAAAATCTTGAGCTTTGGGGATTCTTGTTGTACAAACGAAGCTATACATTTGTTGATGACATTTTGGTCTCTCTATTCTTCTTGGTCTCCTCTTTCATGGTGTTGAGCTTCGTTAGGCAATGTCTGAGGAGCCTTCCTGAATACATGTTTCCTGCACCGCTCAAAGATACTGTCGTAAATCAAATCGAACTCCACACCTGCTCGCTCTCGGTTCATAATGAACATTACATGATCTGCCTCCACGATCTTGTAGTACCTGAAACATACCAAGAAAAACCGGTAAGACTATTAATCTTTCACTGAATATCCAAGAAGCTGTAATCCATGTCAAATGTAATGGCTAAAGCGAGAAGAGGACTAACCAAATGCCTGGTAGGAGAGGGAGACAGTCTGAGTCACTACGAAGAATGAGACTAGAATGTTCAACCGGAATTCGTGGGTGAGTCATGGATATTGTGTTCAGTGCTCCATCATTGTCCTGCCAATCTTCATCTCTGTAATACCCAATTTGAACAGAGATTAGTATACTGTATGGTGTAGCTTTAAGTGGTGATATCAAGTTCAAAGAATTTGACCTGTAGCCTTTATAAGGAAGAGGAATGTCACGAGGAAATTGCCACTGACTCATCTGCAACACGCGGATGAAAAGCAGAGGATGGATTCCCATCACGCCTGAAGGAACAGTCATCATTCCAAGAGGTTTAGTAGTACGCTTAGTCGCGTAGCTGAAGTAGAACGTGTTTGGGAAAGTCTGCAGACTAGCGTTTAGCTTCATTGATCCCTGGATTGAGAGGTCAGGCAAGATCCAATCTCCACATGCAGCAAAAGGACCAGCGTTTCCAAGAAGAAGATCGAGTAGGCCGCGTACACCTGTCTTCTTTCTCGACATGTTGAAATGGTCGAACCCGAAATTGTAATAGGATTTGAGCCAAGGAATGTCGATCCAGTCATACATTATGACTCCAAGTTTGCAAATCTGAAGCAGTGATATAGGTTTCAGGGACTTCCCGTCTTCCGGCCTGACAACAATAGTATACAATTTGGATTATAATTCGATGAATTGTTAACAAAGAGGTCACAAGAAAGAAGAGAAACTCACTGAATTCCATCGATGTAGGTTCGAGTAGTCCCGTTTAATGCCCCTGACAAAGATGTTAAACTCAACACCCAGTTTTCATTTGTGTTCTCATAACCCTCAAACATCTGAAAATAACAAAACACAAGCAAAGAAGTTCAATAACACAACCAAATCCCACTCAATCAATTGATAAAGTCTTCAGTTCTTTTACACAATTTACCTTGTCAGCGAGCATTTGCTGCAACACACGAACAACTTGAGCACCAGCAGAGTGACCAACAAAGTGAATAGGATGATCTTCATCCCATTCTTGGTATTCCCCTGAAGAAAATTAACTATTCATCAGCACAAGAGTCCATCTAAAAGCTACTCAAAAAATCGAAAGAGAACACATAAAAGACTAAACCTTTTTCATAAAAACGACCAAATTGAGAATGCCCACAAGCTTTACTGTGTTCTTCACCATAATCAACTAACCCACCTTTCAGATAATAAAACAGTTCTCTTGCCCTACAAAAACACTTTATCAGCAATTCACCTATCGAGTTGAAACTATATGATAACAAAAAGATTTGAACTTTCTCTTTCACCTATCGTGTACACTGGTCAAAGATCCCAAATCAGGCACTAACACTCTCTCATCCTTCTTCTCTGCTCCAGCAAAGTATGATAATCCACCTAATCTCTGCAATGGCAAATCCAATTAACGAATACAAAAAAAACACTTGCATGTAGAAAAGCAAAGAAAGTTTTGAACTTACTCCTTTGCCAAATCCGAAAATCCCATGAACCAAAACAATGGGAGGCAAATCATTGACGTCTTTAGTCTTTTCTTGGTCAATTTGTGTGACTTCAATGGTGGCTTTGGGTTTGAAGATTGACTCGCTCAACGACTGAGTAAGATCTCCGGCGACGGCGGAGCTGAATATGTAAAGCCCATAAAATATATGAACAACGGAGCTCACGGATAGCTCTGCTACCTGTATAGCTGATACCATCAACCATGGAATCATCTTCCTCCTTAACCAAAACCCAAACCCCAAAACTCAATCTTTCGTCTCAAAAACCAGACTTGTTTAAAACCCAGTAATCAAAATCTGATTTTTCACAAAGAATAAGAACCAAATTCCAATTTTGGTTCTTCAGATTACCTAATAAGAAACTACAGTGAAAGAAAGAAGAAAACGAGTCAACAGAGGTTGCTCTGTATCAACATTGAATCAATATCAAAAACCCTAAAGAAGATGATGAACAATCAAATTATGATGAATCACTGTTTTTGATTGAATGATTCTTTCTGTGAAAAATGGTTTATCCCTCAGAAACACACAACTTTCTCGTTCGTTTTTTTGCCCTCACGCATGAAACGAGAGCTCTGTTTTCTAAGGACCAATGAAAGACGCACACTTCAAATTTTATTTTCTCTATTTAACTTTTGTTTTTTAGGAAAAATCTCGAAACTGTGTTTCGAGATTGATGCTTTCTTGTGTATAAGATGAAACGTGTATATATTGGGAAAATAAAAGTGGGTTCCATTGAGATTTGAGAGTTATGGTGAACTGTTTTATTTATAAATTAAATAAAAAATAAATGTAACGTTTGGTTGGTATAAGTAGGAGCAGTTGCTGAACTGTCAAATAATACATACAAGTTTCCGGAGAATCATTCTTCATGTTTCGTGAAATTTCTAATAAGTTTTCGTGGTCCACATTTAATCACGTCGTACACACGTCCACGTTGAAACTTTTGAATGACATTTGTACAGAGACAAAAATAAATTTGGTTTTGAGTTCTTAGCTTATGTTACGGTTTAATATGGGTTATTTATGTATTATTTAATTTTGAATTTCTATAATTAAGCATGTTTCTTTTAATTAGTTAAAAATCTTTATTTAACTTTGGTGTGTGGTAAAGACTTGCCTAGAACCTTCTTTAGTTGATTGTTTGTGTACTACTATCGATTTTAAAGATAATTCTGATTCATGGGTTTCTTTTTTTTTTCTTTTTCCCGTAATGTATGAATTTACTAAAAATGTAAGGTTCATCTTGTTCTCATGCAGATGAAATCATCCATATACAATTTTACTTTCGGGTTGTAAATTTGTAATCATCATCTTTATTATCACCATCATTGCTTATTATAATAATGATGGTGATCATTTTAATGTTCGTACATGACCAGACTGGATCCACCACCAATTCTCAAAAAACATAGGTAATGAACCTCTATAATTTTTAAGATTTTTAATATCAAAATTATGTTCCAAAAAGATTTGTTATTGCAAACAAAAGACTCCATTTTTCTAAAATTTTCAGATTTATTCTAAATTTTTTAAATTTGATCTATTTACTATTGCAAAATAGGTTCCATTTTTCTGAAATTTTAAGATTTGATCTCAAATTTTAAATTTTTTTTTTATAAAATCTAAAAAAAAAAATTGTTTTGTATTAGGCCCCATATTTCACAGGGCCGGCACCGTACACGACGATGATATTGCTGATGATAGTCATAATAAAAAAAATGATGACCATCCATCATATTTTGTATGATTTTGGTCATTATTATCATCATGATAATAATTCATCAATAATAATTTGTGTGATGTTGATCATTATCATTATTATGATGATGATGATGATGACGACGATGATGGTTATAAAAAAGATGATGATGACGCTATGATAGTATAATATTGATATGATGATGATGGTATGATGACAACGATGATGATGATTTCATACTTTCATTATGGTGATGGCATGTTGACGATGTTATATGATGGTATAGTGAAAACGATAACCGCGTGATGTTTATGATTATTAGCTATGTTAACACTGACGATTTTAATTTAAAGTTAAATTTAAAATTTATATTTATATTTTTACTTTTGATAGTATCTTTTTAGATTTAAGTAACATATAATATATATTTTTTAAATGAAATTATTTATTAATCTAAAACAGATCCATGTACGCAAAAACCATACTACAACACTCTACTTGTACTAAACCCTACGGTAGATCTATGACAACTCTAAAAAAATTGTTTTGTATTGGGCCCCATATTTCACAGGGCCGGCACTGTACATGACGATGATATTGCTGATGATGGTCATAAGATTTCATTCATCATATTTGTATGATTTTGGTCCTTATCATCATGATGATAATTCATCATATTTTGTATGATTTTGGTCATTATCATCATGATGATAACTCATCAATCATAATTTGTGTGATGTTGATCATTATGATGATGATGATTATGACGATGATGGTTACAAAAAAGATGATGATGTCATTATGATAGTATAATAAATGATGATGATGGTATGTTGACAATGATGATGATGATTTCATACTTTCATTATGATGATGGCATGTTGATGATGTTATATGATGGTATAATGATAATGATAACCGCGTGATGTTGATGATTATTAGCTATGTTAGCACTGACGATTTTAATCTAAAGTTAAAATTCAAAATTTATACTTATATTTTTACTTTTGATAGTATATTTTTAGATTTAAGTAACATAGAATATCATTTTAAAATGAAATTATTAATCCAAAACAGATCTATGACACGCAAAAACCATACTACAACACTCTAGTTGTACTGAACCCTACAGTATATCTATGACAACTTTGAGTACTTTGACATTTTGGCTTTTGAACTATTGAATTTATGGCTGCAATACACTTCATCAATGTTTCAAAGAAGCAATCGCAGATAAAATGATCTCTGTCCTTTTTCTATCTATCTTATGGTGATAGGCTGTTGCATATGCTTTAGGCTTAAAACAAATGCTTGTATAAAAGATTCCACCAAAACGTATACAACTGAAAACAGCAGGAAAAACAAACTATTGTAGTCTTGAATGAATTACAAAATGAAGATTATACATAGAATTTGAAATTACCTCCTAATATTGCATAGGGATACCTATTTGGTAACATTAGGACAATAGTAAGGAATGAATCCCTCACATCATTATCAGAATCTGCAAGTAGAATAAAATTAGAAAAAGACACACAAATGCTAGTAAGATTTATCAAACACCCACATTTTTACCTTCACACCATTATCTACAAATATACTAATATGTATTTGTAGTTCTATTTTTGATAGTACGTTTTTAGATTTATTAGAAAATTTCATTTTTTCGCTTGTAGAACAATTTTACAAATTGCTTTAAAATATATAAATTTTGCCTTTCATGACATAGTCACATAAGATCTCACAACATTCATGTCAAACATAAAAATCTCATGTTCCAAATGTTCTTAGTATTGGAGTCCAATCTAATTTGTGCATAATAAGCACAAATCGTTAGCTATATGATATACAACATAAAACTAAGTTAGAAAGAAAAAGACACACTAGGATAACTACACATCCTAACACACTTAGAGCCTTATTCGATGTTGGTTTCATAGCGTCAAATTTTATTAGCGAAAGATTTCTATTAGAGCAATCATAAGGAAATTGCATTTGCGTGGTTTCAAGTGTACAAGGCAGACCTCCATTAGAGTTAGCACAAGTAAATCGCATATGTGCATCTAAATTGATACAACCTCCATTAGAGCCATGTTCAAAAGCATATATGGCCTAGATATGAATGCTTTTAAATCTGAGATCTTCTTTGGTGGTTTCACATAGGAAGAAGCTATGGAGCTAAGTGGTTACTCATGTATTAAAATCCGATCATTGTCAACAAGATATATGGGTCTTCCTCCCAACAAGAGGTTTTTAATTTTCCTTTAGATTTAGTTAAATTAATTCACAAAAATCGGGAAAAAATATATTGTATTAAGCTAATTTGTAGAATTCTCAAATGAAGTTCATTTGTGCTATTAAAAAAAAACTTTGATGTCCGTAATTTTTCATTATCCACGGAGAGTCAAAATGTAAAGTTTATTATATCTTAGGTTGTCTAAAGTGTAAACGCTTAAAATTCAGAAATGATAATGTGGAATGTGAGACAGTGAGAGTCTAGCCAATAGTCAGTTTGTAAATTATGTGTTAAAATGCATTACAGACAAAGAAAGACTTAGGAAAAAATATAAACCCCTACTTCCATTTAACACTTCATATTCTACATTTACACATTTGATAACATATCAATAAATCGATACATTTCGTTTCTTACAAACAAACAAACAAAAATCTATGGATCTTTGTCCTGAGCCCTAAATCCCAAAAAAAAATCTCATTTACCTAAGCTCAAAACAACACTATCCACTTCTTTTTTTCTCTATGGACATTTGGGATTTTTACCCGGTCCTCCGTAATAAAAAAAGTTACCCCATACACGGTTTACTCCTCCTCTTATATCATAACAATTTGGATGATCCGCAAGAACTTTAAGATTAGATATCGGAATAAGAGTATTGTCCCAATCTACCATTTGAAGATTCCTAAAGTAAGACGCTTTTCCAAAACCTTCACCTGCAAAATGGCCACTGCCCATTTGGGTCGAAGTATGTGAACCACCAGGTCGTGTGTTCACGATCTCACCACCGAACTGGACCATGTTCCCATGCTCTCTCAGGTGTGTGAACAGAGATACGGGCCAATACCCGACTAGTGTACCTGACCCGAATTGGAGCCACCAGTGTCCATGCTTTGGGTCCTACACGTGGAATTTTGACATATTAGTTGCGTTATTGGAATAATTCTAAACTATCAAAGATGGAATTCATGTATACACATGTAAAAGTTGAGTGAGCTATGTTGACCATGCAAAGCATATGATGGATAAGCCATGTGCATGGTTTTAATCAAGAATAGTAGTATGATTTAAAGGAGAGACTAAATTAAAATTAGTGCTAAAATAAGTTCGGTTTAAATTGTTAGGAGACATTTCTATTAAATTAATATGACGTGCAATAATTATTTGGTTGGACACTTGAATACTCAAAACTCGAGTTAAAGGCCTTCTTTATGCCCCACCGAATGGGATTAGCTAGATTCTAGATAAACGATTAATAAGTATAAACTAATCAAATGGTTATGGTCTTATGGAAAAGAGAAATCAAAATTTTACTAACGTACATGATGAGAATAAAACAATTGATATATTGATGAGGATATAGTTACCTTCCATATCAGTAAACTTATATCGAATTGTCCACCTTTATACGACGAAACGGGTGAAATTGCCGCTCCGATTGCGATTCGATTGTTTGTTTGAACAAAACCAGAACATAGTAAGTTATAGCATCCTGTTGCTTGGTAGGCATCCGACTGCAACAACACAAAATAGTAAGGTCCTGTTTGTTTCTCCATCCAAATGATCCATCTAGATGGAGATGAAAAATGATGTTTGTTTTTGACAATTTAACAAGCATTTGGATGGATCATCTAGATGATCCATCTGAATGAGTTTTTAAATTTAGGCAAATTTATGAAACTCATTTGGATGAACTTGATTGAACCATTTGGATGGAGATGGTTCATTCAAAAAGAACAAAAGACAGATATACCCTCTTATACAATCATATTTTAAATAATATTATTTTCTATAGATTTCTTATTTAATATTTTTAAAATTACATATTGGAACCAAAAAATACTCTAAAAATCATGAAATCACGGATTATTATTTTACGTCAAAATCGTAAAATCGTGGAATTGCGTTTTTCTGCCAAAAACTGTAAAATCATAATTTTTGATGTAAAATTATAGAAAGCGCTATTCCACCAAAACTGTAAAATTACATTTTTTTGCCAAAACCGCAAAATTATTTTCCCCATCAAAACCGTAAAATCATGTTTTCCCGCCAAAACCGCAAAATCATGTTTTCCCGCCAAAACTGCAAAATAATATTTTCCCGCCAAAACTGCAAAATCATATTTTCCCGCCAAAACCGCAAAATCATGTTTTCCCGCCAAAATTGCAAAATCATATTTTCCCGCCAAAACTGCAAAATCATATTTTCCGCCAAATCTGCAAAATTACATTTTCAGCCAAAACCGTAAAATCATATTTTCCTCCCAAAACTGCAAAGTTATATTTTCCGCCAATGGCAAATCATATTTCTTATCATATTAATTTTTCGTTAAAAATCACAAAAAAACATATTTTCCCGCCGAAACAGAAAAATTATATCTTTTGCTAAAACCCGCAAAATCATGTTTTCCGGCCAAACTTGTATAATTATTTTGTATATATTTTAATAACTATAAATAATATTAATTTTTATATGTTAAAATAATAATTTATTTAGTTTTTATATGTGATTATTTGTCAAAATGAAAGCATGGGTATTTTAGTCATTTTGGTCTATATGAGATTTAGGATGAATTACAAAATGATCAAACAAAAAAAGATCCATTTGATTGAAATAACAAATATTAAAACAAACATCATTCAAATGCATCATCCAAATGAATCATCTAAATGGACCATTTGAATGTAAATGTAAAATGATGAAACAAACAGGGCCTAATAGTTTTTTAATAAATTGTAGAAAAACAGAAAAAAAAAAAAAAAAAAAAAAAAGTTTTTGATCAAAAGATAATGGAAGTTTTGAAGTTGGATGAAAATTTATACCGTCCAATAGGTGAAGAATCTTGGATTAGTGTCTCCGTAAAGCTCCGGGCTAATCTGTCCAACATAATCAAAATGCTAAAAATTTAGAAGCATTTAATCTAAGTAAATAAGCGATACAAATAAAATAAAATTACAATAAATTATTTATACGAAAATAAATACAAAAATAAGGAGGTGATGGATGACACGTGCCTGCCAACCAGCTTCGATGGTATTAAGATCGTCGGCGAAAGAACCGGCGATGACCCAAATCTGAGATAGACTAAACTCGTATTGGCTTATGACACGTGGCGTCCACACGTTTATACTTGCTTTTGCTCCGTAGTATTGACTTCCCGATACGTATCCAACCGCATGCTACAATTTTATTTCCATAATAATGCTAAAAGATTATAATTTGTTTGTAAATCGAGAAAAAAAAAAAAGTGGAACTAGCTAGAGAATTATATTTCTTTTTTTCTTTATAGATTTGAGCAAAGAATAATATTCACTCTGACAAGTAAAATTCTGTTTATGGCATTGCTAAGATTTGCGAGAAAGGTGGTTTTTGGTATTATTATGTATCTATCTGTTTTTTAAAAGAAATTAAGAAAAGTATATAAACGTCTGACTTTATGATAAAGTTAATTAATCTAATGATACGTACCTCGTGGCCATTACTGCTCGAATCCCTTCTCACGCGCCTGATTTTCCGACCAAATCTACGGACAGAACTTGCTCTTAACATGTCTTGTTCAGTCGTTCTTCTGATCGGAATCGTACCTTCCGGGCAAAACTCACCGGATAAGCTCCAAAGCTGAAAATTTTCATGTGATTCGTTTTCTTGGCTATACCTTATGGGCATCTCCGGTGGATCCTAAACATGTTTTCAGCGAAGTTAGAGGCTTTTGAGATTGAAATAGTTATAATAAGAAGAACAAGAAAATGTGAGTACCATTGGTCTTTGTCCTTGTAACAAAGGATGATCAAAAGCAGGCTGGTTATGAGATGGAACACAATCTATCATATCTCCATCTGAGCTCTGCAAACATCACAAGAACATTACATAACTTAGTTTATATATATAGAAGAAATAAACAGTGTAAGAAATAGAGTTTTTGGATTTACATGAATGGTCTTGATGGCTGGTTTATTGATCTTTTGGAGTTGTTTTCTGATGATCTTCAGCTTTTGAATCTCTTTTAGAGGCCGGAGAGTCTCAATTTCGGATGTCGAATTTGGTGGAGAAGCAGAGGAGGAGGAGAGACAGAGTAAGAGAATGAAAGTGAAGATCAAGTGAGAAGAAGAAGACATTGTAATGGCTGAGGAGTGAGGAGTCTCCTCTTTTTCACGGTATTGACTTTTCTGAAGAGTATGTAAAACACTTTTTGTGTGGTGTTGATGTGTGATGAAGATGAAGGCAAAACATTTATTGCAAGCTTATTGTTGTTGTTCGTCTTCTTCATGTCACTGACACATCTTTCAACAAACCCATTAAAGACATAAGTCACTTCTCTAAGTAAACCTAGACCCCCAAAGAACCAAGAATTAATGAATCAACTCGCCCCTCGAAAATAAATGAATTAGTGTATAGTAGCGTTAGTTGATACAAATGTGTGTTGAGGAAAGTTTTGGAGCATGTGGGTTTACACTAAGGTGATATAAATACTAGGTAGTGATGAAATCATGGAATGGTGTTAATTTTTTTTATTTACTAGGGTTTTGGGAGGAATTTTGTATATTAATTAAATGATGAAAAGAAGAGAATAGATTTTGATGCAGCTTTATCGTAATCTGAAAACGGTAATTTTGTGGTGGATTTGGTTTGAAAGATAGTTGAAAACTTAAGATCTTGATTTTCTCAGTTATTCTCAAACGTTTAACTTCTGTATCCACTTTCCACATACATTTGAATATCCAGCTACTTTAACAATCCATTATTTATTCTATCGTGTCAAAGAAAACTATCACTCATTTGGTTTTACATTTCGTCTTATTAATTTTGGTACGTATGTGTTGTTCGAGTTCTGTTGAATATACTAAAAGGTACATTGTCCTTTGTCCAAAATTATTTAACTAAAAAATAGTTTTTCATAAATCTCAAGCAATTATATTGGGCATAATGATTTGCAAAGCATGAATTTTCATGTTAATACAACCTACCAGGATGCATGAAGTACTTATAGAGTTATAGGTTCCAACATCCAAACTGCAAGAGCACGTTCGTTAATTAATATTTAAACTCAATTTTTTAAAAAATGTATGATTAATTTTTCTTAAAATTTATCCAAAGTTAGTTTCCTTCTATTTAGGCCAATATATTTATTAAGTAGCAAAAAGATAGATAAATTTGGTTACTTCGATGCATTAGCTTGATATATCTTAGATATTTGGCTCAAGGGGCTCGTCCACCTGGATATTTCCATTAGACAAACAAATAAAATCATGTGGTCTGATTATGGTGTTGGTCAAAACTGTGGACCAATTTTTACTACGCACCCTAATTTTGTTAGCATTAATTCACTATTTAATGAATCTTATATAACTTGGTCTAGAAGAATTTTTAATAAAGCAAGTAGTCAAGTACGAAGTGTGGAATGGACCTTGAGAGTGAATTTGTTCGAATGATATTGTCTAGTCTTTAAAATCGAGGGAATGATTGAGAGCCAAAGCATGCAAACATGTAATGTTGCCTTTGGATTTCTATTAACTTAAAAAAAAAAAAAAACATGATTGGCTGCGTTAAATATGAATGTTCCGAGCCAATCATGATTATGTTATTCCTCATTATTTTCTTTTTAACAAAACGGAAAAAAAAAAATAAAGAGTTGACCAGACTTGACGATTAAGTTTGGCTTACCAATTACCATGCCTTCAAAAGAATCGAATCCAGCTTGATTTAGACTTTGGGAACTTTAGGGAATGAACGATATAATATCAACTGTGCAATACAACAAATTGTATATAGGGAAAAATAACTGTGAAAGTAACATTTTAATAATTAATTGATAGGGAGATAGAGAGAGAGAGAAAAAAAAAAGTTAAAGAGAATTAAAGATGAGTATTAAAGCTAACAAAAGGAGAATGGAAACAGTTTGATGTAAGAGCAATGATAGTGTCTCTAAAGCAACCTCGAGAGCTCAGCTTTTTCCAATTTTATCTCGAACCATACCAGTAAGGATCTTAGTTAATTAGATCATTAAGGACATAATGTTTGAAACAAATTAAAGTACGTTTCGGCGTTGGAGTTATTAACTATGACATGATGAGACATGATTTACAAAGCGGCGTGAAAGGTTGGACGTTAATGTTCGGACCATGCATTAACTTTGTTTAGGGTACATCATAATGGATACCTATTGTGAGTTGTCCATTAATGATGTAACCATGACAATATTACAGATTCTAATACACGTACTAGTTAATTAAGAAAACCAACAAAAAAAAAGAGGTTAAGATAACACATTGAACATGCGATTCTCTATCATTTTAAGGGATTTTTTTGCAAGTATTATCATAGGTCATAGGGGAAAAATCTGCCTGAGGTGAATTGCAATTTCTTACAACAAGTTGCATTGCGTTGGTTTAGCAACATTGGGCTGATTTTCGATAAATCATGATTGTCTTTCTTTTTGTGGAAGCATTTGACCTTTACTTGTAATTGTCTTTCAAAATGACAAAAGTTTTACTTGCATCCTTAAATCTGAATTTAGTATGATCTCCCTCCTCTAAATAAAGAAAACCTATTAGTTTAAGACTTTTGTTTTGCAATGGTTGTGGTTGAATGCTTAATTTCTCTCAAAATAAACCTACAGATTTAGAACCTCAAATCAAAGAGTGAAAAAGAGAAGTAGATTAGTATATCTAACTAATATAACATTACGAATTAAAACTTTTAAGACATGGAACAGAAATTGACATGTTTGAAATTAGAACCCGGTGTCCAAACATTTTCCATCTACATACACACATGATCTTCATCCTCTCTCTTTTTGTTTGTTTTTCTTGTTTTTTTTAAGTGAACTTAATCAAATTAAAGAAATAAAATAACAAAGAAATAAACCCATAAAAACATTTTTTTCATTCGAAATCCCCAATTCTCCTTAAAAATCAATGTTTAACGAGGGTTGAGAGCGCCAAGCAATTATCAGCCATTTTATACAAAACGCCAGCAGATTTATAAATGACGTTGATCTCCCGAGTTTCCTTCATCGCGTCGCTGCAAGTATCGTAATCCGTCAACGCGGCGCTAAGGTTAATGTTAAGGCTAAAACCATCATTTTCCTTAATGTTCGTAAGAGCCTTGTCCAAATTGTCAAACGCGCTATTGAAGTTGGACAAACAAGTCGCGACTCCTCCATCGCGTTTCAGTTCTTTCTCGGCGATTTCTTTGGCTTGCCTCGTCCGTTTCATCAACTCTCTTATGGCTACATCCGTAGCTGCGTTCACATTAGTTTGACCCTTAATGGTACCTCTGCACAATGCTGGGAAATCCGAGACCGTGCAAGGGTCAGCGAGAGAAAGACTCAACGCTGCCGCGTTTTGCCTTGAGGTAGCGGCGAGGAGGAAGATCGCCCCGAGGACGGTCATATAGGGATTGATAGACATTGTGTGTATGGTATATGCACGGAAACGTATATATATTGTGTGTATATATACACGTTCTTGTGTTTGTTGAACACCGGGTGGTGGATTAGTTTTGATGAAGAAGAGGGAGATGAGTTTATATATGTGTATGCAATAAAATGGTTATATTTAGTATGTTTTTTGAAGAAGTATTTTGACTGATTTGCCACCGGTGAATTAGACTGGACATTTCTATTTTGGTATGTTTTTGTTAATTAGGTATGATAATGGTTTATCGTTTTCTTGTTAAATTTATTATATTGTTTTGAACTTATTTTGTTGTTCTAGCTATTTTGGGGACAAATCTAAATTTTTCTAACGTATATGGAATTTGTTTTTGAAATTGAGTTGAATTTCAGTTACATATGTACAGTATTATACTATTATTTCAGCATATATAGCTAAGATTAATTAAGAATGATCTAGTATTACTTTTACCAAATGGTAATTGATAAGATAAGTAAGAGATGGATCTTTTTGGATGAAACGGCTAATTAACAAACAAAGAATGCAAGAGTAGTGGTTTCTTTAGTGAGGTTTATTGTGGTGGGTATTGTGTGAATTTCGAGTTGTAAATTTTCTTGTTGCTCTAACTAATATTGAAAAAAAGTTGCCCATATGAACATCTCCCATGTTATATTCGTTTTTGATCAAAGATACAATTCTGAAATTGCTGTAAAAAAAAAAAAAAAAAGATACAATCCTGAAATAGTGACTTAGAAGAATTTTAAATTAATATTGCTACTAATTACTTGCACACTATACTTTAATCAACCACCATATTTACCAAAACAATGTAAATTTTTTTATCAAAAACAATGTAAATTAAACTATTTAATGTGTTACTGTATCATTTTTACTTGAAAACTGTCACCACTATCAAATTTAAAGATGTAAAGACCTAATTAATTACTTGACAGTAATAGATAACCTAATTAGTACTTTGACATAGTGTATTTCACCAAATTTATTAATCGTGTGTATCAAAATTGAAGATGCGGGGACCTAATTGGTACTTCTAAAAACGTCATATGTTAGTGGTTGTAGCAAGTTTGGATACGAATTATGAAGTTACTAATTCATGAAAAATGTCTTAAATTACTAATCCATGTAGGGCACCATTACAAGTCTTAGCTGTATAATTAAATGTTGCAGTTATTATTTTCTCTCATTAACAAAAAAATTCATGTTCACAATTACTGTACTTGTGTATGTTTCTCTCTATATATCTAGTAGCATCTTCTCCTCAAGTAACCAATCAATAGCAATAACATCTTCTTCCATCTCCTTGCTCCACAAGGCCTTTGTTTATTCCCCCACCAAACTCTTTACTTTTTCTCCCTAAAATCTCCACATATCTTCCTCCTTCAAATCTCTCAACTGATTTCCTCGTTGAATCCTTTGAGACCATGTTCGCCTACCCAGGAAGCGCATTGATGGCATTCACCAAGCACTGAAACATTCCACAATCCGAGACAAACTGGAAAGGCATTGAGCATTACATCGCCTAAACCGGTGACGGGATTTGCTCAATGCCTCCATCTTCTTGTTGAGGGAGGGCTGTGCGGATTGTGGAAGTGATTTGAGAGCTTGATGTATGGCCATCGATGCGTTGTAGCTGGAGTGATTTAGTGCTTAGTTGTTGTATGATGTATCCATAAAAGTTTATGGTATATTACGTATTTAAAATATAAATGATGGATATGAATCCCTGGATCAGACATGTTGCTCACTTGCTCTTATTGAAATATTCTTTACTCTAGGTAAATATAAACAGAGACAAAATGCATAAAGATTCATGGTCATCGTTGGGATCAGAAACAGATTACACTGACAGTTTGATCAAAGAAGTAAATTATACAGATAAAAAAAACAATTCCTCTACATTATCTGCATCATCCTAACGCAAAGCGTTTCTCTTCTCTTATAAAAATCCAGATATAGATAGTGTGAATCTATCTGGTATAGAAAGGCAGTCGAAAGTTATTCGTTTACCTCTCAGCGACCAAATTCCCCATGAAACCACCGCTTATCTCATAATGGCAGGCACTTGAGAAGCCAGCTTCTAGAGCAAGAGTCTCTAGCTCCTCCCCTGCACAAGGACATTTGACATTCCAATCAGCTAATCAAAACATAGAGACTTAGTATAAGCTGTGAAATCTGACGGGAATTAACAACAGGTGAAAATGTGGCAAAGCCGATTATAAACACAAATATCAGCTGTGCCGTTTAATGAAAATGCATATATGTTATGAACAGAGAACGAACCTGTTAGGTACCCATTGATTGAGTATTTCAGATATTCAAACTCCTTTGCAAGACCATAAACAGTACCCACAGGGACAACTACATTGTCAATCATCCAATCCTTCAAAAACCAAAAACACCAACCAAATGATTTCCTTAAAAAAAAAAAAACTAACGAAATCACACATCAGAGTCATAGTAAGAAACAAAAAGCACCTGCATAAACGTCGTAACAGATTGGTTGCTCTTATTGAAATCAAGTATGGACACTCTTGAACCTAAAAATCAACAGGAGACAACTAAGCATATCACAAAAGCCTTGGCTAAAAATCAAATATACCAAAAAAAAACACAGACCTGGTTTCAAAACCCGATACATCTCCTTCATAGCTCTAACTCTATCAACAACGTTTCTTAGACCATAACCCATCGTAATCGCATCGAATTTACAATCATCAAATGGCAAATCAACAGCATCACCTTCAATCCACCTAACAACACATTCATAAAGTATCAGTTTTAACTCTTTCCCAAGAAATGTTAGAAACAAGCATGATTTTACCAGTGCTCACTCTATACACTTGTAACAAGACCTTGCTCTAAGATTCTGTCTAGATGCTGCAACAGCTAATTGTTCAGATGAGAAATCCAAACCCATCACCTATAATGTATTACCAATTCATTAAAACAACAATCTCACAATTAAGCCAAACCACATTCTCAAGAACACAAACCTTGCCGGTTGAGCCAACTTTCTCAGACAAAAGAAACGCTAAATCACCACTTCCACAACACATATCAAGAACATTATCTCCTGTTTTTGCTCTAATTGTCAAATCAAAACAACAAAAATCAGAAAATAGAGATAATCAAAACACAGAACATAGATTCTGATGTAATATTCTCACTCACCCGCTCCATGAGACAGCCATGTTCTTCCAAATTCTATGTTGACCTAAGCTTAAGAGATCATTCAACTGCGAAAACATATAAGAAGACGATGAGTTTTGTCTGGGAAAGGTTAAAGATAAGGAGATAAGAAGAAGAAGGGATTGATTTCAAACATTATCGTAAACTGGAGCAATGCGGTTGAAGAGAATCTGGCGTTCGTTTGAGCATTTGACTACCATTCTCCGTCGCGATCGGGAATTCGGCGAGAGCTTGCCGGTGAAGGTCACCGGAGAGACGATACCAAGTACTAGAGCCGCCATTTTTTGGCCGTCGATTAACGATCATGTTGTTTTGTTCCGCATACTCGGATTGGTTTAAAATCTGGTTTCAGTTTGCTAATGGGCCGATTTTAGGGCCAATAATATAATTCGAACCCGATTTTATTTTATGGGCCGGGTTCGAATTATAGCATAACATACATGATGGTAAAACTATAAATAAAAGTTTAGTGTGATTTACACAAATATGCAATTAATTTTGAAAAACACATGATAAATTAACTTATCTACTAGTTTTATTTTTTTTAATCATGGTTTTGACAATAAGAGGGTAAAAGCTATATTCTTTGAATGTTAGTCAGATCACGAGAGGACAAACATTGCGATAGAGACCAAAAGAAGTTATGTTTATTCACCGATAATAATAGTTACAAAGCATTTTGACTTGTTCCTTCTCCTACATGTGAGTGAGTGTAATATTCATTCATGTGTCGTCCCATGCTTCACTCTCTCTTTCTTTTTTTCTTCTTTGTCGGCAAAGCAAGGCAGAATTATACATGTCAAATACACCCATCTTTTTTTATCAACGTTAAATAAATACGGTAAATAAATTCATTCCTCGGTAAAGAATGATCCACTAGAATCATCCATCATAGCGAAAGGCATATTCTCTGATGGTTTCCAATGACGTTTCCTTTGGTTTATAAACCAATTGTTGATTTGTTTCTGGTCTAAGCCCGTTGCATCAGCTAAAGCTATCTTATCACCTTCCTGTGTAACACATCCACATGTAAATATAAGTGTACTGGTTAGTTAGGTCGCGGATGATAAGTGTTGTTTTGCTTACAGTAGGGTAAGGCCATTTATAATGGAGATTCCACCAATCAAGAAGAGCTTGTCTTGCTTCTCTAGGTAGCTTTCCTTTCTTTTTCTTCTTTGAGAACTCCAGCTTTAAAGAACTTATACGGCTTCCAAATTTGCGTAGCAACCTATCCTTCAGATCACGGTCTTCGCATCTTTGTTTACCATCTTCTGCTAACTCATGATCACCTCCACTCAGTTCCTCGTCAGATGATATTGCACCATCCTCTGTTACACCAAGTTCACAAATCAGTACCTTTTACGGTCTAAACATGTTACATGCACGTACAAGATTGGTAATAGCAAGCAAATGTAACATAAGTAAATTTAACCTTTTACCAAAAAAAATGTAACATAAGTAGACTACTAGTTTGATCAATAAAAAAAGTAGACTAGTAAAGAATTATTACTATTCACTACCATGGAAAAGACCATTAAATGGGCTTTCTAGGCTAAAACGGCTTTGGCTAAACAAGAAGAGAGAGAGGGGCAAAAAACGGAAAGAAGAAAGAGTGGTAAGGGGGAGAGAATATCGAGGACGCACACGATTGAGTGCAGCAGTCAAAAAACCGCCGCAGTGAATAGTTACCTCCATTGTCATTTGTCAGGGAGAGGACTAATAGTCTTGTCCCCATGAGGAGACATCCCCCCTTTGGCCTACTCATTACCCAATCTCAATACGACACGTGTTAAATACCACATAGAGGTTGTGTGAACCCCCGGAAATAACGCTACACCTCTCATTTATGTTCTCCACAACACCCCAAAACTCAAATTTCCTTTTCACTCTCTCTCTCTTTCTTAAATGAATATGAACATTTATATATATGCCCCAACGACTCTACTGACCCACTTACCAAGCTTTTCTGACACCAAAACTCAACCCAAAGATGATTCAAGAACATTACCTGATTTTACAATAGTTTTGTCTATGTGGCAGAAACTATAGTCGGACCAAGCAACCGTGGTTAGTCCCAATTAAAAGATCTAGTCAGTCATACAAAATAATGGACTACATACACAATGTTAAAAGAAAAAAAAAATTCAGTTTTAACATGTATAAAGAAAGTTAAAAGATTCTACAATCTCTTAAAATATCCAAACATCACTAGAGAGATCAAACAGGCCAATTATAAATTAAGAAAATATCTTAAAATGCATAAACCATGAGCTGATCAATATTAGAGAGACCATTACGTTCACATAATATTGTATACACAATATACTACACGTAAGAGTCGTTAGGTTAATAGTTTAATGGCAAAACACGATAGTTTGTATGTGGTTGAGATTATATTATTACAATTTCAGCAATGCATTGACTCCTTCGAAAATAGAGTTGACTGAAGAAGGTAACATGCAAGTAGACACGTGCAAGTAGCGTGCCGCAGAGACATAATACGACCCACCAAGGGAACAACGCAACCAGAGGGCATGGCAAAAGAGTTGAGAAAGATAGAGAAGAAGCATAGTCACAGTCTCTGATAGATGATTTGATTGTGGTGTGTAGAGAACCCTATGTCTTTCTTTTTTTTTCTCTTTTTTAAACCAAATCAAAAATAAAATCTTCGGAGAGAAAAGTTGGTGGGGTCATTAGCGGAATCCGCGGGAGTCCATGTGACTTTTCTACTTTTACTTTATAACAAAAACCAAAAGAACCTCTAATTCAAGCTTATCATGCACTATGTTCCTATTCTTCCCATTGCAATATTCTTATCTTCTAGATCAAATATGCAAACATGAAACATTGATGAGATTGCATGCAACAAGACAAATGTTGACTAAAAAAAGTCAATCAAGAGACCATCCTCTCTCAGTAGCAAGATGACCAAGCATTAGAAGAAAAGAATATGTAGCTTGTTTCAGCTAGTCCAAAGAAGGGCGTTCGCTAAATTTGCATTACCGTATCACAACAATCAAGAAGTGGGAAATCAAAAATCTATATGATCAACTTGAGTGGAAGAAACCAAAGCATGTGATTGAACTAAGAAATTAGTAGACAACATCACATCCCATGTGAATCTTGTCTAACAATTGTATGCTTCTTGTTTTCTATATTAGTTTATGATTTCATTCAGGTGAAAGAAAAAGATGGTTAAATAAAGTTCACACCCAATTAAAAAAAAAAACCCCAGATGAGATCATTCAAAAAGTCAAGCTGTACTTCGAACAAATTTTAAAATAATTAATCACAAACATTCGTCCATTATGGACAACCTGCAGTGATCTATTACCTTTTCCAGTTGATTCTCTATGCTAACTCTCGATTAGTTAATAAGATATAAGCTGATATGTTTTCATATCTCAGCAGCTTTTTTTCCTCAATAAACAATATTACCAAAGTACAAGTGGAAGCAGCATTTGAGATCTACCACGATAATGGAAAAAACCCTGCAAAGCTGAAATAAGTCCACCGATCTTATGGAGTTCCATTTCTTTACAGCTAACTCTTTCAGGTGGAGTTTTTCTTTCTATTTTAAATTTAAAAAATTCCTAAGGCATTACAATGTTTTTGCTAGTTTTACAACCATGTGTGGTCTAAAGAGATAATATCAGCAAACACACAAAGAAAGGCAATTTTTTGAAGCATTTCATTCATGTATAAGCATAAAACCTAGACCCTCTAAACCCCATAAAAAATGAGTCAGTTTTGGTTTATTACTCACATGTAAGTCCAACAAGACTCCAACAAGGACATGCAGATAAGAGTAGCCACTTGGCAATGATACTATTTCCGATGATCAACAAAAATCTCCTTACTTTTGTTCTCAGACCGTTGGAACTTGAAATAGACCAAAGTTAAGTTCTTCATAATAAATGTCGTATTCAGGATTCAACAAAGAATGTCGTTTTGTAGACTTCTAAAATATAATTTCAGTCTTATCTTTATTACTATTATAATCTACTAATTAGATAGATAATATTGTATGGTATATATTATTACGACATGTATAATAGAACTTTTAATACTAAAAATCTTTACACAAACTTATAATGAAAACTTACTTTTTCTTTAATGAGATCCAGAGTATCCATGAATAAGCATAAAAAGGAGTTTTTCATTGCTGTAATCCCAATAAGGTTGTAAACAAAAAGCGACTTATGATTACTTATTGTTAAACGAGAAATGAAGCAAAATAAGTTCATGAAAATATTGTTAAAAAGTTATGACTAGGTATTTCTGTCAATTGGGTTTCACTGGAAAAAAGCAACAAGTTGAAAAAACATTCAGTACGCAACAAGCCTCTGAAACGTCAAAATCAGAATCTCTAACGCAAAAGTTTATTGCTTTCTACACCATTTTCTTTCTGACAGAGAAAGAAGGGAAAAAGGATATAAAGTAAAAATGTATGATTAGCACAAAGATCAAATACAAGAAGAAGAGGAAATCCCCACACCACTCCAACACCCTAATCCCATGGCTAAAACATTAAATGAAAGAGTAAAATAATTGCACAACACCTTAAACAGACCTTTGTCTCCTGAGTTTCAACGTGCCCAAAAAAAAAACATACACAAAACAAAACCCATCAAGGAAAAAGTAGCTATGGAAACGAAAGTTGTGGCTCAGTCACCAAACCTAGGGTTTATCTTTTTTTGTCTATTTTGCTTTCTGATCACATAAAAAACCTAGGGTTATTCTATCAATAAGCTACCAATCATTTTTCAGAAACTGGTCATATGAATCAAAAACCTATGGAAAGATCGAGGAAAGCATAATATTAAAGTAAAAACCAAACAAAAGATCAAAAACATCACTCAGAGACTAACCACCAAATCGAATCACTGAACCAGAGAGGGTTAATTTAAGACATACCAGAAACTCCCCTGGCAGACTCGACACCAGTACATAGGTTCCGTAGCTGCATCTCAATCTTGTTCAAGAAACACGTAGCCTCGTCAAACGGTCTTGCTAGATCCGATTTGTATTTCACCAATATATCGCAGTACGTTTCCTGAAAATAAATACTATCTTCCTAAGTAAAAAACTAAAAACTAAAAATAATAAAAATCCGAACAAAAATCGAAAAAAAAAAGGAGAAGTGAAGGAGACCATAAATTCATCAAGCTCAGGATCAGCTCCAAAGCAATACGAAGGAACAACTTCTTGCTTATACACATCACTCTCCCGTTGAATCTCCTCCAGCAAACACGCTATCTCCGGTGGTGCTCCGACCTGTTTTTCAAATTATGAAATTGTTAAAACTTAAAAACCATAAAATTATAAAAACAAATCAATACCGTTTATACAGTTTTTTCAAAGCTTCTCAATCTTATCTTTATCCTTGAAAAGTGAAACCTAGATTTTTCTAAGTGATAAAAAAAAAAAAGAGTTAACGATCACCTTTTGGCAATCGATGTAGGCTTGAAGTAAGCGAGGGTACGAAGGATGACAAGCGATTTTGGTCTTGATGACACTTAAAGAAACGTTTTCATCATTTCTTCGGATCTCTGGAGCGATCGAAGCCGCCTCCGATGATAAAGCGGAGGCGGCTGCTGAGAGTAGCTCGTCGGATCCGAAAACATCAGAGACACGATTTTCACCGGCGGAGGAACATAGTAAAGCTTGGTAATCAGAAGGAAACATGAGACTCTCCGGTGACATCATCAGAACCGACTTATCTGAATAATCACCGGCCGAATGGAAATTGTACATTCCATCCATTAGTATAAGATCGCCGGTGGGAACTCCTCCGTCTTCTAAATCGTCTTCTTGAATTGTCTTCTGTAAAATCAAGAATCGATGAAGAAAAATAATATGAAACCGCCTGTTTAACAAACTTTTGGGTTCTTGATATATTTATTTATTTCTATGGGAGTGTGTAGAGAGAGAGAGGGGCTCAAGGGATCTTATTTTATTTTCTTTTGGCAAAAAAAAAAAAGTTAATGGAGAAGAAAAAAGAAAACGATAATTACGAAAAGGACATATGCTAAAAGGCTCGATGGAGGAGGTTTCAGGCTTTCATAGTTCGGAGATAAGGCCTTCCTAACTTATATATCTAACAAAGGTCCAAGGCTGTGTATTATGCCAGAATTTGTATATCATGAGGTTTTTTAATATCAAAGAAATATGGCGACAAACAAATTATATTATTGAAAAAGAAATGGAAAAATGTGATTAGTTTCTTCTTAACCATTGTTGGTAATTTATCAGCATACAATCTCCTCTTTTTTTCTCATCAACAATAAATTTTAGATAATAACATAGCTACTAGTACATATAACCACTAACCTACACCCAAATTAATTCGAAAGCTGTGTAATTTTTTTTGACTAAAAATAGATTTGATGTATTAGATCTAATGATCAATAAAACAACCTGAGTATGTAACATAGTGATTTGTATTAGTATGGTTACCATATCATCGAGAGTCGAATATGATAATATGTATGTGTGAGTTGTAGACGATAAAAAAAAAAAAAAAAAAATCTCCAGTGTATATATATTCTCAATGAAGTCTATAAAAATCACTTTTTAGTTATAATTCTGTTCACCCACATTTTTACTTCGTTATAAGTTATTATATCTGAATAACTAGCTGTGAAGACTAACATATCTTTATACAAAAAATATACATAATGTGTTTTGATTTATATGCTTTTTTCTTGATTAAAAACCAATTTTGTTATAGATCTAAGAGATTATCATGTACTTTTTGCGATAGTCGTCATAATGATTTTCCAAAAGTATTATTCATTAGATGAAAACATCATGATCCGGACTACTGTTTAATATAATCTGTTGTTCCATTATTTTTGAACTTTGGTTTCAAAATTTCATCATTCAAAAATATTTACGTAAATATATATACTATCACTGGAATATCATGCTCTTTTTAATATCTTGGAAAATCATGTTCTATATATTCATCTCATTGAAACCAAACTCAAAATCTCTCCTACTCTTCTTTTTTTCGACAAAAAAATCTCGCCTATTCTATCATCCTAGTTATCAAAAGTGTTTAAATATATATTCATGAATGTTACATTTTGTACTCGTGATTTATCATCGTGTCAGAATAATGTTCCATGTAAATTTTTATTTTTATGTTTCATCTGAATTTTTTTGGTTAAGAATGATAGGTACCTAATATATTAACTACTGCATGTAACTTGTAAACTTATAATAGTTCATCTTTCCCGTGAAGAAAATCTGAGCAAAATGGAGAAACCAATAAATGAACTACGATCATATCACTAAAATTTAATAATGAAATTGTTGGACATAATAATTTGATATAGGTTTTTGCCGTAAATTCAATTTTCACGTCTTTAGGGTCTAAACCATCTCTAAAGGATTTTTAGACATCATGTAAACATACATACACCTACATATATCGTTTATTTGATTGCAAATAGTGAAACAAGGGTAATTATTGCCACACCCCTAAATAGTCTAAATATATAGGATTGTTGATATGAAATATTGATGAATGGTTGATATCAAATGTGAAGAACGTATATATGGACATTTCACCATCTCCGATGTTGGACATTTCGACTGTACGGAACAAAAGGGGTTTCGAGAAGGGACGGTCCGTTCCTAGATAAGAATTAGACCCTATAAAAAATCGTTCGTCTTTTGTTGTAATTAAGATTAAAATAGTATCTAGTATCAACTAGTGTTTACTTTAGAATAGTTAATCTCTGTGTAAAGCAAGTTTGTGGATAAAACCAAGAATAATATAAACGGTGGTCTAGGCGTAGGAGCTGATATAAATATTTTCGATGATATAATGATATATCACTAGATTGATGGATGTGGTTATTGATATTCATGCCAAAATTGATGATGATGATATACATGATGACTTTAGCTTATGAAAGTGAACCATGTAAATAATTAACAAAAATAGACATAAGCAATTTGGGATATATTTCTAAGTTTGAGATTGGCCGTAATTATTATTAAAAAAAAAAAAAATTGGCCGTAATTTAAGAGGGTATCAAGAAAAAAAACGAGCACTTTAACCAAAAAGCGAAAAAAAAACAAGAGCATCTATAATATTTCGAATATAATGGAACCATTCTTTTAGTTTTGTCGACAGCTTTTTAAGTCTAGCATATAATTTTCAATTAGGAAAGTGGCATGTTCTATCATACTACTTTTAATATAAACTCTGTTTCTGTGTTCAATTTTTTTTTTTTCAAAAGACTAGAGAAAGTCATTTTCATTTTAAAGGTAGTTGCAAACTATTGGTTACTTTAAATCACCTAACGTATCATAAATAATCAAATGAAATTACGTTAAATAAAGGAGGTTTGAAAATTAGATAAATATGAAGTCATAACAGCGTATGCAAAAAAAAAGAGTTCACAAACGATTGTGCCTTATGTTACGTGTTATTGGCAAAAATACGACGTATAAATATTAACGAGGAATCGAGGATGTTATTAAAACGTGTGAACATATTGTATGTATATATATAAAGTAACATATTCTTTGTTCATTTATGCATATAATTGGGGAAAAAACTCAATTTAATAAAAAGTTCCGGAAAACACACATCAAAATGTCCAATATGAGGTAAAAATAAAATAAAAGCAGAGATGTTTTCTTTCTCTGGTTATCACTTGGATGCTGCGGTGTTTTATTAGAGTTTTTTTTTTTTTTTTTTTTTAGAGTTCTTATACTTGGTTTGTTCACATAGCTAGGTTTCTTCTATTAATTTCCCATCATCATATTTAGGCTTTGTGATTTGATAGATTCTTTTCATTTTTCTGTACCTATCTCCCTACCTATCTATATAATTGCAATAATTTATCACCAAATAATGCAAGACGACATAAATGTATGTAACCCAATTATAAAGTTCGTCTATTTCTACGGACTACACATGCAGCAAGTACTGAATTTATAATTCGGTTCGAAATCCATTCTTATTGTAACCATGCAGCAGATGTATGAATTATTTAGGAAATTTACTAAGCCTCTCAACATTATTTATGAAATATTACAGCTAAGCTCATTAGTAGATTCAATAATGTAAATCATCGACGGAAAAAACAAATAACAGGATTTATAAACCCGTATAAATTATCGAATGTCTTTCTTTATTTTCTCCACACAAAAAAAAAGTGTTAAAGGGTCTTTTCGTTGATGGACAGGTTGATTGACCCATCCATTTTTGGGCCATGTTTGTTCGAAAATTATCTGACACAAAGCTACGGTTTCGTATGAATCCATATAAAAAACAAACACAGCTTTGGTCCCTCCATCCCATTCCCTTGGATCTCGACCGTTGATCCTCACCCAAATTTTATAAATGTTTGGATTACTAGTTTATACTTTATACCCATACCAATACCATCAGCTTGAACCACATGTTAACACTTTAATATTTGAAGTGATACTTATATCTGGTCCTATTGTATCAATGGTTATACTTATAGATAGCCGACTAGTCAAATGTTTTACATCAAATAAAGGAGTAATTTAGGTTAGGTGTGTATGTATGTAGGTAGTAGTTTAAGCTGTGATGTTTAGAATTTTAATATTTATGCATGTGGGTATTGTTATTCAAATATTTTGAGCTGACGATTTCGGTTATCTCTTTTTTTTTTTTGTTAAAATTTCGGTTTTATCTTTAGACCTAATGACATACTATGTTTGTATTCAAATATGATAACATTAGTCGATTCATGCATTATTAAAAACCCTGGATATCTTAGTTTTGGAATGTGATGCATAACAATAATTGATATGATTCGATCAATGTTTATAAGATATATAATTGATATGATTCGAGCAATGGTTGTATATATATGCCCATTCCTACCTAATAAGAATCTGTTTGTTTTTTTTTTGATAAAACTATAAGAATCATTTGAAAATCTTTTGGTGTAAAAGTTCAGAATCAGTGTTAATATCATATAGGGAAATTGCAAGTTTATTTGGAAGAATTATATGTTACCACTTGATCAACATGATTGAGCATAACAGATTAATAATTGATATCATTTATGTAAAAAAAAAAAAAACTCACATTCAACAAAGTTAAATGTGAACGTACCTGCTATAATAGGAAGGGGACAAAGTAACCCACAATAGAGTAATAGACTATATCTGTGGACTACGATGGACCAAAAAAAATTCTGGATTAGAAATCTGATTAGAGCACCAAATATCTCGGTCTTTGTTGTTCCTAATCAAGCCTTATATATACTGATATACACCATCACCTCTTGATGGACGTAAGCCAAATTTTGTTTTCTAACTATATTTAAATAGATTTCCAGTTTTCAACCAAATTATAAAATATCAACTTTAGCCAATCCAAACGTGACAAGAACAAAACCAATACAAATGCGGTACGTGGACAGAGCCAGAGTCTGACAAACAATCTGTATACATTTTGTTTGTGGTTTTATTAGCTGGAAAAGATAAATAAATAAGGGAGACTCACAAAAATGCCCCTTTTTCAATACTCCTTTTCAAAAATACCTCTTTTTAAAAATCTTATAAAAAATGCTCTTAAAAATAAGATTTACCCAAATATGTATGTAATATTATTAAAACATACACAAACTACATTTCTATGTATCTAAAATCTTATAAATACTTTATAAATACCTTATAAATGCATTTTAAATACCTTTAAAATATCTTGTAAAACCTTTGAAAAACCTTAAAAATCCTTTAAAATAACTTGTAAAACCTTTAAAAACACCTTATAAAACCTTATAAATACTTGGATCGAGTCTTCAAGTAGTAGTTACAATCCATAAGTACCTTATAAACCTAATAAAACTTTATAAAAATTTCAGATTTAAAAATGGGCATTTTTGAAAATGGACATCTAAAAGGGGCATTTTTGAAAAGGGGTATTTTTAACAATTTCTCAATAAATAATACTAGTATGTAATGAATGACTAGCTAATGACATATCTTTTCATGGAATATTTGGGGGAATAAATCTAGTGAAATGCAGCTTAAGTAGCACGAACCATAGTGTTATGCGTATTGAGTTATTAACCATATGCACCATTAGTTGTTAATATATAATTTGAAGTTTTCAAATTATATATTCCCGTGATGAATATGTACGAAGTTACAAAGAATTGATCTCGTTTATTATTAATGATTCAATGTAACACCAAACGATAATAATAAGAAAACTCTATGAAAATTCATCAGGTCAAAATTAGATTGATCAGCCAACTACTTCAAGATTTCAAATTTGATGTAAGATGTTCAATATTAATTAAGTCGAGATCCGGTCTAAATGTAGAGCATATAAACAAATGAAGATACAAAAGGAAATCTTCTTTTTAATAAAAAATAAATAAAGGAAAGTTTAGAATATGTAACAAACTAACAAATGCACAAAGGTGTTTTTAATTATATAATAAAAAAAACTGCATCAGCACTGTTCTAGTGTTATGCCCACTGCGGTCGGAGAATATATGCGTCCCATATTTTTTTAGTCAGAATTGGCTTTTCACTTTACTATTGTACGTCCATAATCACTATTACTACAATAATCGAGTTTTATCTGATGTATACTACTATACTACTAATATTTTTCTTTCAGACGAAAAAGCCACGTGCATGTTTGTGTATAAAGTATAAACCCCAAAAATCTGGTGATGTTGTGGGCATGCATTGAAACAGAAAGAAGATCGAAACATCATCGTCATGATCATATGATGCAAAGTGTTAAGTGGTTGTTGAGTTAATATATTCTCTTTTGTTGGAAGTGGTCCTTAGGTTTTTGTGTCTGTGGTCCATCAAAATGATTTACAAACTTTGTCTTTAATTTTGTTACATAATCTTTAAAATGTATCGAAAGTTAACTAATTAAGGTTTCGATCCAACAGAAACAAGAAAGTTGTCTCTGAATCATTCCTTCACGTTACTTCTTTCTTTCCTTGTGGTCCTTCTTGCTTTACCAAAATGAAACAAAGAAAAAGAGGACGTTAAGAGAAAGATAGAAGAGAAACAAAACCTGCCAACAATTTTTTTTTGAAGAGGAAGACTCTCTTGCAGTTCATGTGGGCCTGACCCGGTTCAGAGCTTCGACTTCGGTGATTCCTTTTTGGTGCAAATTTTACCAAATAATTGAACATATCTTCAATTATTACAAAATAATTGAGTATTTCATCAATATATAAGAAATTTATGAGTCTTTTAAGGAAAATATATGATTCCATATAATAAAGATGATCCAATGGAAAAGTTGATTATTATAAGCTCAAGTTTTAAACAAAAAAACAAACACACCTTTTTACAAAATATCTTCAAAATTATATATAGATAATTTTCAAGTATCTTCAAAAAATATTTATTTTAATACTGTATATAGTCTACTTGCTTTTTAACTATCCGTGTGGTCTAATATCTCTGTTTAAACGTGGCCTAATTGGGATCGTGGTTTGTGACTTGTGAGCTCCCCGCTATTCAAAGTCAAATATTATTCTATTTTCTTGGTATAAAAGTTAGGTTTTTTTCATCTAATTCATGATTTGTTAATGAAAAAAGTTCGGTGCATATAAAAAATAAATATAAGTAATTAGTCAAACTCCAAATTAAGTGAATTAGTGCCATGTTAATCAACGTTGATTTGTCCCTTTTAAAAAGAAATTTCGTTACACTAATGGAAGCTAATTAAGTAACCAAATCACTTTCCAAATGGCGACGGGCGAGTGCTCTATCTTTGACTTATCAAGACCACCATGAGTTCCAATAATAATGGCATCCATAATTTCTCAGTTTATTTAATAAGCTTTCAACTAAACCCTAATATAACATCTGACTAATTAATTAAAAAATTGATTAATTTGTACCAAGATGAGATCACCTGTAGTATTTTCTTTCATTATGTCATAAAAATATATTTCAACATAATCTTGAAAAACAGTTTATGGCCTCTTATTGTTGCAAGCTGATTCACAACCATTTCTAATCTAATTATCGTAATCAAACTAGCTCTAGGTTTCAAAAATAACCTCTTCCACGTATATTTTCTTGAACCATTTAACCCAACATTCATTGTCGAGGACTCATAGTTGTACGTACATCAAGCCAAGCATCATATTTTCTTCATCAAATCGACCAAACGACTGGAAATGCCTTACAACTTCATATGCGTGATGGAAATTCACAACAAAATAAAAGCATTTGACGAGATACCTTTGTATTTTTTTTTTTGAAGTGTCAAAAATAAATGGGCCCGTATCAGCCCATATAACCTACTTTTTATAATGTCAAAAGCGAAAGCTCAAAAGCATACGAAAATATTCCATTTTCCATTTTCGAGAAAGATATCATTCTTTTTCTTATCTGAATAAAATGTGGTTTTCTTGGAGATTAAATTCGAGAAAAAGAGTAGTTTAAAAACATTCCGGTGAACATGATGCTATCTTTCATGTCTTTTATAAGCAAGAGATATAATTAACTACTTAATCAATTAATTAAATATGTTGTATCGAATTTAAATTGGATTGCGAGGATCTTTGCCTCACTCGCTCTCTGGTTTTGTAAGGACATAATTAATTTAGTATCCCGACAAACATTTGTACGCATTACAAAATATTCATTATCTTACGAAGAATATAATCATAATTCGACTTTTGACTCTTCCACTGCCACGGATTGGTTCTGTTATAAGAATACCGTATATAAGAAGAAAGATACTTCCACATGCTTGTTTTCAACACACCTAATGTAATCGTTTAAAGTCCAAATCACAAATGTTTGTGCTGGTATACATTTGCTCGTTTAAATCATTTATCTAAATATTTTTTCAAATACAACTAAAAATTTATCAAGATATATGATAACTGACCTAATTTTAGGTGTTTGGATGAGATTAAAAGAAAAACATATACACAGTGTAAAGAAAAACAAAGAAGGTGCATGAAGTTTCTTTCTTTTTGAAGGTGTAGCTCCTTTCTGACCATTTAACCAATCCACTTTATTTTTTTGGTGCAAACCAATCCATTCTAAATTCCAATCAATAATGGGTTAACATATGAAATATCTGATGGGCCAAATTTGTGGGCCTGTTTAAGGGGAGTGGTACAGTGATCCGTATTGTCATAATAACTGTTTCGTGTACGTAGTACTGTAGCTATGCTTTTGAAAGCCAAGTTTAAAGTTAAAGACTAAAAGTGTACTTACTACTTAGTAGTACATACTTAATAATTGATAATTGAATTAACTTCGACGTTGTCATCATGATTCAACATCTAATTGAATTCAGAGTATAGCCGTTGCCTAGAGCTTTCACATTGTATTATTGGAAGTTTTGGATGTAAGTAGTAAAATAAAATCTTAATCTCGTACCCATGATAATCGAATGGCATTGAAGTAAATTATGTTGGAGGCAAGTTATTTGATGTGATGATTGTCATATATTTCAAAATGAAAGAATAAACGTACGCTTATTTGGAGTTTAAATAGTTCTATTCCTATAAATATATATATATATATATTTTTGAACAATTCCTATAAATATTTATTCAACAATACCTAAAAGTTAATTGGTATTGTCTGTAAGAAACTGTATTGAATAAAAGTTGATATATTAGGTGTTAATGTGCAAAATAGCTCAGATTCTCTTTGTCAAAGTTGTTGATGACCAATAGGGATTTTTCAACTAAATCATATAAAGTGGTCCAATTGGATTTACCAAATTTAAGAAATTTTTGGTATAGGTATTTCTGTAATGTGAATGCTAAACTCTCAAAAACAAAATAACTTATGCAATAATAATAACTAGAGTACAAGATGTGACAAGAAACTTTGAATTTAATATTATTTTGACGTTGAGAAACCAAAATGATTCCTAAACGCAAGTTTTAAATCGCTAAAACCAACGTTTGAACACGCAACGATAACTCTCTCACCCACGTGACTTTTATTCCAAGTAGCGTCTGCGTTTGGCAAAGTCCTCCACTTACAAAGCTTTCCTCCATCAATCTCCGCCGCCACAATCTCTCCGCCGTTCTCCGCCGCATCGTGTATATAAACCATATCTCCCACCGCGTTCAACGCTATGGACGTTAACGGCCAATCAGAATCAATTCCTCTGAGCTTATCCAAACACGTCTTAGGCATAGATCCGATCAATTCGAATTTCAAACTCATCAAAGATTCGTCGGAAACTATAACTTCCCACAATTCGATTCCCGTCGGATTATCTTCATTTCCGATGATCCCAGCCATGATTAGACTGTTACCGGCGAATCCAATCGAACGGGAGTATAAAATATACTCGCCGGGACAGAGATCGGGAACCTTCGTCCACGATCTAGTTTCTGGATCGAAACTACACGTAACGCCTGATCTCTTCTCCGTCACGTACATCTTCTCCGAACTCACCGCGACGGAAAGCCACGTGGCGGACGCGGATTCGTAGAGAAAATCCGGCATCGATTCGCATCTCTCCCACTCGCCGTCGCTGGATTCCATGTCGAACAACTCCACGGCGAATCTATCCTCCTCGAAATCGCACACGCCACCGGCAACGACTAAGTTCCGTCCAACGACGGCGACAATTGGATCGATCCTCCACACTCTCGGTGGTGCCACATGTCGCCAAGTCAGATGAAACGCGTCGATTGAGAAAGAGAATTTCGCCGGAGATAAAGCGTAGAGCAACGTGGAGTGAGAGGATCGAGCAACGGAGACGTATTCGACTGGAGTTGATACGGTTTTGATCTCGATCCATGCATCGGACTTCGGATCGTAAGCCACCGTCGTCGCCGCCATGGTATACGGCGGAGAATTTCTCTGATTGTAAACGAACAACCACGGCATGGTTTTAAGGCGGCGGAGGGAGAAGAAGACTGCGCGGTTCCATGATTTGGACACTTGGCAAGCGGAATCGAGGTCGAGGAGTGGTAAATGGGAGAGGATTGACTCGAGTATGTCTCCGTCAATGGAAACTTCTTCTCCTCCATCGTTGTTCTTCTTATTCTCCATTTTTTTTTGTAATGGTTTTTGGATAATGCAGAAGTGCAAGGAGGGAAAAGTCTTTATATAGAGATTATAATAAATTGCACGGACTAACTTTCATATAGTACAACGTCTTATTATACATTCCTATAGTGTATTATTACTCGACAATTTACTGTTTTAGATCATATCTTAGTAAAATTCAAATTATTCTATAAGGATTTGATCACAATAGAGGTAGGAAAACAAAACTAGTCTGACTAAAATTGTATTTCTTTTAAGTCAAGTCAATGAACTATAGTACCTATCTCCACAACTTGGAGTTAAGTCAATGAAGTATGAACCATAAGTTGACAATAAAGGGAAGCAATACAAAATAAAAAGACCAACAACACAAAAAAATATAGGTTTGTGTTTATACTTTATATAGCATAATAATAAAGACCATGTAATTTCTGATAATTATAAGCTAATTGATTACATAATCATACATAAAAAAAAAATTCTCAGAAAAAACACTAATTCAAGATCATGAATCCCCTTAAAGTTTAAACTCCAAGATTCTTTAACCCAATGGACTCAAAATCAAGTCAAAATGAAAAAAAAAAAATCATATATACACGTAACATCAAACCGTGTATATTATTTAATCTTATCCAAACGAGTTATCTTATCTATCCACCAACTCAAATTATAAATGCACATTGACCAACGTACAGCTAGTTATGATGAATGACCTTAGTTCATAGAGGAGCCAAATCTTGATAACCATTGCTAAGTTCATGCTCAGAAGGAGTTCCAAATCATGGTAATCTGCGATATTAGAAACAGTTTTAATGCTTGATTATTATGTAATGTATATATTATTATGTTGGTTTTAATGTTAAGTATGTAATAATGTATACTTGTTTCTGCATCTCATCTTCTATATCATATCCGAAGGAATAGATGGATACAACCTGAAGAATAAATGTCAAGCCTGGACCATTTACAACCTCCCAAGGACCATATCCTAACTACTCTTACTGTATATCTGTGGCTCCAAATTCTCTATTTAACGTACAGATAAGGAGATATCAATAATAATGAGCATAAAACCACATATGACTTGAGATATATTTGCAAAAATGACAAAAAAAAACAGGAAAAGAATATTTGATTAGACCAATAACCTACTCATAACCTACTACTACATGATAAGGTCTTGAGAATGAGATGTGAGATGTCATCAGCACTTTGGATTTCATGCGCAATGAGATTTTCAACATAAACACCACTCTCTAAAGCTTAATGTGAGAAAGGACATGTACCTACATACATACTCCACGAAGATTATAAGAACTACCTGCAAATTTGTTGATGACGGTTCAAGATGATATGTGATCTATCCGTAAATCTTGTCACGATCGAATCGGTTTATCTTAAGGGTATGCGTCAACATTTGATTGAAGGAATGAGTGATCTATAAGAACTTTCTTATGGGTTTTTAGTATGTTTACAACATATACACAAAACAATTACAGTAACACTTTTGGCTCTATTTTAGTCTCTCCCTCAACTTCCTAACTATCTTGTCAACGGGCAAAGATCCCACTGGACCAACCGGATCTAGCGACTCATCATCGGAACACTCGTCGTCAAAGTCGTCGTCTATGTCACTATAATACTCTTCGGAACGGTCCTTGTCATCCACGTAATCCTCTGCTGCACCATCACTGTTCGACAAGACCATAGCTGTGTAAGTGTGTTCTGGAGCCAGTGAAGTGCCTTCTAACTCTTCCACCTTCTTCAATAGATCGTCCGGACCGAGGTCAAGCTCTTCAAGAATCACCGCCTTGGACGATTCCAACGCTCGTTTCCAGAGCGAGATCATTTTGGGGCTTGAGATAATTGTATTTGGATCAGACACAGTTTGTTCGTCACTGGGTTTGTCTGAAAAGAAAAGAACAGATAAAAGGTATATGAGAAGCATTTTTTGAGTATTATTAGCTTTGGACAGTGGTTGTTGTTATCTTCAGATAGTTAATTAGAGGTTTCTGAGTATGCAAGAGGTAATAATACCTGAGGGATCAAGTTCGTTCACTATGTTGGTTTCAGAAAGGCTTGGAATTAAAGGATTGTCTACAAACCGCGACTTCCAATCTCGTCCTCTCCACATGAGTATTTGCTCATCATCGAAAGACAGAAGCACACATGGAACTAACTCCTGCAAAAAGATAAGAAATGAAGAGAAAGCTTTTCAGATATATAGAGAAATGTTGGATGATGAAACCTTGGAAACTGAATATGAACACCAAATGAGAGAGAGAACATGAATCCAAGTTTAATGTAGAATAATACTCTGATAGGAACTTATATAAGAAACCAGAGTGAAATCAATCAGCATGGAAAATGGAGAGTATTAAGAGGAACTTTTGTCTTCCTAACAAGCAACGCTCGAAGCAAATTAACTCTAGAACTTCTAAGCCAAGTGAAAAGGATATTTCAATTTGTTTATTAGTAAAATGCTTCGAATTTCAACATTTGAGATTGACCTCAAGTGATTGCAATGAAGATACAAAATATAAAGAAAACCTGGAGGATTCATAGACCTTAAGCTTAGCGCCTATTTTCTTATAATCACTTGGTTCAAGTCCTGGGCAGTCGACTTTCACCAAGGGACTCAATTCAAAGGCATCCCTAACATCCTTGACTAGCGATACGTAGACTCCATTTTTAGCTGCAATGCAAAACCAAGACAATTATAGTAAGTAATGCCGAAACTAACAAAACACGAAAAAAACAGAACTAAAGCAAAGATAAGATACACTTACACAACTTGCATATAGGCCTAAGAGACTTGCCCTTCACCCTGAACTCAAGAGCTTCCTCTTCGGTCAATCCTTCAGGAACTTCTTGAATGAGCTTTGGATAAACAGGAGCTGCTGGTTTCCACAACATCAACGGGTATTGCGGACGTGTGCGATAGTTGTAATTTCTACCCCTGAAGAGGTACACTACACCTCCAACTCTGTGAATAATCTCTCCTCCTGTCTTTTCCTAGATAAGAGCAAAAGAAAGAGCAGAAAGTTAAAAAAGCTGGAAGAGTCAGTCAACCATCACTAATACTAATCCAACAGTTCAAAAGTAGACTAGATATCTTTTGTTACTCTCTCAAGTCACAAAACACCTATCAAAACAAACCCTCTACAGGTTCTGATATTTCATTCAAGTCTCCTCTCTATCTCCACCTAAACAAGTTGTATCTAGTTCTAGTAAAACTACTAATCAAGAAACTAATGGTTTATACCTCAAGAACACGACACACGTTATCCATATCCACAGTAGGAACTCCTTTACATCGAACTTTACAAACACGTCGTCTCTTCCAATGCGAATGTATCAATTCCAACATATTGTGTGTAAATCCATCTCTTCCTATTAACACACATAATCAAATCCAATAAGTGAAAAATCCAAACCAAAAAACTCCTAAACACTCAAAACGTGAAGACAAATAGACAACAACACTCACCTAAATTAACCTGACGATTATCATGCATATGAGGCTTAATCAACATTCCTTTCTCCCATTTCTTCAATGGCTCTCCTAAAATCTCTTCTCTATTCATTCCTTCCTTTGGATACCTCCCAAACGGTAACGGCCCAGGCATTTCCACATACTTAACCCCAGATTTTCCCGCAGGCGGTGGATTGAATGAATCAAACAACGGAATCTTCTTCTTCGATTTCTTCAACGGTGCTTTCCCTGTCCACGGTCTCGGCATCGTCGGTGGCGCAAACGGCATAAAAGCCGGTTCACGAATCCCAACCGGTTTAGCTTTCGGTGTCTCAGAGTAACTGAACTGAAACTCGAACGGCGCACCGGGAAGCTGATACGAGACGCCGGATTCGCCGATTACGATTGTGCGTTCGCCGTCGGAAGAGATAACTCCTTCTTTAACCGGTTTGTAGTATCTCGTTCGGTGATGCGGAAGCTTTAAAGCTGGATTTGATTGTGGCTTCTTCGTCTGTGTATCGGTTTGATGATTAGTTTTCCGATTACGATTTCTATTGGATGGTGAGTATTTCGGAATCGGTATCGGCGGAGCTGGCCGGAAAGTTCCTGATGATGAATCCGCCATTGGAGGTGTTGAAGGAAGTGAAGAGAAGAGATTAATATCTCGTAGTGTTGCTACAATCGCCATTGATACTGATTCAAACCAAAAGGACAAAAAAAAATCTTCTCTCAGTGAAGAAGATGAGAGTTTCGTAGTTTTCAAACTTTATCCCGTAAACGACATCGTTTTTAACAATTACGGGCTTTACTTCTTAAATTGGGCCTACTTCTTAAATTGGGCCTAAGGCCAGGCCCATGTACTCGTAACCCTAATTTCCTTGGTATAAAAGCTATTGGTTCAGACTCTCTGCGTTTTTCTCCGATTGAAACCAGAAAATGCAGATCTTCGTGAAAACCCTAACGGGGAAGACAATAACGTTAGAGGTTGAATCATCAGACACAATCGACAATGTGAAAGCGAAGATACAAGACAAAGAAGGAATCCCACCGGATCAGCAACGGTTGATCTTCGCCGGAAAACAATTGGAAGACGGAAGAACACTCGCTGATTACAACATCCAGAAAGAATCGACGCTTCATTTGGTGCTTCGTTTGAGAGGTGGTGCGAAGAAGAGAAAGAAGAAGACGTACACGAAACCTAAGAAGATTAAGCATAAGCATAAGAAAGTGAAGCTAGCGGTTTTGCAGTTTTATAAGGTTGATGGAAGTGGAAAAGTTCAGAGGTTGAGGAAAGAGTGTCCTTCTGTTAGTTGTGGACCTGGAACTTTCATGGCGAGTCATTTTGATAGGCACTATTGTGGGAAATGTGGAACTACTTACGTGTTTAAGAAGGCTGATGAAGAGTGATGATGATTGGGTTAGGTTATGTTTTTGTTTCTCTTTTTTTACTTTGGAATTTTAATTCAGATATTTTGAGATGGTTTTGTTCTATTGAGGGATTGTTTTAATTATTGCATTAATACATTATATTATATTTGATTAGAAATTTGCTCAATTTTTTTTTGTTTTATTATGCTTTTGACTGATGTGGAAATGGTGAGTTGTGGCTGTAGAATTAGGATATTGTGCTGCTACATTGCTTTAGTTTTAGGCTGGATTTAGTGGAAGGCAAAATTTGCATAGTGTTCATATATCACAGTTGATTCTTATCATGTTCTTACACCAATGTCTTGAAGTTTTGATGTTGTCGGCTCTGATAACTTGTTTGCTAAGATAGGGTTTAGATTCTCTCAGATATTGATAGCATGTGTGTTAGACCTTTAACATGTGTTGTCTTTGCACGTTTTATCTTGATTTCAAAGCTTCTCCTTTATGTTAACAGTGAGATTTGACCAATCTAGCAATGAATAAGATGTATATATGGAGAAAAGACTGTTAAACCAAAAGCCATATATAACTATGATTGCTATGTATAATTTTAACTTAATCTCTCAAATGTGTACCTCTAACTCAATTACTCGACTAAAGGCTTATGAAAACGGATCGAAATTTGTGGACTTTGTGTATGGGTTGGTAAATTGTGTGCTCGATCAAAATGGGTCGGAACTTGTCCAATCCGGGGTTGGGTCATTGCATTGGATTCTGCCCATAAAATAAAATTACAAATGGGTAGAAAATTGTGTAAAAGTATTATGATACGTCTTTTTCTTGTGGTTGTGCACAAAATAGGAGATTGAGAGTAAGTGAGACAGAGAAAGAGAGCAATAAAGAGAGGGACAGTAGAAATAACATGACACAGAGAGACAGCACTGAAACTTGAAGAGAGGGAGAGAGAGAGAGAAGACTTTGGGTAAAATGGTCAAGAAACAGTTAGCAAAATGTGAGAGAAGAAGAAGGACAAAATCCTAAGATTCCGAGTTACTAAAAGTGATGAGTCTCCTAGAAACACCCGCACTAGTCTCAACTCACTGCACTTTCATTTTCAGTCTCACTTCAACCAAAACTCCAAAAGACTGTTGAGTTTTGTGAGAGATTCATTAAATCCCATTTAAAGAGACAACTACACATGAGACAAAGAGGCATTTGTTTCTCAACCTCACTTGTTTTTTTCTTTCTAACTTGCAAACCAAACCACACCACATCACATCATTTATTAACCCCACCTCTCTTCGATCTGCTGTCTATCTTGTGCAACGTGGCTTTCCATTTTCACATGTTCATTTTTAACACTACTACTCTTTTCCGTTGATTTTATGATTTTGTTATTTTATTGTTTAACCAACTGTTATCTCACAATAACTCATATATATATCTTGCACGGTTATGTATCAGAAAAACGATCGTGAAATAGTTTTGAAGGGAGCTTATATGTTTTCTGTTTATAGGTTTATAAGATATGTTTTAAGTTGTTTTGACAACAAAAATGTCTCCTCTAATGGTAAACGTTCAAATGTTATGTATCATGCATTTTCATATAAAAAATCTTATAGTAATGCTTTTTTTCTAACCGGAACCGGATCTTAATTAGAGAAAAGTCACGTGAATTGTCACTAGAACTTCATAATCAACAACATATTATAAATACACATAATGTATTTTTATTTTAGTGAAGAAAATGTAGTTTGAAATTAAGGAGTTAGCTAGGAATTAATGTGATTAATAGAAAGAATGAGAATCATTTACTGCTTACAGCTCATCAAGACGATGAAGATTCCAATTATTACAAGTGAGATAGAGACGCACATAAGTTGATTTGAGTTGTGCATTTTAGCATATAACCAAAGCACTACACATGAAAGTTATAATTATACATTTGCATTAATGATTAACAATACCTATCTCTCGATCTATATATACACACACACCCACACACACATATATCTCCTATCATTCATCGTACACACATACTCTCTCTCTCTATGACAAAACTCCCCAACATGACAACACTCAACCATTTGTTTGATCTGCCGGGGCAGATTTGCCATGTCCAGTGTGGTTTTTGCACCACTATTTTGCTGGTACACCTTAACTATTCTTCTCTTCCCATCTCCCTTCCTCTCTTTATATTTATGATCATGAATTTGATGAATATATATGTGTTGCAGGTAAGTGTACCGTTCACAAGCTTGTCAATGGTAGTGACTGTGAGATGTGGGCATTGCACAAGCCTTCTCTCAGTCAATTTGCTGAAGGCTTCCTTCATTCCTCTCCATCTCCTTGCTTCTCTGTCCCATCTTGATGAGGTTCCCATAACATCCATACATAGACAATAATTAATATGCATCTATATATGATCAATATATATACTTTTCTTGATTATATATAAATATGTGCGCAGACGGGGAAAGAGGAGGTTGCAGCTACGGATACTGTGGAAGAAGAAGCATGGAAGGTGAATCAGGAGAAGGAGAACAGTCCAACGACTTTGGTTTCATCTTCAGACAATGAAGATGAAGATGTCTCTCGTGTTTACCAAGTTGTCAATAAACGTACGTTTGAGTATAATTTCTATTCACAATTTTGGTTTTTGTGATTTCTCGGCTTTTATCAGTCTAGTTAATGTTTTGAGTTTGTGTACAGCACCTGAGAAACGACAAAGAGCTCCTTCAGCTTATAATTGCTTCATCAAGTAAGAAACCAATTCAACACACTAAATGTGTATGTATATTCTTACAAATTTAACTACTTATAAGGTTTTGGGTTTGTAAAATGGCTTCCTTTTTGGAGCAGGGAAGAGATCAGGAGGTTAAAGGCTCAGAATCCAAGCATGGTTCACAAGGAAGCTTTCAGCTTAGCTGCCAAAAATGTACTTAAAGCTAAATTAAAAACCTTAATTTAGTTTTCATCTCTTAGTCAGCTTAATTGAGAGATCTAGAAAAGCTAATAACATTTTGTGATTTCAATTTGTTTGATTTGGGGATGGTGAAGTGGGCCCATTTTCCTCCAGTTCACAACAAGAAAGCTGCTTCAGATCAATGTTTTTGTGAGGAAGATAACAATGCAATTCTACCATGCAATGCTTTTGAGGTAATTTCAGTAATTAATATTTAAGCTTTATCCTTAGTGTTATAACTTGCTAAAGAATTAGGATCGATTATCATATAGTACTTCACAAGTTAACTCCACAAAAAAAGTGTCATATCCAAAGCAACCCAAATAAGCATTAATCCATATAGCATCACAATCGGTAAAAATTTCAGAACCCTAGCTAGAGTAATTATTTACTGATTATTAGAGTGAAATCAAGGAGAGGAGTAAGTGAGAATCATTGATCCTCAACTACTACAATGTGTGAAATTTATGACCTAAACCCTTTTATAGTATTGAAGCTTACACTGCACACAGTTTACTTTTATAGAAACCCATTCAACTAATTAAAGCATTCAAGCTGAATATGTATATTTTTCAATTAATAAACCAATTAATATTGTTGAAATGTTTGGGATGCAGGACCATGAAGAAAGCAATAATGGGTTCCGAGAGAGAAAGGCTCAGAGGCATTCCATTTGGGGGAAATCTCCATTTGAGTAATAACAATTTGGGATATGGAATTTTAACAAAAAAATAAATAATGGCATATGACATGTGATGGTGACTCTTTTCTTCTAGGGTTTGATTATGTTGCTTTAGGGTTTCTGTTGTTGGAGAGAGATAGAGGGAAGACGAATCTAAGACGTACGTAGGATTTGTGTGTTCGAGAAGAGTCTTGGGAATGAGCGAGTTTGTTCAGTAGTTTAGTAGTACTTCTCAACTTTGAACTTAATTTGAAGAGACATTGACTCTATACCAAATCCTACTTTTGCATTCATGACTACTCTTATTCCATGAATGTTTTAACATTCCATGAAACAGTACTTTAAGAATCTTTGTTAAGCTATCATCATAAAGATCCTTCTTGACTTTGCTTAAATGCTTTTGTACGTACGATGGAGAAAAACAAACACATTACTAATCTATATATATTAATGTTTTTGAGATTACGTTTGACCGTTCTTATTAGTATATGAAGTAAACTATAGAACCATCAATATTCACGAAATAAAAAGTTAAAAGAAATTAATTTTCATCCTAATTAACTATATATGTAGCTTGAACATGCCCTCTTTCTTTCAACTAAAAAAATCAGACCAAGTCCGATCTTATAAATGCATGAAAAATCTTGATAGAATTGGATCGACCGGAATCCTTTAAACATTTACATATCATTAAATTTTGCAATAAACTGTCCGTGGATCTGCATGAATTTAAAGAAACCATAGTTAAAAATTAAACCTGAACCGAATCAGATAACAACCTCGTTAATCTTTTGTCACGGCGAGGGGATAACAAGAACAGAAAAATCATAAGAGGTTTGACATTTCATTTTAGATATTGGTATAACTTGTTCTTTTTGTTATATACGTTATTCAAAATTCTCCATAGACATACATGTAACATGTTAACGATCCCTCATTGGAAAACTTTACAATTTTTAGGTATAATCCCATGGCATGTTTAAATTTCTTTTTAATACAATCGGCGAATATTTGTGTTACACACAAGGTTTTTTTCATGTTTTTTTTTGAGGTATTGTGTAAAAAAAAGGTATTGTTTATCAAAAAAAAAAAAGGTATTGTGGCTAAACTGATATAGTATTTCTTTGGGTATCTGAAATATTTCTAGTATTGAAAAAGATGAAAAAAATACATTTTTTAAAGGTTTGCTTCTCCTAATTTTCTTCCTATTATCTTTTTGACGTCACCACTCCCTACTAGTTTCCTCTTATATTCAATGAAAAAGCATTTTCTCTTTTCTTTAACAAATGGAGTTACTAGTATATTATTTGCACGTTTTCCCCTATCTAATAACAAGGGTAATTTCGTAAATCTCACTTCAACAACTAATTAATGTGCCGGAATCGCAACTCCTAAAACATCTACCAATAATAACACGCCACGTCATCATCCTTCCCTGTCATCGATTACCTCAAACGGTGTCGGAGACGTTTCATTCTCCGGCATTAGTGGCATTTCCCGTAAATAAACTCGTAATCTGTGGGCGAAACCTTCGCGTCGTGTTTATAATAAGTCCACCGCGAAACCTCTCACATTCTCTCTATTATTCGACACAACAAGAAAACCAAAACCCAATTTTGTTACCTTTTTCCTCAATCCTAAAGTCAAAAGCTCCATTTTTCTTTTTGGGTTTTTGATTATCTTCAATCGGAATTTCAGGTAAGAAAAAAAAGAAAAATCCGATCTTTAATCATCAAATTACCAACTAGGTCAACTCTATGATCAATCGATAATGGATTGATTTGGTTTTGCTTGTTATATCTTTGATTCTAGGTGGAGATATGGGTTCTGAAGGACCAAAAGCAATAACGATTCATGTGACTGGTTTCAAGAAATTTCTTGGGGTTTCTGAGAATCCTACTGAGAAAATAGCTACTAATTTGAAATCGTATGTGGAGAAACGAGGTTTGCCTTCTGGATTGAGTCTTGGTAGCTGTAGTGTTCTTGATACTGCAGGGGATGGTGCAAAATCTAAGCTTTATGAGGTTTTGGAGGCTAGTGTTGTGTCTGGAGATAAGAACAACAATGGAACTGTTGTCTGGGTAAGAATTTTACTTATTTCTTAATCATCATTATCCTCTGTTTCTTGAATTCATCAATTAGTTTATAGCTTAAGTTCAAGTCTAACTAGGATTTGCTTTTTCTTCTTGCATTAGGATTTTGTGTGTTTTTGTTTTCTATTCCTTTTTAGTTTGGGAATTGTATTTTCATATATATAGGGTTTTAAGCTCTTGTTGGTGATCATCATTCAAAAAGTTAGAGAGCTTTAGTGTAATCGGTTTCACCGAGGGAAAGAGAGTTATCTCTTTGGGAGCTTTGCTTAATTAAAGAGTTTGATTTTTGAATTGTGTTTGACCTTCAACGAACAATCTATAAGAGGTGACATCAATAGTAACTACGCGAACAGAGGGAGGTTTGGATGGGTTAGAGAAGAACCAAGAAGATACTAGAAAGATAAGTATCTTATCTGCGACGAATTTCCCTCAAAATACATCTGCTACATTCCTAGAGTTACCACTTTCAGCTTTGGGAAGCATTGGTATGCCAAACATTATGAAATTCAAAGGAACAGTGGATGGACAGGAAGTCATAATTATAGTGGATAGTGGAGCAAGTTTGAACTTCGTAGCTTCTTGGCTGACTGATAAGCTTGCCAGAACTATTGAAGCAACACCCCGTTTTCGTGCTCGTTTAGGTGATGGACGTATTCAATCTTTCCGAGGGAAGTACTCCAACTTGCCTATCATAATTGGATCAGAAACTTTCTCTGTTGATTGTTTCTTATTTCCATTGGGAGGAGCTGACATCATATTTGGTGGTCAATGGTTGGCTTCCCTTGGAGATGTGATTGCAAACTGGAAAAGCATGTTTTTAAGCTTCACTCGAGATGGCCGCAATATACGATTGAATGGTGACCCTACGTTAGCTTGTTCAAAAATCTCAGCTCGTGGACCTAAAAAATTGCATGAAGTTGATCATTGCGCTTGGTTATGGACGGTGTGAGACAAATTATAGATTTAGAACTTCGATGGAGTGTGATTCAGCTGTGTTTCCTTTTCCATCTTCAGTGATGAGTCGGTCTTCGTGTTTGCCTATATTCGTGGTTCTTGATTTGTTTTTCTTTTTTGGTTACATTTGGTTGTTAAGGTCTTAGAAAATTTAGGTTTTGTTAGAACTTCTAACTTCGAAATAAAAAAACTTGTTTCTTTTCTTGTGATTTGAGTGTTCTTCTGATGCTTTAAAGATCTAAAAACACGAAAGTTTCTCTTGATTCTGGTGCTTCTTCAGCTTCATCTCGGGGTGAATAGTGGAGCGACAAAATTCGCCATTGAAAGACAGGCAGTGAACGAAGCTCATTTCCGTTGTCCTGATGAATTGGGCTGGCAACCACAGGTAAAACAATAGTAATTGCTTATGAATCCACTCCAAAATGATCCGCTATGCAATCCGAGAAATACACTAATTACGCCTCTCTTTAATGATTCATTACACAGCGGCTTCCCATAGTTGTTGAAGATGGTAGCATTTCAAAGGCAAAAGAGGTAACATACATATAATAAACTATGCTTCAGCACAAAACTAACTGTGTTTTCGCTTCCTGCAAGACATTATAACTTGGATTTGAATATTGTTTTTGGTTTGTCCTGAAGACTTCATGCTCGACGGAGTCCATTTTCCAGTTATTAAAGAAGAAAGGCTTCGAGGTTGTTCAATCAGACGATGCTGGACGTTTTGTATGCAACTATGTGTACTATCACTCTCTAAGATTCGCAGAGCAAAAGGGACACAAGTCTCTGTTCGTTCACGTTCCTCTCTTCTCCAAAATCAATGAAGATACTCAAATGCAGTTCGTGGCATCTCTCTTGGAGGCAATTGCAGCTACTTGCTAGTGTTTATAATCCACTAAAGCCAAATATTGTAAGTATACTATGTATATGATGATCCATTTGTCTTTCTTCGAAGCTCTTTGTGTTCTTTTGTTGGAAGGCTTGGGGATATAAAATGACGATTGCTTTTGGCTCTCAAAGATCCTTTGTGATTGTCTCTGTAATGAAAAGAAGTCTCTTTATTCATAATGTTTAAAAGGTTGGATTTTTATGTTATTTTTTGTGGATGTTTTTCCTAATTTGGTTTTGGTTTGACCAAAAAAATTTCAATTTTGGTTAACTCTGCTGCCTTTCGGTTCATTTTGTTTAATTTAGCATAAATTTCGATAATTTTGTTGTAATATTGGTAATTGCAGTTTAATTTAACGTTATTCTTTCTGTAATTTCGGTTTAGTGGGTCCGAATTTCTATCCTTCTTATTGCCGATCGGTTTTCAGCTCAAAACCGAATTGGCCTAATTTCGGTTCGGTTTAGTTCGGCCAATTCTGTTCGGTCCGAATGCCCAGGCTTTGTATAAACCGGTTTCTTGTGAAGACAGTGATACTTGTTGTGCAAGGAGCAAAAGAACGCATTCAATTTTTTTGTCCTTAAATCTTGATTCAAATGCGAACTAGGGCTTGTAGAGAGATTACTTTCTTTATACTTTTGTATTGTAAGCTTGATTCAAAGTGTGGGAGACATGCGAGGGGCTCAAGCTTTATACTTTCTTCGAAGAACAACGACGTTAGCTCAACATTTGTGTACTCTTGCACCGCTTATTGCGACGCCTCGTATGGAGTTTAGTTCGTTTCTTGAAGAAAACCCTAGCGACGTCGTTTATACCCATAACCGTAAAATTGATGAATTGATTAAATCCGGGAACTTGGTATCTGCACATGAAGTGTTCGATGGAATGTCTGTACGAGATGTTGTTACTTATAATCTTCTTATTTCTGGGAATAGTCGAAATGGGTGTTCTTTAAGAGCTATTGAAATTTATGCGGAGATGGTCTCTTGTGGTCTTAGAGAAAGCGCTTCAACGTTTCCTTCGGTTCTGAGTGTATGTAGTGATGAATTGTTCTGTAGAGAAGGGATTCAAGTTCATTGTAGGGTGATTTCTCTTGGGTTTGGATGTAATGTGTTTGTTAGATCTGCACTTGTGGGTCTTTATGCGTGTTTGAGGCTTGTTGATGTTGCGTTGAAGTTGTTTGATGAAATGCCTGAGAGAAATTTAGCTGTTTGCAATTTGCTGTTGAAATGTTTTTGCGAGACCGGAGAGTCTAAGAAATTGTTTGGAGTGTACCGTAGGATGGAACTTGAAGGTGTAGCTAAAAATGGGTTAACTTATTGTTATTTGATCCGCGGTTGTTCTAATGATCGGTTGTTATATGTAGGGAAGCAATTGCATTCCCTAGTGGTTAAATCTGGATGGGACATTTCTAATATATTTGTGGCTAATGCGCTTGTGGACTATTACTCTGCTTGTGGCGATTTATCCGGTTCTAAGAAATCATTCAATGCTGTCTCAGAAAAAGATGTAATATCGTGGAACTCGATTGTTTCTGTGTGTGCAGATTACGGGTCTGTGCTTGATTCTCTTGATTTGTTTAGCAAGATGCAGTTTTGGGGGAAGAGACCTTCGATACGGTCATTCATGTCATTTCTGAATTTCTGTAGCAGAAACAGTGATATTCAGTCTGGGAAGCAGATCCATTGCTGTGTCCTCAAAATGGGTTTCGACGTTTCAAGTCATCTTGTCCAGTCTTCTCTAATCGACATGTATGGCAAATGCAATGACATTGAGAGTTCTGTCTTGGTTTACCAGAGTTTGCCTTGCCTGACTCTGGAGTGCTGTAACTCGCTTATGACTTCTCTCATGCACTGTGGCATCACAAAAGATATCATCGAAATGTTTGGTTTGATGGTTGATGAAGGAACTGGTATCGACGAAGTCACTCTTTCTACTGTCCTCAAGGCTTTATCACTCTCTTTACCAGAAAGTTTACATAGCTGCACGCTTGTACATTGCTATGCCATCAAATCTGGTTATGCAGCTGATGTTGCAGTCTCGTGCTCTCTAATTGATGCGTATTCAAAGAGCGGTCAGAATGAAGTATCTCGGAAGGTGTTTGATGAGCTAGATTCAGCTAACATCTTCTGCTTGACTTCGATCATCAACGGCTATGCTAGAAATGGCATGGGAAGAGACTGTGTTGAGATGCTGAGAGAGATGGATCAAAAGAATCTCATACTAGACGAAGTTACAATATTGTCTGTACTATCAGGGTGCAGTCATTCTGGGCTTGTTGAAGAAGGCGAGCTGATTTTTGATTCATTGGAATCGAAGTACGGAATTTCTCCAGGAAGGAAACTCTATGCGTGCATGGTGGATTTGCTAGGGCGTGCTGGTTTGGTGGAAAAAGCCGAAAGGCTGCTTCTTCAGGCACACGGAAATGCAGACTGCATTGCGTGGAGCTCACTACTGCAAAGCTGCAGGATCCATAGAAACGAAAGAATAGGAAGAAGAGCAGCGGAGGTCTTGATGGATCTTGAACCTGAGAATTTCGCTGTTTACATTCAAGTTTCGAAATTTTACTTTGAGATCGGTGATTTTGAAATCTCTAGACAAATCAGAGAGATCGCTGCTTCACGAGAGCTCATGAGGGAGATTGGTTACAGTTCAGTTGTTTTGAAAAACTGAGAAGGTAAAATTGAAGGACAGAGTTTTTGCTTCAGCTTCATGAAAAAGAAGAGCGAACCCAATTGCAAAGTTCACACCAATTTTCTACATATCTGAATTGGGTTCTTTCGCTTGAAGCCAGACCACATGATTGACACTCTACAGAGACAACACAAGAGGAATATGAGATTTTTTATTTGCCAGGTTGGTGCAACAAACTCATTGACCTCGTCTATTTTGTCTTTTAATATACTATAGAATATAGAATGTCTGTTCGTCGTTCTTCAAAACCACATCATGTCTAAAAATCTAAAAATAGTATTTTGGGTAAAAAAGCTGAGAGATTTTCAGGGACTTCTTTCTTGTTTTGTTTTGTTTTCAATTCTCATGGGACAATCATTTTTATCATGAACAAGTTGACCACAAAGGTTTTGTGTAGAGGTTTTGGAGTAAAGCAAAGAAGTGAAAAAGCACATGACTTGTGCTTTAAGCATAGATATATAGAAAAACAAGGCCTTATCTTCATGTACTTTTAAGCCAAGCCAATAAACCCCACAAACCCCATTAATTACTCTGCATATAAATCCAACCCGAAACCAATCATCTTTAGCAAAGAAATAAGGAATCTCATTAGTAGGCACTGGATTTAATAATCAAACAGAAATCTTCTCTTGGCGTTTTGATTGAGGCATATGATGGATAAGCTCTTCATTGTTTCCCTTCTTGGTCTGTTAATGGTAGCTTCAGGGAAAATGGTGTACACCGATCTCGACATCCTTGAGGAGCTTGAGAACTTTGATGTATTGTTAGATGATGATGAAACAAAGCTCTTTGATTTGCCTTCATTCACAAGCCGGCATTCTGGTAAGAATCTGGTGAATGTGGATACATTCGGTGCAGCTGGAGATGGAGTTTCTGATGATACTCAGGTGCGTTTGAGAACATTTTGCTTATTCATGAGAATGATAGGTTGTCTAGATACCTAAAACGCTATCAGTTCTCTGTCTGGAATAAAACATATCCCCAAACTTGAAATTATGGAGAAAATGTATAAACAAGTTGGTGCATTGTAGACTTTAAATATTGATTTTGCTTGGTTTAATTCAATCTGTGCAATGCCCTTCCCAAATCAGGCATTCATAAGCGCATGGAGCAAAGCCTGCGGTACATCAAAATCTGTGTTTCTGGTTCCAGAAGGACGGCGATATTTAGTAAATGCAACAAAGTTCAATGGTCCATGTGAACAAAAGTTGATCATTCAGGTCAAGTTTGACATTTTAAGTCCTGAGTTTTTGTTATTTTACGTAGGAAAACAGAAACTAGACCATAACTATATATACAAGTATGTCCTATACAATTCAGAAACTTGTCTTTGTTTACAGATTGACGGAACAATAGTTGCACCAGATGAGCCCAGCAATTGGGATTCAAAGTTCCAAAGAATTTGGCTCGAGTTTTCAAAACTCAAAGGGGTCGTGTTTCAAGGGAAAGGAGTTATAGATGGTTCAGGCAGCAAATGGTGGGCTGCTTCTTGCAAGAAAAACAAGTCTAATGTAAAATCTTCTATACCCAAATTTAGCTTTCTTTATCACAAAAATAAATGCCTCGAGTTTTCGAATAGAATCTTACACATCTTTCTTTCTCTCTTACAGCCTTGCAAAAGCGCACCAACGGTAAGAAACCATTGCCTTCATCTCAGTTATTCCTTACAAATGGCTGCATATTTAGTTTGGTTCAACAATCTGTTTTTGTTTTTCCCCTGTAGGCACTAACTATAGAATCTAGTTCGGGTGTGAAAGTAAGTGGCTTGACGATCCAGAACAGCCAGCAGATGAATTTCATCATAGCAAGATCAGATTCAGTTCGAGTCTCCAAGGTTATGGTCTCTTCTCCAGGAGATAGTCCCAACACTGATGGCATCCATATCACTGGATCTACCAATGTTATCCTTCAAGACTGTAAAATCGGCACAGGTAAACTTAATCAAAGCTTTACTGAAATCAAATATTTAAACTTCAACTACGGATGTCATAACCTCTTAAGATTGTGGATTAAACAGGGGATGATTGTGTCTCCATTGTGAATGCGAGCTCAAATATAAAGATGAAGAATATCTATTGTGGACCTGGACATGGAATTAGGTACAACTTCAAATTTCTATATAACATCGGTTTCAAATCAAATTATAATTATTTGGAATTTCTTGCAGCATTGGAAGTCTTGGGAAGGATAACACGACAGGCATTGTAACACAAGTTGTGTTGGACACTGCCTTATTGAGAGAGACAACTAATGGACTCAGAATCAAAACCTATCAGGTAAACAAACAAACAAAAAAGCTTCGGTCTTTAATAATACTTCGATTTGGCTAGATCGACAACAATTTTATTTCATTGTTTATCTTTCGAACAGGGAGGTTCTGGTTACGTTCAAGGTATTCGATTCACAAACGTAGAGATGCAAGATGTAGCAAACCCGATACTCATTGATCAGTTCTACTGTGATTCTCCAACTACATGTCAA